CTAGGTACCGCGAATAATCCCTCCCGTGCCTGTATATCCCTTAGGTAGGTGTCGGTTCTGCGGTTGTGGTGGGGATATGATATTCACAAACGAAGCCGGTATAAACGTATGATACCGTCGTCACATACAGCTGGCCCGCCGGTCGCTAGCTCGGAGATCTAGAACCGCACCGCAAGGACCAAAAATCGTTGTCTGGTGAAGAAAAACGGATCGGCAGCAGTAGAGTTCTTGGACGGCGGCCCAAAATCCGCGCACAGGGCTTCACCCTGAGAGGCCAATTACGCGTAATGCCCCATGATAGGTCAATTGGATTTGAAATTGTCCACCGGACCCGGGCGGTAGCAACCTGGGGTTAGGGAGTAACAAGGGGGAATTAGTTGGCGGGAAATGTTAGGTTAGGTCAGCGCAGACGACTTTTTTTTTTAATTGGCGGGAAATGTTAGGTCAGCGCAGACGACTTTTTTTTTCTTTTTTTTTTTACAGGGGCAAGGACGTGTGATAGGGCGTTCTGTTGCTTTAGTCTCCACCAGACTCCTTTGCAGGCTGAATAAAATAGTAGTAAAATAGTGGATTTGAAATTGTCCACCGGACCCGGGCGGTAGCAACCTGGGGTTAGGGAGTAACAAGGGGGAATTAGTTGGCGGGAAATGTTAGGTCAGTGCAGACGACTTTTTTTTTCTTCTACAACTTACAAGGGCAAGTACGTGTGGCATACTGTCCAAGCAGAGGTTGATGGGGGAAGATCGTTTTTTGTCACTACCCCCATCTTGGGTGGCAAATTTGAACCCTCTCTGGCCAATGGGCACTGCCTGTCCTTTTTGCCACCATAGGATCTGCATGGAGATTACGTGTGACACGGCGTTCTGTTGCTTTAGTCTCCACCAGACTCCTTTGCAGGCTGAGTAGATATCGACTTAAAAAGGAATGTAACTGGCCGGGAGAGATGGCCAGTTGCTACGCCACACGACCCCACATGCTATTCAGCTATTCTTTCTAGTGTCTGAATCTGTGGTAGTGTTCGGAAGGCCACATATGCGACGTTACGTTGTGGGGTCTCGTGGAGTAGCGGTAGAGTGCTCGACTATATATATATATAGAAACCAAGAGGTCCCGGGTTCGAGTCCTGACATGCCACTGTTCTTGTGTCCTTGGGAAAGGCACTTAACACGACTATCCTCACTTAACTCAAGTGAAAATGAGTATTGTCTTGCCCTTTATTCGTCCTCGGCGTAAAATAAGTTGATATAACTTGAGTGTGCTGTCACCATGTCTAGTCATGAAATGTTGGAATATTTTTAAAAAATCTGTGGTAGTGCCCGTGTTCGGAAGGGAGCTTTACTTACATAACGTTACATGTAGGTGTAGCGTTATCAACCTTTCCAGCAGGTGTGTGGAATGCTTAGATAAGGGCGTGGCCGGGTTTTAAAGAGTACCGGATCATCCCAGGCCTCGAAATTAACTTTTCTTCCTATTGTCCCAGCACTGGTACAAAAATTCAATTGTTCCGAAGTGAGGATGAACTGTCCCAACCTGTTTTTGGAAGTATTGTATGACTTCAACTTGAAGTTAACTTTATTTTGCTTATGTTCGCTCCCAGGTGCACTATAATTGCGGAGTAGACAGGAAATTCGGGGTCCAAAAACCGGGACGTGCGTGTGTCTGATAAACAAAAGAAGTGCTGACATTCTGACGTGGTTATTCTATTGCCCCAAAATGTCCCAAAGTGTCTTTCGAGTTGTCCCAGCCTAAATTTTAGTGGACGGTGGCCATTGGCCTTCAATTTCGAGCCCTGTCATCCGAAGACGCAGGTGCGAGAATTGGCGCCGGTCCAAAAATGCAGACATGACATCGCACAACGTTAAAGTTACCGTGTTTGACGTAGTAAAGGATGAGGCGTTGAATATGATAGAACCGGCAAACACACAAGATTGTGGGTTTGCTTGTTGGATATTGGTTGACCACATATATGAATGAATGGCGGTTAGATATTGGCGGTTAGATATTGGTTGACCACATATATGTTCAAACCGCACGCGCAGCAAGAGTTTAAACATATAACTTGAACATTTCCATGATGCCTGACGTTGTTGTAAATGATGAGAGATTGGATATGATAGAACATGCAAACACACAAGCTTGTGTGTTACACTGAATGGCGGTTAGATATCGTGGTTGACCACATACATGTTCAAACCACAACAAGAGTTTAAACATCACGTTGGTGAAGGTTAGACATCCAGGTAATAAGATACGCCAAAAAAAGTTACTCAAGCAACTGGATATGATACGGTCAGACGTTTCAGGTAGCATCCACTACCTTTCGTCAGTGACACTGGAGAGTTGTCAGAAAAGTAGGTTTAGAAACTGCTTAAACTGCCTTTCTGACAACTCTCCAGTGTCACTGACGAAAGATATTGGATGCTACCTGAAACATCTGACCGTTTCCAAAAGCGTAGTTTAAACATCACTTGAAGGAGGAAGAGTCCATTTCAACAGAGGTGAGTCGTCAAGCATGATGCTGAGCAGAAGATGGAGTGTTAGATTACGCCCCCCTCTCTCCTAAGTGGGACCGCCCAAATGTACGTCCCCAACAGAATGGACTAATGCATCTTGCCAAACCTTGCCCGTGCGGGGATTGAACCTGCGCTCTCTGAATCCACGGAATTTGATGCACAAAATTACTGGCTTTTTCTACCACATACTGCTTTCAACTAACTACTAGTACATTTTTATTTATTGGTTCATAAAAAAGAATGCACAGACTTAAAATTCACCACTGTCAGAGGTGTTTATTATTGCTACAAAATCACAAAAAAAATGTACATTATAAAAAATACCCTGACTGGAAGCAATATTGTACTACCAGTCTTGGGAACAACTGTGGGTACACACAATCCATTCATCTGAAAAGTGCCTTCCTTCTCAACTGCAATTCTGTACACACACTGCTAGAATGACACATTTCTTGAATAGTGGCTACCTTCCTAAAGTCATCATGTACACACAATCAACATTTCACTTCAACCTACCAAATATAAGCATCATCAAGTTATCAGCCTTCCAAAGATTGTTGGTTGGTTGACTCTTTTTTTTGGGAAATTTTCTAGGTATTAGCGCTAGAAGTGTTACGGGGAAAATGCTGGCCATAATAACTTCAAAAATGACTAGGCTTCATTCCTATGCACATCTGTTTTGGCAGTACTGTTAAAAGCCTCTCACCAAAAATTGTTCAGAAATCTTTAGTTTTAGTCCCTCAAACTTGACTGTAACTTTCATTATCCTACTTATGTGTGCATGAAATTCTTGGACATCCTACAATGTCATACTAATCCTTAGTTGAAAGACATTGTCCTGTGTAAGCTCACATAGCACCAGAGTGAAGTTAGAGTACACAAAATTAATGCTAACATTAACACTTTTAAACCATAACACTCAAGTGGACGTTTACAGATAGGTTAACATTAAGAGGACTGAATGTTACTTTGTGATGAACATGGAAACAGTCTTAAAACACACTGTGTTTGACACCCCATATCGTACTGTGTCTCTAACACATAACTTTGGCACAAAGGTGCAATTCACCCCTCTTACAATAGGGGGCTCTGCTAGTCAGTGGCTCTTGTCCATGTAACTGAAGGACAAGTTAGGCACCTTCTATTAATAAAATCTACAAGAAAATAGTCAATAGAATCCTATAGATAACATTCAAACAAACCTAATGTTATTTCCTTAATACTAACCCTCGCGGAATGTATTTACTTTCATGCAGCAAAAAGAATTTCTTGCTATTTCTTGACCGGCAGAAAAGAAATCTATTGCATCCAAATTAATGACATAAAAATATCTTAGAATCTATGTAACAGAAATGTGTGCTAAGAACAAAGGATGTGTTGTAACTACCTACATAAGTAGGTGTAACATGCAGATGTAGAAAATCTTGTATATGTGCATAGTGGGTTTACATATAGCAGACCAGCATGTCGGCAGAACGTACTGCACCTGCACGAAACCTGTAATGTATTGTGCAAAGCACTTTTGCAGAATGTCTCATATAAGGTTGTATTTGAGTATATAATTTAACATCCGATCTGTAGTTTCCAAATGTTGTGTTGCAAAAGATCTCTTCTGCAATAGGCAAAATTCTGATGCAAAAGTGACCACAAATCCAACGAAAACCATGAAAAATCAGGGTACCGCGCAGGTGCAGTACGTTCTGCTGATGTGCTGGTTTGGAAATGGTTCCGTCATGGGAAGGTTCCAAATGTGTGACAAGGGTTTTAGTTACTTATCACCTTTTTCTTCTGACTAGGATGAAAATTCATAGAAAAAAGGCAAAACAGCTATCAGTAAAGAATTAACACTTTACAGAGACCTTTTCCTATTTCTTTGTAACATCTAGTTTAAAAACTCTGATACATTTTGCTGAAGAAACCACAAAACAAGACACTACAACTACTGTCACAAAAGCACGCCTTAGAAAATGTGGTAAAAAATAGTGATACCTGTACTATATGACAGTGTTCAATTCAAATGACACAATATACATGCTGTGATGAACATGTTTTGTGTAGTGACAATGCCCTCGCATCTCTAAAATCAAAACAATAACCATTGTTATTGGGCAAGTTTTGATGCTAAAAAATTATTGGACACGAAAAACCAAGGGTGATGTTCTGACGATGAGACAGGTTATAGATCAAGTCAAACACTTTGTATGTAAAAAAAAATAAAAGAACAGAAAACGGCAGCATTCTTGTAACAGTACAAGCTCAAGCAGTATTTCATGTAGCTGTAATTCCCAAAAGCCTAGAGAAAAAAAATGTTGTGTTTCCTGTTTCAGTCCTGAAAAAATTAGCGCAGTATGTAGGGATTATCTTTTATTTTTCATAGACAATCTCTATTGATCCAACTTATACAATGAAGTTTAACAAAGTAAAGCTTGCATGAGGACACTTATATTTTCAATGTCAATTTTGGAAAACCGATTATACAATGTTTCATCACTCAGGTGTCAGATCATAGAGCTAGAAAAGGTCAATCAGCTTGCAAAAATGTAAGTCCCTTGCAGGGGTCCACACACAAAAAAGTTGGCTAGGGTGTGCAGTTTCTTCTAGGGTTGGTCGGGAAACAGAAAACACAACATTTTTTTCCTAGGCCTACATTAATAAGTAACCTAAAACTATAGAAAACTATGACAATAGTCGTCAATTCTCCACATCTAAGACGTCCCCGTTAGAGTCGCCCTGTGCCTGGCAGCCGCGGTCAGACCGGCGATGTTTGCACTTCTCAGCGGCGCAGTGACAGGAGAAGTATTTAGACTTGATATCCCAGAACTTGTCACCATAGTCAAACCTGGAGGGGGGGGGGGGCAAAATTAATAAGATTAGAGAAAGGAAAACATGTGACAACCCCTACAGAGGGATGAATAAAAAATGAGCAAACAAGCAAATGATGATAAGTATTATTGTCTGTCATTGTACCCGTATACTTTGTTTGTTTATGTTTGAGGATCCGTGGAACTATTTTGTGTTGTTTTGTTATTTTGAAATGAAATTTGAAAAAAAATGCAACAAGCAAATGAGAAGTGTACCATGAAATGTTTTAAACCCAGTTTAGCTGGATAGACTAAAATGACACCCGTTGGTGAAGGTTAGACATCCAGGTAATAAGATATGCCAAAAAAATGATTTTGGAAACGGTCAGACATTTCAGGTAGCATCCGTCAGCGACACTAAGAGAATACCAGGTTTATAAGCAAGAACTACTGATTGATATGCAAATAAGTGAAGACAAATCTTTTGGAAGCCCAAAGGGAAACAAAAGTTAGACAAGTCAAAACAAGGATGACACAAATTAGTCAAAAGCTCCTGTTGTCTCTAGTGTCACTGACGAAAGGTAGTGGATGCTACCTGAAACGTCTGACCGTTTCCAAAATCATATCCAGTTGCTTGAGTAACTGTTTTTTGGCGCAAAACAACAGTTTTGGAACGTACCCTAGCTCCTCCTCTGCTTTGACGTCCTTGGCGGTGAAGAAGGCTATCCTGGGGAAGCGGAGGTCCTGGTGGTCCACGAACACGCGGACAGGGATCAGGTTCGGTTCGCAAAGGTGGTTGATGAAGCGGGCTATGTTACCGTAAAAACGAGCGTCGAGGCAGTACACCTCACCTTCCTGGTTAAAAAATGTGCAATTGTATCGTAAGTCGACGTGTATTGTATTGTACTTTATTTTTATTTGAATTCAGTTGCAACAAGGCAAAACATTGGCCACCCTGGCAGCATGGCTGATTTCGGGTGCCAAATTGTATTGTAATATTAAATTATGTAAATGTTAATACGCTTTTAATCTAAGTATCCGTAAAATTTCAACACAATTCAGTTGTGTCTGAAAAAATTCGGCACGTCTTGATTTTAGATAAAGATTTGATTTGATTAAAAAAGTACAGAATATGTTTCAAACACAGGCTTTAGTTCGCGCATGGGGAGGGGGAGTAGGAATTTGGTGCGTTGTACAATGTAAGTTTGCTGTTAAAAGAATACAGCTGTAGTACATGCACACATGTTTGCAGTGTGACAAGTTTGCAGTGAAAGCTCACTGCAAAAATCGCAAACAGAAAACCACTGCAAAGACTTAAAGTATGTTTTATAAGAAGACTTTCATATTTTCATCTCTTTTTGGGACACAGCCACAGAAACCACCTTGTCAAACTTCAGACAGTGGTTTCATTCTCTAACAACTTTCTGAAGCAAAATTATTTCACGATTTATAGAATGTTATATAACAAGACTTTCCCTAAAATATTTTCACCCTTTCTGACGACACACACAACCATACCAGCCAACTTCTGACAGCGGTTTCATTCTAAGAATTTTCTGAAGCAAAACTTGCATGCTTCCGGTTGAAAGCTACCCTAACTCCACTTACCTTGTTGTCCAGGTCGAAAAGGTAGGAATCATCTTCTCTCTGGTCTGCCTCTGCATCACTGATGATCTCACCTATATACCTGTGACAAAAAACAAGTCAGATCTCACCTATATACCTGTGACAAACCACCAGTGTGTGAGCTACATGTAGGTCAGTTCTGAAACATTTCCATGATTTGTACTTTATTGGGATCCATATAGAAAAGTAACATATTACTAATGAAACTGTAGTACCCGGTATTGAGTTGAATGAAGTTATCTTTGTAAACTATTGTCCGTGAATAGTTTCATCGGGTTGGTAAGTCACTGAGTAAAGAGACTGTTTTTACACAACGACGGTCACCAAAACGTCGGCTGAATAAAAGACTTGGTTGTGTAAAAAAGAGTCTCTTTACTCATTAACTACTGTAAATTCATTTACCTTGGGTGGAATAAAATGTTGTGATAAATTAAAATCAGTGTATCAGTAATTTAGTGGTGTTCAGTTTAAGACCAGGTGGTTTAGAGCAGTACTCACTCGCAGACGAAGGTTCCCCGGGGGATGTCCTGTAGTGTCCGCACGCCCCAACCCATGCCTTTGGTCCTGAACAACTGTAGCCTCAACCTAACATCAAGACATCAATCAACAATCTATGTGACATGTCCACTACAACAGGATCTGTTATCAACAGTATGTATGTATGTGTCAGGACTTTTAAAGCTTTTAGAGCTTCTCATGAATAAAGGTTCAAGAAACAAATGTATGTCGATGAAGGTTAGACATCCAGGTAATAAGATACTCCAAAAAAACAGTTACTCAAGTAACTGGATATGATTTCGGAAACAGTCAGACATTTCAGGTAGCATCCACTACCTATCTACCTTTTGTCAGTGACACTAGAGAACTTGTGCAGAAAGGCAAGTTTTTAAGCAAGAACAGCGTATACTATGCTATCTGAAATGTCTTATCAGTTGCTTGAGTAACTGTTTTTTGGTGTAAACAAATGTATGCTCTGAAAGAATCTCACAGCCCTAAAACATCTCTCAACAGACCATGTTCACATCTGAAAAGATCTATAGGATATTGAGATTCGATCTTGCCTTCTTCAGTTGGTATAGTTGTACAAAAAATGTACTACACATGTATGTGCAGTATGTTCTATCACTGTGACAGTAAAACAGTGAACAGTTTTGTTACCTGAGTCCAGCTTGGACAACCCTGTTCCTACAGTTCATCCAGCAGTTACAGGTCCGGTTACACTCGAAGATCAGCGGAGGCTCAATCTTGTTAAACTCCTCCAGCAAACATCCGTCCTGTAAAATGGGCCAAAAAAAGACAGTTTTACGATGACAATCTAATATAGACATTTTTTTTTATTCACTTCATATTCACCACAAAACAAGGCTCATGGGAACCACTTAAATCTTTTGGGTTACTGTACAGCCAGTGAGGATAGATGTTTGTTGAACTTAGACTTAAAAGCTTAAGGTTATACCCATTTGGGAAACAATATTGTGGTAGCTTGTTCCATAGTGATGTTGTTTTAGGAAAGAAGCTTTCAGCGTGGAACTTCCTCCTAAGAGGTGGTGAATGGAGGAAGAAAGGGTGATTTGCTTCAGTGGAAGTGGCAAAGCATGTGGCAAAACATCTACCTGTGCTTTGCATAAGTGTACTGGCAGAAAGACTTTCTCAAAAATTGTACATTATCTGGCAGTTTACCACTGGCCTAAAATTCCATCTTACTCCAGTTCAATCTCCAAAATAGTCTGGCAGTAGAGAAATGATTGTTATTTGTCAATGAACATTCACATAAAATATGGGTGAGAGTTCTGATTGAGTTGCTCTGTCCTCTTAAAAGCTTGGTGACTGAGTATAAACTGGCACACAGAAGTTTGATCCCTGTTAGTGTTACCTTAAATTTGCATCTGAGAATCATATGACATCCTAAATAATGCATTGTGTTACTTTTAGGACAAAACTTTAAACTGAAGAAAGGTATTTGAGTAGGGAACCAGAGATTGAAAAGAATGGTTGTTAGTTTGCCTGTGATTTTTTAGGAACTGAGGTACTTTTGACTCACCTGGTCGTACCAACACTTGATGCTGCTCTGCCCACAGACACAGTTGTTAGAGGAACAGTCATCCTCACAATGACAACCCTGCAACATACAATGGAACAGTCCATGCAAGGAAGACCAATTTCACAAAATCACTGAAGACTGCAAAAGCATATACTTGATATTTAAAATTTTAAATTAGATCATAAGTAAGTCATAAATATGACATAAAGCCAGAAAACAAAAAAAATATGCTTTTTCAAAAAGGCCCCTGAGAAAGTCTAAAAAAATAAGAAACTTGAAAGGTAACATTTGCAAAGTACATGCATAATGTATATTACCTTCACATATGGTCTGCTCTGTTAATTCTTACTCAATCACTCAATCACATTCATATATATGGTGACAGGAGTCTAAATCCCTCCTGCTATCTATCAAATTACAACATGAGATAACCCAACACTAGTGACCATGGTGACAGACATCTGGTTCAGGTCATTGACCTTATTTGTTTGGAGAAGAAGAGGAGAAAACTATAAGAGAACCAGTTTACTTGTAGGTGGATGATGTTCCTGTCTATACTGAGGGTGGAAGTTTCACAGCTCTCCGTGATGTACATGAAGTCGGCGGGGAAATGATCATCGTCCACGGCGTTCACACACGGGATGGGAACGTTCTCGCGACCCTTTGAGATGTCCCTGGATCGAACAGACAACAAGCTGTCGGTCACAGCAATGTTAAGCACTGTACATGTAAGTTTTCTGTATCTGCATCTGTATAGCTGGTATAACCGCCCTTCCGCATAACAAACCAGCTTCACAGGCACACGGCGCGGCGGCAGCTGGCTACATTACACCAAATGACCTATTATATCTAACCTTTGAACATCTTACTCTAAACATTGTTTAAAGCTATCTAATGATAATGTCCCTACTGTACTTGGTGACAGGGAGTTCCACTCTGTGATAGTTCTAGGAAAAAATGAATTTTTGAAACCTAAATCCTTGGCTGATAACTCTGGTACTTGAAGGCATGGCTATTTCTTGCTCTTTTCTGAGCTGGTATTAGGTACTTAGTAGTAGGTGCGTCCACCAGTTTATTAGTCATTTTGTACATCATGCATAGTCTGGATTTTTTACCTGTGGAGGATTTTCTCTGTGCGGACGGCCCGGGCGGCAGCGACAGCCTTCAGCTTCTTGTTCATCTGCAGAGCCATCCACACCTGAGAGTTTACCTCTGCACACTATAATATAACAAAAGAATACGACAGGCTGAACATAGGCAGAAAAGATTTTTTTGTATATACCATAAGGCTGCTAGAAAGATTTGTTAATGAATGTGTATGAATTAATGGGCAAGGAGTGAAGAAATAGAGAACCATTTGTGTTGGAAATTCCATTTAGAATAATTCTAAAAGTAACTCTCTCTTCAATCCCATTCTAGATGACATCGCAGCCAAGTTGGTACAAGTGTGCAGAAGTTTAAATTTGGGTGTGACAAAAACAAACTGAGCTTGAACCCTTCGAAGAAAAATATACCACTGTCTTGTCTTGAGTGATCATGACTTGGAGTTAAAATATCTCTCAAACTGATGATAGAGGAAAATAAATACAACTTTTTTATGGCAACATATACATAGTGCTGTTGATAAGTTTGTTTTGTATGCACTTTTCCTTCAGTAAGGCTAGGTGATAAACTACTCTTTCTGGTCTGACACTAAAATGCTCATAAGATTACTCATGGTATTTCTCTATCAACTGTGTCCTTACGTCGATGGGCGTTTCGTTCTCCTTGTTGCGTATCTCCACGTCGGCCCCGCGGGACAAAATCAGCACCACGCACTCGTAATGGTTCTCACGAGCCGCGATGTGCCTAAAAATAAAAAATAAACAATATTACATTTAGTGTGTGTACCTAAACTCATGTGTAGATTTGGGTCTGGATTCAAGTCCAGAGGTTTACATGTAGGTTCAGGTACGGACCTGTAAGTCTGAACCTAAACCCATGGCATATACAAAATTGTATGTTGACAAACATTTTGTAGTGTGCACTGTGCTACCAGGGTTTAGAAGCAGTGTATCAAGATGTCTTATTTGCACAACACGTCTGGGAGAAACTATGGCTACATAATTATGGAGGTTGACACATCACAACCCCCAATGGCAATGTTTTCTTCACTCAGCGCAAATTTTACGATCTATGGAAGGCTTTAGGTGGTTTGGAAGACAGAAAAGAAAGGTAACTGCAGGGCAGAGTTACATGTACGTACAGGGGCGTGTCCCCGTGAATGTTGATACTGTTGATGTCACACTTGGCATTGAGGAAGACCTCAGCGACATCCACCGAACCTGAGAAGGCGGCCCAGTGGAGGCAAATGTTTTCCTCCTGAAGGGAAATTTTGAAAAAAATAAAATAAAGACACAACATCACAAAAGTTCATCTGTGTTGGTAGTTAGTTACATGTTTAAAGTTAAAATAGTTTAGATCCAACACAATGAAGTTCTCTCACCTACACGGTAGAGCTTTTGACCAGTCACTCTGGTCTTCCTCAGTAGACTGACCAAGTGTTGAAAAAGCCATGTGACAAGCCTAACTGGGTCAGTCTACTGAGGAAGACCGGAGTGACTGGTCGAAAGCTTTGGGTGAGAGAACTATATTGTGTTGGATCAAAAGTTTGAACTTAAAAAAAAAAAACACGACATAATTAGGTAGAGATGTACAGGTCTCCTCCATGTTATCTTATCTGATATTGCAAAAAGTTTTGTGTTATTTTATCTTTTGAGTTAACCTGTTCAAAAACCTACCAGCAAGTATTTTTCAATAAAAAAAGTTTGCTACATAAAGGCAAAAGAAACACTCCGTAAATTCTATAGAGTTCCTGATTCAACTTTGAATAATCGCTTGGCTACACGATGCACCTATCACATATACCCCCAGGTAGATGGGGTTCTCTGTGAGTGACTCACATTGTCCCTGAGGTTCTGATCAGCTCCTCGGCTCAACAGTAGCTTGACAATGTCCAGATGTTTGTGTTCGGCTGCCCAGATCATGGGGTTCCACCCTCCTTCATCCTGCAACAGACACCCGGAAATAATGTCATTGAGGTGGTGAATGACTGAATGTCAAACTTTCTTATTCTCTATCATAGATTTTAGATCATATGTATTATATCTTGCAGTGAATAGTGAATTGAAGGCTTGTTTACAGTTAAAACTTTTGATCCAACACAAATAAGTTCTCTCACCTAAAAGCTTATTTGTAAGATAAAAAATTGTGAGAGAACTTGTTTGTGTTGGATCAAAAGTTTTAACTTTAAACATATACATGTACATGTAACTACCGGCATAGATAAACTTTCATGATAGAATTGAAGGCTTAGTTGATGGTTCTCACCAACCATCTTATGAGAACAATGCAACTCAATGTCTGCAAATTGTTTAAATAAAGATTGAATTGAATTCACAACCACTTGTTAACAAGAGCCATATTTTCATGATCATGTTCTGATGAAGATGACATAATCATCGAAATGTCTGCTCTTGTAAACAAGTGGTTGTGAATAACGAACTTTGATGTTCAATACAACAAAGATATGGGGCAGTCTTGCCAGAAAATTTTTCTAAAATCTTTTATTTCAAGTTTGAAGGGACAGCGGTTTCTTTTCCTGTTTAATGTCAGTGTCAATGCTGCAGATATGCCTTGAACAGATAGGGGGAGCTATTTATAGGAAATATGCAACTGGTATTTTGGATGGGATTTGTTCTTTCTAGTTCAATGTAGAAAAAAATAAATTTGTTAGAGCTATAGTTGAATGACTATTTCATACAATTAAGCTTTACTTCATCAATGAAAAGTACTTGTTTGACACATTTTTTGTCCTAGTGGTTCACATCTACACCCCACCAATGGTTCAGCACCAAGGACAGAACAAGCTCCAATCATTCTCATGTCTTCACGGAAATCTTTTAAAACCAATCCATCAACCTTGACAGAGGAAATTAACAAAAATCTTGAGTAGAAATATGACAACATCCAAAGGACCACAGACAACAGATACAGACAGTTATCAACCAAGGATTGAGGTGTTCAAGAATTCATTCTTTCCTAGAACTATCGCAGAGTGGAACTCACTGTCACCAAGTACAGTAGGGGCATTGTCAATAGATAGCTTTAAACAATGTCTAGAGCTAGAAGTTCAAGGGTTAGGTGTAACAGGTCGATCGGTGTAATATAGCCAGCTGCCGCCGCGCCGCGTGCCTGCGAAGCTGGTGTGTTACGCCGAAAGGCGGTTATACCGGCTATACAGATACAGACAGACAACCACTCTCAACACCACAATTTGCCTCTCAAAATGCAGGGAATTGTGTTTTTGAAAGCTTGAAAATCAAGATTTCTTGGGGGAGCATTCCCCTGGACCCCCTAGATTGACAGTGCCCACGGCACTTCCCTCCCTAAATCCAATGATGAATCTGGGCTTACAGAAAAAAACTTTCAAGCTGGCTAGAGCCCTGATTCTGATGCATGCTGAGATATGGTCTCACCTGTACGTTGACATCGATGCTGCCTGTAGATAGGAGGTATTTACAGATGTCCAGGTTGCCTGCCTTGGCTGCCAGGTGCAGGCAGGTCAGACCCTCCATGTCCTGTAGGAGTACAGCAAGGAAAAATCTTCACTACTGTCATTACATGTACCTTTGTACACAGAGGTTTTGCTTCCATGTGTCTGAGTGTTTACTTTCTGTAGTTATTACCTTTGCCAAGAAGGTTATGTTGTCAGTAGTGTTTGTCTATTTGTCTGTCTGTGAACAGCATAACTCAAGAAGCTATGGATGGATTGTCATGAAAGATGGATTGATGGTAGATGGGTAGGTCTTGATGAGACCTAGAAATGATAAGATTTTGGAAAGAAGTCTGGTTCAGAATTGAGGACTTTGACCAGTACTACAGTCACATGTCACATTCAAAGAGTAAACAGGTCCATGTTGTGAACAAGGTTGAAGGAATCAGCCAAAAATTTGGGTAACTCCCAATTTATTCCAGTGTTGGAAGGTAAGTTTAGTCTTTATTTCATAATGTACTTTAACTTTACACTTGTAAAACAAACAAACCTTCTGGTTGATGTTGGCTCCAGCCTTGATGAAGTACTGTACAACAGGCAGCTGGTTGTTGTAGGCAGCCAGCAGCTGGAAATAGGCCGAGAAAAACGCTCACAGTTGGTCTGCACAATGTTAGGTTTACACTAATGTACTTACTTTTTGTCACATCTCAGGCTCTTTTCAGAAAAATAAGAAGCTTACAACATTAAAAGTATCAAATTTATAGCACAAAATTGCTGACGTACACAATAATTATGACAACTGATATTGATAATATGCCTCAGCCCACTAATACAGGCATCTGGCACCAAATTTGTGTTATTTATTGGGTTAGGAAGTCCTTTAGTCCTTTAATAAACATACACGAAAGAACACTTCATTGTCTCTACATTTTTTAAAAATTCAGTTATGTTTAGTCTCTTTCTCCACAAGCAAGTATCAAATTAACCTTCTCCCTGCTGCCTAACCCCATTACCAATACAAATTTGGTGCCAAACAGCTACCTTAGCAGACTAAAGGTTAAAGTTTGGATAATTTGCCAAGGTTGCCTTACCAGTGGTGTCTTCATCTCTTCACACGTGGCATCGATGTTTCCCCCAGCCTAAACACAAGAGCATCGTCAAAGATATGTCAGTCAAAATCAACTCAGCCAATGGGATACCGGTACAAGAAAAACTAGAAAAGTATTACATTTGCAAAGCAAATACATAATGTTTACCTTCGCATCTGGTCTGCTCTGTTAACTCTTACTCAAACACATTCATATATGTATATATGGTGACAGGTGTCTAAATCCCTCCTGCTATAAAATTGCAACATGATGTAACCCAACACCATTTATCATGGTGACAGGTGTCTGGTTCAGGTCATTGACCTTATTTGTTTGGAGAAGAAGAGGAAATAGAGCGAAAACAATATTTTTTCCTTCTGCAAAGGTAAACATAATAAAAAAAAATCCAGCAATGAACTAAAAGTACACCAGTTCAAGTTGTCCTACCTGGATGAGAATGTGAACGATCTCAGTGAAGCCCTTCTCTGCAGCAGCGTGCATGGCCGTGGCTTTGTTGTTGGACTCAAACTTGTAGTTTGGATCAAAACCATCAGCTGTAGAAATGAGGTTGTTAGAAGTTGAACTTTGAGTTTGAGTCCTTCTCTCACTATACAGTGTATATAGCAATCTTTTAATAGTATCAAAATGTCGAATCCTATTCCAACACAAGGGTTACACAGAGATCAAATTTTTAACGACCACTGTTGCCTTTATCAGGATAATCAATGACTGATCACTTCAAAACATAATCTTGCAAGAGTTACGGTTACAGACACGTGGCCTTATTCACACAAGACTTAACTGATATGTGACGTAACCAATTGATCAAAAGTTCAACATTTTACTATGATAACTACCAACACAGATGAACTTTCATGATAATCTTTTAATAGTCTTTGAGGCACACATGGTAACCTAGAACATGCCATCACAAAAGTTTGGCAATTACCATACTGAAAGCTGAATATTTATCACATAAAAGATTGTATTCCTCACCTAGCATGAATAAAACCTTCTGTAGCTCTCCTTGCTTGGCGGACAGGTAAAGGTTTTTGGGGAAGAACCTCAACTTTTTGGGCCTGCCAAAAAAAGCAAGACATATGATCAGCATGTTATAACATTGGTTTTCTAAAATAACATTGAAAATAAAAGTGTTGCAATGCAAGTTTTACTTTGTTCAACTGTATTGTGTAAGTTGGATCACTATATAGATATCACTGAAGTCTAAAAAAAGGCCTAGGCCTTACCTGTCTCCTTCAAAAGACATGAGTGCCTGTTCCAACAGCTCCCTACCAGGACCCATGGGAAGTTCAGCTGAGGATACCACAGCTCCATTTTTGAGGGTGACACTGTGGAAAGGCAGCGTGAGGTCCTCTTCTTCCTCCTGTACTCCCTCCATAACGGTCATACGGGCACTGCAACAAAAATGTTTTAAGTATAACCTGTTATATATTTCCATAAATATTGAGAGGCTGTTACTGATCTGACTTCTTTTTAAGAGTTTTCAGTCATTCTTTCAGTCTCAGAAGTTACAAAATTCAACAGGATTCATCTCACCATCTAACAATACAATCTAAAATCTCTTTTATACTGCCCACAGTAGATAGCAGAGCCCTATACCTGGGCAATTATGAAGTAACAAATAACTGACATTCACTACTGCTATCCATCTATTTGACATCTTTCAAATAATTTTTACAACAATGTTTTTTATTAGTGCAATTCATACATGTGTTGCAGTTTTATACAAAGCATTTAGTACTCCTGTACTTCTCTCCATGATCATGCAGTGATAGAAACATAGATTGCAGTGTGCTGCAATTTGGACATACTTTCTGCAAATACACACGTAAAAGTCCGGATCTCATACCATGACATATACAAAATTGCATGTTTGCAAAAATTTTACATGCAATTATCTGAAAAAACACACAAAATTACCTGAGTCAGTAGTAAACAAAATTTAAAGCTCTTAAACACCATTGAACGCCAAGCCTGATTTTTTTCAGTCTGCAAAATTGCAGATTGCTTAATTTTTCTTCCGCAAAATTGAAAATGTCTCAGACTGCAGATGGGTATTTCTAACACTGTACATACAACCCCAGAACCCGGCAAACCCAGCTCCACACCTTGGGGTACTTTTTGGCGGGGGGTCAGCTTTGGGCGACTCTGCTCCTTCCTTCAGAGCGGCCGGCTGCTGTTTAGGAGGAGCCACGAACATAGGTTTGGCCTTGGTGGCGTCCTCCCCACAGTGGGGACAGTACGTGTCATGGCCGATCTTCGTCGCACAGTCCTTGTGGAAGTTGTGGTGAATGTTTTCACCCAGCGAACATTGCAGGAAGGAACCCTGTTTTTGACACAAGGCAGATAAGGTGTTTATAGTTTTAGTTCGGTTTAATTCAATCAACTAGCATGTACACAGAAATTGCAACATGAAATTTGTTTAAAGTTACAAAGATAATATAAAATGCAGTAAAAGAACTACGTAAAAGACCTCTCGACATAGTAATATGGTTAAAAGTATAACAATATCTATTAAAAGCAAGTTAAAGAAACAATCGTGATCAATAGAATTCAGTTATCATCATTATACAGCTTGATTGCTCTAGTAGAGAACAACAGTTTATGTCTCTTTGTAAGCAACATGATCATACACAACACCTGGGGTAGTACAATTGTTCTTAAAAGTAGCAAAGCTATTTTTGAAATAGAAATACAGCTTTCTGAATGATAGACAAACTTCATCGGCTATTATCATGGTCAATCTTTTTCATCTGCTACACCAGTGACTTCAAAAGTCATCACTGCCATCTGACAGGTTTGCAATGCCACCTAGCAACTATGACTAGAACTGCAGGCGAGTGGTCCCTGTCCTTGGTGCTGAAGTCCACATGTCTAAGGGTTGTCCATGTATCTTGCTTAACAGACAGGAATGGCTTTGTTCTAGAGTTTTCCTGTTTTTTTTTCTTGCAAGTTTCTCACCAATACGAATCCCCATTTACTTCTGGTAACCAAAAATTACCTTCCTCTATTTGATGACTACATAGTATCATGGTATCTCTCTCTCTGTCATTATGGTATAATGTTTAATATACAAGTATCATTCTGAGAAACAATAAGGAGCAATTCTTCTGTACCATTGTGCAGAACTGTCCACATCCTGGGCAGCACTGGTGCTTCTGCATCCGTGCCCTGTTAGTGCGTATACAGAAAATCTAGTCAGACCATTACATTCAGACTGTTGAATGGAATATCTTTGCTTGCATAATCGTTTTCCAATATTACAACTGATTTCTACTCAAATCTCACCACACAACAACATATATTCCCGAAAATCTGGGTAAGTCCCAATTTACTCAGTGTTGGCCTGAACATTTAGCCCTTTTTGTCATAATGAAGTATACCAACCCAGATGAATTTTCATGCTAACATATTGCTGCCGAGCACTTTGTTCCTTTACTTGTTAATCCACATACATGTAGAAGTTCACCAATTGCTTTGCTGATAATCAACCTGTATCAAAGCCTGGATAGTGAGTGTGAGTAGGTATCAACTACAAACACTATGAAGCAATGTAAACTGCAATATCCAACACAAGAGATTTGGACTTATCCAAATTTTCCACTGTGCAACTTCATTCTTTGTCAAGTAATGTGCAATCCACAATGAGCAATTGACAAAGACTGGAGTTGTTCGATTGAAAACTTGGGTAAGTCCAAATCTCTTGTGTTGGAAATTACAGTTTTAACTGCTTCATAGTGACTTCTACCAACACAGATGAACTTTCAAGATAACTGCAAATACTTATTGCATACATGTATATAAGAGTCAAAGGTTTTGGAATGTTTTTTTCTTTTAATTTTTTTTTAACGGTGTCGCTCAATGCAAGGCCAATTATTTTTGGCCACTTCTAGGCATAGAGCTAGAGGTACTTAAGTCAGTATAATGTAGTTATGTCAGGAGATGGCGGTGGACCTTTGTTTTGAAGCTTTGTGGATTGTAATCGGACGGAAAGCAGCTGTTTGGAAGAGAGTTCCATAATTTTGCAGTCCGGGGAAAGAAGCTGTCATTGTTAAAGACTTGGAGATTTATTGTTTTTCCATCACCATGGCAACACGTGCTCACCTGTGTTGTTCACACACGCCCATGAAGGGGACTCTACTCGAGGGTCGAACCATCTGGGCTTTACTGATCAGATTCCTGCACCCAAACAACTGCACAGACAGGGCAGAAAGGTAAAACAAAAATTAAAGCACATACATGTATCTGCATCTGTATAGCCGGTATAAGTGCCCTTTGGCGTAGCACACCAGCTTTGCAGGCACGCGGTGTGGTGGCAGCTGGCTACATTACACCGAATGAATTGTTACACTTAACCCTTAAACGTTGCTAAAGCTATCTAGTGATAATGCACCTAGCGTAAATGGTGACAGCGAGTTCCACTCTGCGATAGTTCTAGGAAAGAATGAGCTTTTTAGACATGTATTGTTGGACGCTGGTGTTACAACTGGAAACTGAAGAAAAAAGTTGTCTAACAGTTTCAATTCATAGAAAACTTCTTTGAGATTTTTCATTCTGTCACATTTCTTTATACATGATAAAGGACAACCAGCACATTAGATGTCGAACTCACTGTATTGAATTCTGTCACATTTTCTTTCTATTTCTTTGACAATAATACTGGCTTCTCTGTCAATTGAAAAATATGTTGCTTGACCGATATGTAGACCACAAAGTTAACATTTTGCAAACCCAAAAGATAAAGACAAAGAAGCAACAACAATGAAAAACCTAAATTTGAAATGAGACATTTGATTGACAGTTCCATTCATACATTCATATCCCTTATCTGCCTGTACCTTTCCATCACAGCTTTCTATAGCCATACAGTATATCCCTGGGTTCTTCTTCAGGTCCATATGCCTGGGAGGTTCCATTTTACAGCTGCACAGGGGGGGTTCTGAGCGATTCACCTAGAAAATGGCAAATGAACCATTTGGCAAAGGATTCCTTATATTTCTCATCATAATAATTCATAATAATTTCCAAATACTTTATACATAAACATAGTGTTAACTACGAACCAAGGACTTTATCTTTTTATAGTAATTTTGTATTCAATTTTGAAAGAATGTTCTTGTACAAGGTACCTAAATGGCTAAATATAACAGACATAAATACTCACAAACTGCATGTCAAACTGCTTGTCGATCTCTTGCTGTGCTGAGACTTTTGCAGTTCGATTTGGGGCCGCTAGGGGGATAAAAGTAAGGCATTTCAGATACTGGTCAGTGTTATCAATCATATTGTAATTAGGTCTTAAATGCTGACGATTTTGTCGTACTCAACCAAAGAACACTGTAAGAACAAGCCAACCTAACAACACATAAGATGATTATTTTTCTCATTTCCTTGTACATTTTAATTATTTTGATACCAGGTAACCCTAACTTTCTTCAATCACATTGTATTCAGCCATGTGATTGTTTTCATGGTATTTGGAGAGTAATCAACAGTACTGATGACTTTTTATGCGGGCAGGACTACTGCCTGTACTGGATACTTTTTCTATTGCTTACTAGAAAAAGTATGCATTTTTTACTTCCTAAAATTATTATCTATTAGAAAATGCCACCCTCCTCTCGACTCGACTAAAATAAGAAAGGAAAGTTAGCCATACGTCGTAACCAATGAGGGATGTCTGCCATGTCCCAGATGGTTTGCTGATTCTGTCCATTTTCTTTTCCATTTCCTACAGAAAAATTACAGAAAAAAAATTAGATTGAATTCCAATAATCCAATGAAAAAACCGACCCCCTAGCTAAAAATCTGATTCTAGCACAAAAGTAATCGAAATTTTACAAAATTGTAAAAGGGACAGACTATTGTGTTATGGACCAAGTTTGAACTGTAATTTCCAACACAACAAATTGGACTCATACAAATTGGACCCAATTCACCGCTTCCGTGACGTCACGCTGATAACACAAGTGACTCCGTGAGCAGTGGATCATAGGTCACAAAAAAAGTGGTTGATTGCTCATTTCTTGACAAAGACTGGAGTTGTACAGTCAAAAATTTGGGTGAGTCCAATTTCTTGTGTTGCAAATTACAGCTTAAACTCGCTTCATAATGATTTCTACCAACACAGATGAACTTTCAAGATAAGACTGTTGTGTTGCTTTCCAAGGTGTTGGTATCTAACCTGATCTGCTGGGTGTGGAGGCATTGGAGGAACTTGGATGACCAGATGCGTCACTCAAATCTGCAGGAAAAAGCAATGGCAGTCGTTTTAACTATTCACTGGTTCAGCAGTTTTTTTCTAAATCCAATTTTAACGTCATTTTCCCCCGAAATGGGGGTTAGACGTGCTTGCATCAAATGCAAGTCTTTTTTTGAAGCAAGATTTTTAGATTTTGTTTAGAAATTAGACTATATAATGAGGAAAAACATTTATCATAACAAGAATGGATTGTCTGTTGCTTTACATCTGGATAAAGACCACTGTTGCAAATTAAAAGTATTAGGTACTTATTGTATTGCGTATTGCACAACGTGAAAACAGAACTGAAAGCTTAAAACCGCTGCAAGCGAACTCTTGAACAGAACAGAGCGCAGAGGGTAAACATCAGTGTTGTCGTAGCAGCATCTATGGGATACAGAACAACAGTCCCGCCTCCAAACCCATACTCACCTAACCTGGCATCCATGCTGATCTAGCTCCAATATGCTTGACTGACTGCTTTGCTATAATATACTATATACAGGCAATGTCTTCAATTAAATGTTTCAATCCTTATGTCATTAATTGTTTAGGGTATCAAATATTTTTTGCAAGCAGCGCAAACTTCCAAATGCCTGTTTCAGCCCTTGTGTCATTGTTTAGAATTAGAGTATCAAGTATTTTTTTGCAATCAAGACAAACTTCCAAATGCCTGTTTCAGCCCTGTTACCTTGCCATTGCAAATATGTTATTGCATCGGACTATTTATAATATCAGTAAAGCCACCAGGACAGCAAACGGGAGCTAGAACAGAGTGGATACCTTGCCGAATGCTTACCACGCTAAGATAGCGAGTGCAGGAGGGAAGAACAAACGAGAACCTTAGCCCTCTGCGCAGGAACGTAACACGAACTCCAGACGACACAAAGAAAGAACCCACCGGAGCTACTACCGTTAATTTTTCTTTTAGGCTTTTTCCTCTTCTTGTAAGTGAAACCTATCGGTCGCTTGTTCTTCTTCTTCCGTAGGTTGACTGCTGAGGCAGATGACTGGCCATCTTCTTCTACTTTCTCTTTCTTCTCCAGTGGTTCCTGGTTTGAATCCTTCAAATACAGCATAAGAATAACACATGAAAAAGTATGATTGATATTTAAACAACTCCTAAATAGGTACATTTTTGCAACACTGCAAAATCTTACACATCATTATCATTATTCTTTCTTGAAAAACCTATGGTCACACCAATTTGATTTGTTGGTTCTCGACAATTTTTCAGAAAAAATACGAAGAGACGGGGCGCAAAAAAATTCAGAGGCTGAAATGTTTTGTTTTTTTTTGCAAATCAGAAAAAAATGGAAATCGTGAACCAACAAATTAAATTGGCTTGGCCTAATAGTATACGTACAAAATGTATTAAATCTATTACATGTATGTCATTAGACAATAGACTGCTGGTCTGGAAAAACAAGTTCAATATTCATTCTACATGTTCTGAAATTGACATTACCTCTTCATTGAAAACCTCATCCTCATTTTCATCCGCCATGACTTCCTCCTGAACCGCCATTTCCTCCACCTCCTCCCCCTCTTTACCCTTCCCATCATCCTCTGCTTCTGCAGCGCCTGGCTCCTCCCCTTGGGTCGACTTGTCAATCACATCTGTTGCTATAGTGATGGCTTGCGGGGCGACTGTAGCTATAGCAAAGCTGGCCAGTCCTTTATTGTCTTCCTCTCTCCTCTCCTGGAGCATTTCTTTAACAGTTTTCGCCTTGGGTTTCGGCGGTTTGGCTGTCCTGATGTAGTCGTGCATGTTGCTCGCTGTGACGTCATTCGTGGCCGATCCGCTGTCGCTGCTTTTCTCGGTCGCTTCCTCGTCCTCCCGGTCCTCCTCCTGCTCCGAGTTCATCGTCTCCAGAGCGTCCTGTAGCGTCTTCAGCAGCTGCTGCTTCTTCTGTTTGCTGATGTCCTGCGCGGCGCTGCCTCGTGGCCGGCCTCGGTGCCGCCGAAGACGTCGCCCGCTCGGAGTGTCGCTTTCCTCCCCGTTTAGGTCTTCGGACTGTTCCCCTTCCTCTTCCCCGATCTCGGAACTGGTCGCGGACGAGTGTTCCGTGTTCGTGGTGGATTCTCCGCCGCTCGCCACCACCTCTTCAACAGTTGTTATCTTATAATGATAAAAATAATGTTATCTTGAATGTTATCTTGAAAATAATAATGTTATCTTGAAAATTTAAGTCCAATTTGTTGTGTTGGAAATTACAGTTTAAACTTGCTTCATGATAATAATGAATAGTTTATTGGTCAAACAATACCCATGCAATATCGCAGCCTTTTATAGCACTGAATTGATGCAGGGTTTACAATCGCATAATAAGGCCACACCAATTTAATTTCTTGGTTAACGGATTTTTCTAGGAAAATAATGGAGCGGGCGGGCGAAAAAAAAATAAAAATAAAAACAGGCCAAGGCATCCTATTATGCCCCAAAATGGTACGATAAGAGCTATGAAGTCAACACACCAGGCTGGTTCAAAATTTAAGCAATGAATTTTAAACTTTTAATGATACCACTGCATTGAAAGATGGAATGACTGTAACAAGTAGTTAGAAAAGGACTGTTTTTAACTGTTCAGGGAAAAATGTGACCATTTTGCAGTTGATTCTGAATTTTTATTTTTATTTGCAAATCAGAAAAAAATGAAGCGGCGGATCCGTTAACCAAGAAATTAAATTAGTGTGGCCTAAGGGTAATTTATCTTTTAATCTTGTAGTATTAGGGAGGGCCAAAGATAAAACATCAGGTTTCCGGCCCTCCCAAGCATTTCTACTTATCTTTCAATTGTTACACTTTATTTTATTTCAGTGCAAAACAATAAATAAACAAAAAATGGTTTACATGTATTGGTCAAACATTGCATGTGCAATCTCAGCCTTTTATAGCACTGAATTGATGCAGGGTTTACAATCACAAAATACACATGATACATATATTAACATATCTGCTCCACACACACTTTTGTGGAATTATCGCAAGGGTCTGTGCGGCTGCCATTCGGCACCACCAAGTGACCTCAATTCGACTTTCCCCACCCAAAGTTAGATACCCATTCACACCTGGGTGGAGTGAGGAAAGTCGTGTAAAGTGCCTTTCCCAAGGGCATAACGTCCAGACATGTCCCGGGATCAAACCCAGGTCTCACTGTTTCATAGTCAAATGCTCTACCACATACATACCTTTGGGGTGTGGTGGTGACCAGACTGGGTGGACTTCCGTGCCGTCCGTTTGCGAGTGCTGCGCTGCGAGCCAGGGGGTTGGGAGTCCGCCAAGCTGGGCGTCCCACGGAGGTTATACTTGGGGGTTCCGGGATCACTGGACGTGGAAGCTATCACTGCGGTGCTGCCGACGGAGGGGGTTCCCTGAGACGTGAAGATGTTGCTGAAGTTTCTCGCGCCCGATTTCGCTTCCGCCTGCTGCGAAGCTCGGCTGGTTCCTGGCTTGAGCGGGGAGATGGTCATCTTGGCGCGCGTGGACACCATGGCCTCGGTGGTCGCGGCTTTCTGAGCGGACCGGGTCTGGACTGAGCTGGTCTCCTGGTTAGGAGAACTCATCTTTACATCAGGGACGTCGCTCTCGGCACTCACAACACCAGAGGTAGAAACGGCAGTAACGTTGGACCCTAAAAAAAAGTTTAACAATAAAAATAAACCAGCCTTTATCTCATTTTAGAACAAAAAACTTTCTGCTTTGTAACTATCATATCAATATACAGCTACAACAAAAAGACAAAACAGCATGCAAGTAAACTAATAACACCAGAGGTAAAAACGGCAGTAACGTTGGACCCTGAAGTTGGACAATGAAAATAAGCCAGCCTTTAACTAATTCTATAACTTTATGCATGTTCATATTAATATAAAGCTAAAATATAAAGAAAAAGCACCATGCAAGTAAACCGATATTGTACTTAAAACCATGTTTTTTACATCAGGAATGTCACTCTCAGCATTTACATGTACAACACCAAAGGTAGAAATGGCAGTAACGTTGGACCTCATTCTACAACAACAAACTTTCTGCTTTGTATCACATCGATATACGGCTAAAAGAAAAAAATAAAAAGACAAAACGCCATGCAGGTAAACTAATATTGCACTTAAAAGCACATTCTTTCACTTCCCTTCATTGAACAAACAATGGTGACAATGGGGTGCTAGAAACATGAGCTAGACCATGTGCCTGCCTTTCTTTGAGATTGACTAGACCAAAAAGTCAAAGACAAGAATACAACTACTGTTATTACTACTACATTGTGCTACTACTAGTACTACTACTACTCAGAGCAACTTCATTCAAAGCAACATGACGACATGCAATTGTTCTGCGACCAGAGGAAAAACTGGCTATTCACACATAGCCATAATGAGAAATGCTTAAGATTTGATTGTTGGCAATAGTGCTATATTTTGGTGATCCATTCACAACAAACAAGGCAATGTCTATGCTTGAATATGATTGTCATTGACTGTTTGCATGATATGTGACAAAGGTGTAGTTGGCCATGGTGCTGAGTTAGTTTCAAGTTTCACCTTTCCATAAAATGGAACATGAACACTTCACAGCTACAAGAAATGTTTTAAAAATATTGAAAATGTCACTTCTTCAGCCTTCATAGCGGAATATACAACTAGAAGAGTTTTTCAAAGGTTCAAGTTGTGGCATCTGCCTCACTAAACAACAGTGAAACTTGCCTACTACACTTTTTTGTCCAAGCAGGTACAAAGTCTACTAACAGCATGCTGGTTTTTTAGGGATCTGCTTACATTATGCCAAGGTTGGGTAAACAGTCAATGAATACAACACAAACACACAGGTGGAACTGCTGGCTTGGTGCACTAATTGCCTGGGACAGTATACTAATTAGTTAACAACAAGTAGGTAAAAATAGTCTTGTTCCCCCCGAGGTCTATATATATATGCCGCATGGTCTTCTGATGACCACAGCACTTGCAAGGCCCCCTTGTCACCACTCTCCCCTCCCTGATGATATGCCAAGGCCACAGAGGTAGTTGCAAACTCACCAATCTGGAAGGTAAAAGAGAGGTGTGGTCAGTTACTGTGGCCCTACAACACACACACCGCTCTCTCACTGCACCATGTGGTCCCAAACATGGAAGGTGTCTGTTTCTACAAGAGAGACCCCTAGTGGCCAGGTTAGTACTGCAGGTTAATGTGCAGCACAAAGGTCAACTTTTGTGTGCCAATCTTCTTGGAACAATGAGCAGGGGTGTGGTCAACTGGCCATGCTAGGAGCCCCACACCACAAAAGTTAAACGATCAACGGCTTCTAGGCCTAATGGAGGGTGTGATAGGGGGATCACATTCCACCTTTTAGTCAATACTGATAAAATCAGGCTTTTGTAAACACTACAACAGTACACGCAGGCTTTTGGAAAACTGAGCTATACAAGGTTTCTATATGTAGCTCTAGATTTCACAACAACATAATATGTCTATAAAATACATTTGCATAGAGCTACATATAGATCAATTATACATGATATTTTGTGGCCCTTTTGTAAAAGAGCCTGTTGCATGGGTCAAATGATAACTACTAGTATTTGGTTTCCATACATTGACTACAAATCCGAGGTCAATACCACAATTGTTTTTTTAGTCAAGGACTTGAGGACAATTGTACAAGAATTGCAACTGTTTAAACTTCTCCCATCTGAAGTAGCCTTTTGGAACCAATTTGGTGACAATTACAGGGCTAGGCAGAAGGGAGGAGGTTAGAATCATCAACTCACTAACACAAAAAGTGTTTCTGAAATTCTACTTGTCTCTATGAATGGTTGTAGAAGACCTTACGAAACTTGCTGTACTTTTGTTGTGTCAACACAGATTGTTGTTTCATGTTGACATAATGAAACAGCACGTCCTGTTCCAACACAAAAGCACACTACCTTACCCACGTATTCATGTTCATATCACTCATTAGAACACTGCACACATGGCATTCAATTCATTTTCACTTCAAAGCACACACGTATAGTAGTTAATGTCTAGACTTAGGAATGACAAATAATACAATCTAAGGCCACACCAATTTAATTTGTTGGTTCTCGGATTCGCCTCTTCATTTTTTTCTGATTTGCAAAAAAAAAAAGGATTCTGGTTCTGAATCAACTCAAAAAGGCTCATATTTTGCCCCAAACAGTTGAGGAAAGTCCTAAATCCTTCCAAGTTGTTACTGTCAGTTTTTCCATCTATCAATGCAGTGGTTTGATTAAAAATTAAAATTTCATTAATATTAACCCAGCTGTTTGTGTTGACTTCATGGCTCCTATCGTAGCATTTGGGGCTATAATAGGATGCCTAGACTTGATTTCATTTTTTTTTCGCCCTGTCGCTTCATATTTTTTTCTGAAAAAATCTGAGAACCAACAAATTAAATTGGTGTGGCCTAAGGTAACATGATATTGAAGTGCTTCTTTACATCTATTTCATGTGTGCTGAGCTTGAAATAATACTACTACTACTGCATGTGATTGACTTGACACATACAGCAGCCATTTTGAAATGCTTCAATAAGTCCCTGCCTCTCATTGGTTGGATTTCCAACATGGTGGTCTGAAGAGCGAATCACGGCTGTTGTTACATATTCCTGCAGTAGAGGGCGCTCACCCAAAAGATTACAAAATTTGACAACTTCATTCGTATAAAAAACATTCAAGTGGTGCTCAGTTTGTGGTTATGAAATTTACACTGTCAATGCTGATAAGATACCATTTACATGTACCTTTGGCAATGTTTCTGTTGATAAATGACTATCACAAATCAGATTCTTCTTTTGTTCAACATCAAACTTTCTTGGGGTCAATTCCAACTGAAACTCCTGTGCTACTAAGTATTTAAATAAATCTGAAAACTACCCAGTCACTACACTGGAAGGCAAAGAAGTCACTGGCTCCCTAGTACTAACATTGACCACGTAACACATTCAGATACTTCATAGGCTTTCATAATCATGCAAAAAAATTCTAGCCTGGTTACCAAACCTATTTTAGCTCCAGAGTCCTACATCCTCTCGGCAAATTTTAGGTCCCAAGTCCTACATCCTCACGGCAAATTTCTGGCGAGGATGTAGGACTCGGGAGCTAAAATAGGTTTAGTAACCAGGCTAAAAATTCCATGCTTGTTGAACCATTTTGTAGAGATCTAGATTTCAGGGAATTATTTCAGAAAAAATTATGCAATTTCAGAAAAAAACTATACTGCATCATTTGCTCTAGTTTACAAGAAGAAAATTTGACTGTTGGAGAGAATTTGCTTAAAATTCTAAAGCTAGACCTCATGCAGGCAGGAGATTGTGGCTGATCAACACATTATCTGAGAAAACAAGATGGTGGACACAGGTAACATGGGCTCTGGCCATGGTGCTAGTAACGCGGTGCAAGGGTAGAACAATTTTCTAGAGGACTTGAATACAATTTTCAAACACAACATTATTATACAATATATTACAAAACAATTATACCTCAGCCAATTGTTATTCATTGTGTTGAATGGGTTAGCTGAAGCTATCTGTATGGACAGTGTTGGTAATTCATCATATAACATACATGCTGTTGGATACCAGTATACCATTTATCTTATCAACTGTGCTTGTTTGACATTTTCTACTCTTTGTTGCTACACTGCAATTTCTGAGCAACCGTTAAACAATCAAAAGTGGATTTGCACAACCCTTGAACTTATAACTGTAATGTGGAGCACAATGCATATGTATTGACTTTAAAATAATGAGAAGAAAACAAAAAAACGTTAATATTTGGCTATGAAATTCAGCCATTGCATCTGTCAGATATTTGGTCACTCATCCCTTTATAAGGGACTACCATATTCTCATGAGTTATCAAATTCCAGGTTGAAGCGTAAGATTTAGAATTACATGGTCATATGCAACAAATTAGCAACCCAATCATACAGAAAATGAGGTCACACAATCATCTTCAAACAGCCTTCCGAACGGCTACACTGTAATAATGTACATACCTCTGACAACTGGCATGGCTAATGCATTAACAAAACACACCTTGCTTTCAGTTTTAGTTTGTTGACAAATAAGCACTTATTGCCTCTAGTGAGAAAACAATACAAATATTACAACTGACAATCTTAACAGATATGTGTAAATCCAACTTGTTTCATACTCAAAACATGTCTTTGTACTCATATTCTTTGTCTTTGAAATAATAAGAATTTCTAATGAAATATTTGCAGGAATTCAGAAAAATAAGGAAAGGGTGTCATATGACATACATATCTGTCCTAAAGAATACCGTTAAGTCCGTAAAATTGAAAATTCTTTTAAAAAATGATCAGCCTGGCCTCATTTTTTATACAAAGTGTTCATGTGTGACAAGAAAACTCTCAAAACAGGGATACTGATTATTCCATAGATCCACCATATACACTGCCCTATATACATGTACCTCTGAAGTATATTTTACAGTTCCCGATAGTGATACATACATGTCATGGTAGCAATTACAATCTGGCAAAACACTAAGATAAAACCCTAAATTTGAACATTTTGGGAGAAGTGCTAGGATTTGAGGGAGAGGGGGAGCACCCTTGCTTCATTGGTTTGGGAGATCATTAAATTTCAAGTATGCCTCAACCAAACATAGGCATGTACATGGTCCAATTCATGGTGGTGACTGTTTTACATAAAACAAGGACAAAGAACAAGCAAGTTTATCAAAGCTGTTTTATTGTCTGCTGAATAGAAGGGTGTCAAATCCTGCTGTTGGTTGGCAGAGATGTACGATGGTCACGCTGGATCCATAACGTCAGGACTTGAAGTTGAAAGCTGTCCAGCCCCAAATCTTCACATTGACATTGACTGCTTCGTGTAATAAAGTACGCTTGTGGTTAGCATACAACCATCTAAAAACACTGGTCATTTTTGGATTGTTGGTTCTAAATTTCTAACAAAGAGTAAGACCATGGAGGTAGAAGAGAGATCTTCTACCTCCATGGTAAGACTAAAGGCCTGCATTCCAAAGTTGGAAACCTGATATAAAATAATAATTTTATCATTTGAAAAAGTATGCTTTTCATAATGAAATGTTACCGTCAGTTTTTTTATAACGTTTAAATTTAGACTCAAAACTTCCTGAGGTTATAATTAAAAATTTCATGAGAGTTTCAAAATTGACAATGACCAGTGTCTGAAGTTGAAGACCTCAGAATAGCTGTAAACATTGTATGCAAATCCAGGACAGGGGGTCAGCTAGGCACTTTAGGCTCCCTATTTAGCCTATATGGCATTCAATAAAACACAAACACTTTATGTCAACACCTTGAAACACGATCATTGGTAGATAACAAAATCAGAGCAAGTGCAACTTCATTTCCTTCTGCAGCTTCCAGGTGCCAGCCAGCCTGAAGACGCCCCCACAGGTACACGAAACTCCGATTCGCGGCGTTGTTTGGATCGCGAAACCAAAACTTCACGGTGAAACTAAAGCGCTGCGCCCGGTTCTGTTGGATTTAACAGACGGAGTGGGATATTTTACCGCCGAAGAATCGCAGGCAGCGGTTTAGAGACACGGACAAGCACGCGGCGTCGCGGCGCCATGCGGTACCAAATTGTACGCCATCTTTTTACACCGGATTCATTCGACCCACGCTTTGAACTAGTAAAATTCGAACTCCAGCCGAAGCGATTCCGCAAAGTACGCGCGCCATAACAATCTATTAACAGGTAAAGCTGCGCTTAATACTGGATTCTGACGATCACTGATATCTTCTCTACCTACTGCTTAAACAAGAAGTTAATTGGACGAACGGTAAGGAAGAAATCGGAGTAAAATCACAGCTTACTACCTCGGGATTTTGCGATTCTTCCGCCGCCATGATGCCGAATGGGCGCGCAGTGCGCATGCGCCTGGGGGAAACCCGCGGTGTTCTCCGGCAGGGAGGAGTTTACCTGAGGAGCCCGTTACCATGGCAACGGACTGGAAAGTTTATCATCATCGACAACTGAGTAAAAAAATCGTCTGAAAGGAGCATCTGACGGCCATGATTTAATTTTTAGACATCGTCCAAAGCTGGCATGGGCGGGGCCTACTGAGAATAACATCGGTCACATGACCAACTGGAGACAGTTGACGGTGTTGATGTCTCATTTTGACAGGTTCAAATCTCGTTTGACCATCTGTCAATCATTATTACCCGCATTAAAGCAACGTTATGGTATGAAATATCAGTGAAAGAAGGGGGTACAGGGGTGCATCGTACATGGGGGTATCGAGAAAGTAGGAGAATCTCACCTAATTAATATTCATACCACCAGCCGTCCAACCAGCGTTGACCTTTCTTTCCTTCCAACCCGTTCAGAGATCACTAGTAATATTGATAACATCGCAAAAGATATCTTTTGATCAAACACGCACACCAGCACAACTTAACCCCCTTGATGTCTCGAAAAGTCGTCCGACAAGAAGCCCACGAGAACACGATTCACACGTGACTTCCAGGACAAACAAGAAGTCACCTGTGATCATGTGAACACCTAACGTTTTAATAGACTTAAAGCCTTCTGAGTTGGCACTCAGACTCAGAGAGATCCCTCTCTCCTCTTAGTCTTTGATTCCCTGTTTCACACTCCTCAGACGTGTGTGTCTACGATCTTCGGAGTTGTAATACTAATAGGTCTGGACCCCTTGTCTCCACCAGACTTCTTTGCAAGCTGAATCATGAGTGAGAAATCGGCCTAAAAAGGAATGTATTAAAATGACCAGGGTAGTTAGCCGGCAATAGAGGGTCCAGTTTGCCAGACCTGTACGAATATTAATGCACCGTGTGTCTACGATCTTCGGAGTTGAAATAGGTGGGGGTCCTAACCGAGCGCTGACTTTTAGTGCCTTCCCATACATTACACTCCTTTGCAGACTAACAAGCCGCCAGGGGATCCAAAATCTAATCATTTTGAGGTCTCATGAAGACCTACCCACCTACCAAATATCAAGACAATCCATCCTTCTTGCAATTGAGTTATCGTGTTGATAGACAGACAGACACACACGAACACCGCCGAAAACATAGCCTTCTTGGCGAAGGTAATAAATACTAGGCATCGGCCTAAAAAGGAGGTGCTAGTACATAATTGTCAGGGCAGTTAGCCGGCCATAGCAGGATAAATTGGCTACCAAATGGCCGGCTAACTCCCCTGGCCAATTATATACCCCCTTTTAGGCAGCGGTTTCAACTATTTATTCAGCCTGCCGAAGGAGTCTGGTGTAGGCTAGCATCCCGAGGGAGCATCCCAACAATGCCAAGGCCAAGGCCACGAGCATACCAGAGGGGGAACCTACAGAGTGATTCGCTATCTAGTAGACCATGGAGTCAGCTCACTTTGCCGCTATACCAGAAAGTCAAAGCTGGTTCAACTAGGAAGATAACCTTATATATGCCATACGGTATACGTCAAATTTGGCAAAGCAATTTGACTCCCGATACGGTAAGCGTAGCCTCTACCAGGCTTCGGGAGGCGGCTGGAAAGGGTAGCAATCGGCCAACTCTCCCGGGAGCGGCAAACTGTTCTCTCCAGCCGACCAAACTCCCTTGGCATGCTATCTCTCTATTTGGCCGATTTCTACTCTTTCCAGCCGCCTCCCGAAGCCTGGTAGAGGCTACGGTATGGGAACACGTGTTATCTCAGTTACTGTCTAGTTTGATTTTAGCTGATTGTCATGATATAAACAGCTAGTTAAACGACTCGTTTTCCAAAGCTTACTCGATTTTGAAGTTCTTTGTGGAACGCACATGTCAATGGCTGGCGTTAACTTATTCTGACAGTGTCTGTCAATTGTGCTGAAATCTAGGTCAGTGTTCAACTAATATTCCCCGTGAGAGCTGTTTATCAAGTTTTAAAAGATTCTGTACGATTAAAAGGCATAAAATCATACATGTTATCAACTCATATCTGTAAGAAATTGCACAGTTGGTAAGGTCCAATGCCATTTAATATTTGTTCTACCAGGAGTGATTGGCGTTCCGCCAAATATGCAAATAAGGGGTATACGTAATCTGTGATGATGTGGTTGATATTGGTGTGTCCGGGGAGGAGTAGACTTGCCAACATCACAGTCTGGATGTTAAATGCATATATATGATCCTTTTGCAGCTCTTGGTCTAAGAAGCGCCTAGTGTTAGGCAAACTTTCCCCCAGCTCTATTTTTTTTAATTATTATTTCCAACATGTAATCACAAGAGTTTTTAAAACTTATATTAATGCCGCCACCAACACAGGGGACAATACAATACTCATTTTCACCTGAGCGGAGTGAGGAAAGTCGTGTAAAGTGTCTTTCCCAAGGGCACAAGATCGGTGGCATGTCAGGACTCGAACCCGGGACCTCTACGTTCCGAGTCGAGCACTCTGCCGCTACGCCACACGACCCCACTAACTGACTCTATTTGAACCTAGTAATACCTCCGTGTACGTACGGTTATCATCAGTGTGTCTGATGTGTTTTCGTAGAACTACACAGTATTTCCACAAACTAGGCACATGGGAGACATGTACACTGCTGAAAGGCAGTTAGGTCAAATGCCCCAAAAAGGTCCCATGAAAGGTTATCTCATTTTACGTCTTCAGGCTACTGCCTTACGGAAGCCATTGGGAAAACGAATAGACAGAATGAGCGAGAAATGCACGATAGTGACTGACACAAAGCATTCACAAATCCACGCATAAGTTTTTGCAGAGTGGAACTCGCTGTCACCAAGTTCAGTAGGGGCATTGTCATTAGATAGCTTTAAACAATGTCTAGAGCTAGAAGTTCAAGGGTTAGGTGTAACAAGTCGTTCGGTGTAATGTCTAGCCAGCTGCCGCCGCGCCGCGTGCCTGCGAAGCTGGTGTGTTACGCCAAAGGGCGGTTATACCGGCTACACAGATACAGATAATTCTATTCGGGTCTAAAGAGATAACTGAGCTGACCAACAACACATTCAACACCGATTGTTCTGTCAGTTGAGCTGCAGCAGGATGTCACAGGTATGAAAGATCTAGAGCCATGCAGTACAAGCGCGCCTCCTGTCGACTAAGACTCCTACTGCAAGGTGTCAGCACAACAAGGCACCTTGTCAAAATTTTGTAACGGATTTGCTAAACTACATTCATTACGCCATATAAAAAGTGCTACAGAGATCCAAAGATAAGTCAAGCTAGCTTTTCGTTTAGAATGCCTTCCGAGTAAAACCTTATAAAAAGCATCATCGGTTATCTTCATAAACCCAAGCTTTTGTTTGTTTGTTTGTTTGTTTGTTAGTTTATTGAGATCTCCATTAGTACGGATGGTGTTTCGCTTACGAGTAGCACTAACGTACGCGTGCCATTTGTCGTACGCAGGATTAAGTGTTACACTAGAAAAGAAAGTTATGAAAAAACAGACCCTGGTAAATCCGGGAAAAATGAAATTTTATTAAAACCCTGGTGTGACAATTCTGTACATCTAAATCAAGAGTGAACGGATACTATAGCTAGTATACATGTGCAATGACGTAGTTACGTGTCACCATGAAAAAAACAATGTAGCATACTACAGTCTATATATGTGCAAGAGATGATGCTAAAAAGTCATGAACTGATTATGCAACAGGCTATCACTTTGTTTTGTTAGTTTTGTTAGTGGACCAGCAAGCACTTTGTTTTGTTAGTTTTGTTAGTGGACCAGCAAGCAACATATGAAAAAAACTGTTTGTTTGACTTTGTAGAGAAAGACTAATCTGAGTTGAAACTACTTGTAATACTGTTCTGTTAATGAAAATGACGACAAAAATACTTTTATTTTTTATTTTTTGTCTTTTTGAATACCGAAGATAACTGGACTTTATCCTTAGCGTAATCAGAACTTCTACGCTTCGATAAAGACAGGGGTGATAACAGGTTGATGATGATATTTCAACAATATGTTCATCTTTGTAAGAAATGTTTCCAGTTGTGGGTAACCATCATAGCTTTTACATGAGGAACTAAAAAAAATCAAACTGCGCTGCAAAAAAGTTTTCCAAACCCTTGCCGAAACCCGAAAATCGAAACGTTCTGATGTTCTAGAACTGCAAGAAGTGTTTCCAGTTGTGGGTCACTACTACTGCTTTACATGAGGAAGTAAAAAAAATCAAACTGCGCTGCAAAAACCATTTTCCAAACCCCAAAAATCAAATATCCTGGGAATTTAGAGTCCTGCCGCCCTCCTTGCTGCAATGATCATTGCCAGGAAGTTCCTGGCCTTCCGACTCCCGTCCCAGATGAGCGACGCTTGGTTCGTGCCTGGAACCGGCAACAGGATGGGACGAACGTGAGCGAGGACTGGGATGATGGGGATGGTCTGCAGCGGAGAGATGATGCTTATAAAACTCCTGAGCTGACTGGTACCAGCAAGGACATTGTATAATAATATATATTATACTAGCCTGGGTACCATTCGCATTTTCGCTCGGCAACGCTATTTTTCGAGCGTTGCGGAGCGAAAATCTGGATGGTACCCAGGCTAGTATAATATATATACAGGATAATATTACACAACAGGCTATCACTTTGTTATGTTAATGCAAGCAACATACATCTGAAAAAAAATCATATATCGTTTGCTTGACTTTGTAGAGAAGGACTATCATCATACTACTATCATCACCCCCGTATATGTGCGCGAGCCGTACCGTTGCACAAGCATAGCTAATAGAATGAATGAAAGACCTTTATTGTACATTTTTGCTCATTGCGAACTAAGTACAGGTCATGGTAAATAGCGATGGTAGACTACAACATATCTATAGTAAAACTACATATGTACAGGTTCTGCTTCTTCTCGCTTCTTTTCAAAGACAATTGTAGATGTAACTGATGGAGTTTATAGTACGAGGATTATCGAGTTCCATGAGTAATAAAAAAGGCATGCTTCACCTCTGCCGAGGAAGACTGGCGGGGAGTCTGTCCGGACTCAGTAGTGTGGGCTGCGGAAGTCTTCTTCTGGCCCGATTTCTCTCCGGAACTGGGGGTTTGGGGATCTTCCTTCTTCTGGCCCGATTTCTCTCCGGAACTGGGGGTTTGGGGATCTTCCTTCTTCTGGCCCGACTTCCCTCCGGCACTGGGGGTTTGGGGAGGATCTTCCTTCTTCTGGCGGGGCTGAGATACAATAATGATAATAATAATAAGAATGAACTTTATTGCTCTACAATCGTACAAGGTACAATGTATGGCAGTAATACAACAATACTACAAAACTTTACTTACTACAAACTACTATCTAAACAGTATTTAAGTTACCATATGGTCATGTATTGATGATATGTTCTCGCTTATGGAATAAAGTGTACAGAAATTAGCCTACGTAAGATATGGTAGTTGGACATGATAATAATTCATGAGGGGTTTACTTTCGGGTGACCGGCCTCGACGGGGGGATCCTTCTGACCCACAGATGCAGTGCTCTTCAGCTTTTGGTCGGGGGGAGCCTTCACAGCCTTAGGGCTGTCTGCCTTTGCTGCTGACTCTTTCTTGGGCTGAGGCTTCTTTGTTGGGCTCTGTAGCAAGAACCCAGCTTTCATTCCGCCGAATGTGGCCTTCGGTTTGCCCTTGGCTGCACCGGGAGCTCGCACAGAGGTGCTAGGTTTGTCGGGCTCTGTGGGTTTGGTCTTCGGCGTGTTCGCAGGCCCGTTCAAGTCACTGCGCCGGCCTTTCATTTTCACTGAAGTTGCGCAAGACTCATCGTTGGGCGTTGTTTTCTTCCTCACCGATGTACCAGACTCCTGTGCAGGTGCGCTAGGCGGCCTCACCACGGGTGGGGGCGGCACTGCACTAGCACTTTTCTCACTGCGAACGAATCGCACGTTCACGGCTGTAGAGAGAACATACCAGAGTCGGTTAGAAGCGGTGTCAAGCCATATACATGATCCTGCCAAATACATGACTCCGGCACTACTTGGGGGTTTCCAGTATCAAGAGACCTGAGACAAGGGGTGGGAGGGGTTTGGTCGTGATGTGGGAGACTAAACCTAACCTAACCTATCCCCAATCGTAAGCCTAACCCTAGCCCTGAACAATAATCCGAACCCTGACGCTAACCCTAACTCTAACCCCAACCCTAACTCTAATAGCTAACCCTTACCCTAATACCAACCCTAACCCTAGCCCTAAACACCTGACCTCTCACGTATGTGACAGCTCAAGGATTTGGCTCCACGGGTGTTCTTAGAACATCGCTGGCTGCACTTCACCTACTATCGAACGCGGTGTACAGAAACTGGTCTGATTTGAAGTGAAGGAACACCGTCGGTGAAGGTTTAGACATCCAGGTAATAAGATACGCCAAAAAACAACAGTTATTCAAGCAACTAGATATTCTCCTGCAAGTCTCCAGTGTCACTAACGAAAGGTAGTGGATGCTACCAGAAACGTCTGACCGTTTCCAAAACCATGCTTGTAACTGTTTGTTGGTGAAGGAACACCGCTCTCTCACCTTTTCTGACGGATCCTACAATCCTGACTACCAGTCGGAAAAGCAACAGACTGAACTGCAGCAAAATCCCAAACATGTCGTCTGGACTAACGTCAACGTTACAGTAGGAAATACGAGCCGAATCAGAGAGATCAAACGCACACGTCTGACCTGATGTCGGAATTTTCGACTACTGCAAGGACAACTATGACGTCATAAGAAAGTATCCAAGGACGCCTGACATTCGACACTTGACTTTGTGACGTTCTAAGACGGAAGTCAGGTCAATGGCGTTATTGCTAGTACAAAAAATGTAATCGTCAACGTCAGGAATTTTACATCCACAAGCAAGGCGACTGTCTTTTACTCCTCAATACATGCTATCGACATAGATCTTGGTTTCATTTTATTGTTTTGTTTTGTTTGAAAGGATGACGAATAATATACGTCTTGGTGCATCCTCTGTTACAGCGTGGTGGGTATGGACCTAGCCTCTACTAATTATAAGCTACGCTAAGGAGGCTAGGCGACAAATGTACTACTTAGCAGAGCAACTCCCCCGGCATGTTATCTGTCTAACGTTACATGTATTCAGCCGATGTCTACTCTTTCCAGCCGCTTCCGAAGCCTGGTAGAGGCTGGTGTGGACCGTTCTTAGAACATCAAAGTTACAGAACTCGGCATGTCTTAGGTGACTAAAACTGGTCTGAGATGTATGGAAGTAAACTTGCACTCACCTCTCTTCAGAACGCCGAAGAGTCTGGCTACAATCTGTAGCAGGAAGACAGTGTTGATCAAGAGAAAACCGAACATCGTGTCATCAAATGACGTAGACTTTCGCGGCTGTGAAAAAACTGACAAGATTGAGGGACGCGGGATGTGCGTGACCACTCAAACTCATCTCAAACTTTCACAGCTGTAAATACGATTATGACGTCAGAAATCAGGGTCGGAAAGAGACCACAGTGACGTACGTGACGTTTATGAGGCTTACGTTGTAGGCAAGTATGACGTCACTAATCTCCAAGCAGATCCTAAGGTGGCAAAAGACAGTATCAAATTGGCCAGGCAGTATCTATTGGCCAGAGAGGGTCCATCGCATATGCCACCCATGACATGTTACATAAAGCCATGTGACGTGAACATTTTTCCTGACTTTGTTTCTAGCTTTACAGTGTGATATTTGACAAATTGAAAGACTACGATTCGCACTACGAATACGGTGGATATGAGTGAATAACTCTGCACATTTTACTGTGTATGGTCAAATTCAATTTGTCAAATTTTAGGCGGTCGTGAGTGACAAAAAATGCAGACGACTTTCAAAAGAAAACACGTCTTATCAATTTTCAATACCCTAATTTAAGTATGGTATAAAAAGTTTTTACGTGAACTACAAACTTTATTACCCAAACAAGTTGTACTCTCAGGAGGGCATAACTTCGGTGTCCATGTCCAGTGATATGTGGTATCGGTGAACTGACGCCAACGTGTCCTATATGTAAAACAATGGCAAAAGTATCGCTATGGCTGGTCCAGGTCAACAAAAGGTCAATTATCCAGATAAAACGACCGTAATCTTTAAAGTCGCAGAGGATGTCAACAAAACAGTGATTGCTCAAGTAGGCTAATATTATTCCTTAGTAAACATACGCAAACTTTTCACATAGTGCGTCTTCAGCTTATCAGTGAAATGCTGAGATTTCAAGGTTTATGACTTCAGCAGTGCAGTTTTTATTGGCCTGAAATTTACATTTAAGGTTTAGCCAAATATAAACACCCTCTTTTATGAATAGGTTGGTACGTCTTCGACCTATGGGACTGCGTCAGTTTTAGCAAGCTAAGGTAGGGCGCTGAGGCAAGAGGTGACGTCAACACTTCGTCTAAACAAAAGGAAAAAGAACATAAATAGCAAAGTCTGGTGGTACAACAGCACTAGTGGTGTGTCTGACGGCTGGTATATTTCACGCAAAGATCGTCGTTTTCTTTCTTTCTTTTTCTTTTAAAGAGGAACCTCCAGACTACCAAAGATGCTTCGAGAATTGGTGGTTTTTACTCTGGTGTCGCTGGCGGTAGGAACACCGATCTCTAAGGACCAGGTATGTAACGTTACATCTTATGTTATTCGTTCATGACCTATTTGCTACATGCCCCAAAAAGAGTGTAGAGAAAAAGAATTCCTGATCAGAGTCAACTATATATGCAGATTTTTTTTTAATTTAAACTGGGGTCCCTAAAATACTGGATTTGTATTTGTTTGTTTCGCATAACCGGTAAACCGCCTTTAGGCGTAACACACCAGTTTTGCACATACATGTAAGTACAAGCTGTGCAAGACCGGACTGTAATGTTTGACTCACTCACACTGGGAAAGACCCCTACTCTTTTCGATAAGTGCTGTGGGTTCTTTAACGTGCTTGGGGTGTGGCCCTCCCAAACACGGGACCTACATTTAACGTCCTATCCGAGGGACGTCCCTAACCGAAGCTAGGTACTCATTCACACCTGTATTTCTGAATTTCTCTCCATTTTAGCTCTTGGCCGAGCTTCGGAGTTTTATCGAGCCGTTTAGCTGTGCCGGGCGGGCCCAGGCCATGTACAGCGACCCTGCCGACTGCACCATGTTCTACGAGTGCGTGGAGGGACATCCAGTGTACCACCTACTAGCTACTACATCTTAACGTAAGATTTTAACCTTTCTGAATTTTTATCCACCTTAGCTGTTGGCGGAGCTACGGAGTATCATAGAGCCGTTCAGTTGCTCCGGTCGGGCCCAGGCCATGTACAGCGACCCGGCCGACTGTACCATGTTTTACGAGTGCGTTGAGGGACACCCTGTGTACCACCGATCATGTGCTCTCACGGGAACCGTGTTCGACCAGGGGGACCAGATATGTGACTGGCCGGAGCACGTGCCGCCTCCCTGCGGGGTAAGTTAACTTTATATGTCCCTGTAGCACCAAGGTTCTTTCTGGTCAATCTCCAAGCATATCTTTTGCAATTGGTGCAAAGACAGAATCAAATTGGCTAGGGAGTATCCATTCGCCAGGCAGTTATCATTCGCCACCGAAATGGTAACTGTCTGGCAAATGGATACTGCTTGGCCAATTTGATTCTGTCTTTGAAGCCACCAAAAGTTCGGATATGCTGAGAGCCTTTTACAAGCCGTGGGCTGATGATCTACTGTGTCTATAGACTAGGGCACGGTGTATTGGAAGGTAGGCGTTAACTTGTCTGATCGTGTCTGGCCTGTTACTGTTCTGATCAGTAAAAATGAGTTTTGTGACACCTCAATCCTTGGTTGACAACTCTGGTACTTGAGGGCACGATCTACTATTTCTTGTTCCTGTAGACCGAGCCGGTACCCGTGACGACCGAAGCCCCGCCCCCTCTGCCTTTCACCTGTAGCCTTTGCCTTGGGCTTTGTCCCTTTGTATTGTATGGAAATCAATCAAATTTAGATCAGTCTACTGTATATTGTGCGGACTTATCACATTTATAAAAGCTGTCCACCTATCTCTCTTCTAGACCGAGCCTGTGCCCGTGACGACCGAAGCCCCGCCCCCTCCGCCGTTCACCTGTGACGACAAGTTACCGGGCACGTACCCGGACGTCACCAACTGCCGCAAGTACTGGGAGTGTGTACCCGGTCACCCCGCGTACAACCGCCCATGCGCACTGCAGGAGCTGGTCTACAACCCCGAAACTGGCGTCTGTGACTGGCCGAGGGACGTGTCTGGGCCATGTGGGGTAAGATGATGATACGTGCATTTTTATAGTTGTAGTTATAGAGTTCAAGCTTTGTTCCAACACAAGAAAGGAACTCACCATGAATTTTCGGTCGATCTCGTCGACCTTCGTCATCGATGTATGATCCACTCGCTGACTCTCCGGAACAAAGCTTTTAAACTCTAAAACTATGCATATGGATTCTACCAGCACAGATGGGTTTTCATTCAAATACTTGCATTTGTTTGTTTGTTTCGCATAACCAGTAAACCGCCTTTATGCGTATAACACAGCAATTGTGTACAGTAAGTACAAGCTGCAAGATAGGGCTATAAGGTTTTGACGCAACTCTTGTACAATTGTCATGTTTTGTTTGTTTGTTTGTCTGTCTGTCTGTCTGTTTGTTTATTTGCTTGTTTTTTTTTTTACATTAAAGGAGCTGCAGCGCAAACGGACGTTGAATGGTACTGACGAAAACAGTGGTACTGACGAAAACACTGGTACCGACGAAAACAGTGGTACTACCGAAAGCAGCGCCAGCGAGGAAACAGGTGGGAAAAACACAACATGTTAGCCTCTCTGGCCGGAATAGACTACATATATAAGTACCACGTCTTTACAATCCCGAAATTTCATCACACAATGCATGGATTGACATTGATATCTTGTGATATCTATTCTGTATCACTGTCCTTGGTGCTGACTGGCCTTTACATGTATGCCGATGTAAAAAAAGGGAGGGTGGGCTATTTCAGGTAAAGACGGAATGGTATTTTTACATGAGACCATTTCACTTAAAATGTCTACTGTCATCTATGATTTCATAAGTAATTCATTATGCAGCCAAACACCTTCTTTTACCGCTTTATGAGTAGAAGATGTTGTAGTATTATGCTACTGCCTTCCGCCAATCCTTGAAACCTGTCGCCCTGCAGGTTTCAGCTGTGCTGGTCGGTCTGACGGTCTGTACAGCGACCCTGAAGACTGCGCCATGTACTACGAGTGCGTGTCGGGCCATCCCGTGTACCACCGGCCCTGCGCCAACCACGGGACCGTCTTCGACCAGGCCGACCAGATCTGCGACTGGCCAGAGAACGTTGCGCCGCCTTGCGGGGTGCGTACGCATTACACAACGATCTTCGCTGCTAGTTTTCTGTCTTCTGTATCTGTGTACTCTTAAAGAACACACCAGCTTCGCAGGCACGCGGCGCGGCGGCAGCTGGCTACATTACACCGAACGACTTGTTACGTACATGTACAGCTAGCATTTGCACATCTAACTGCACGATTTTAAAAACTTTCTAGTGATGACGCCCCTACTGTACTTGGTGGCAGGGAATTCTACTCTACCGTCAATACTGTAGTCCTAATCTCCAAGCAGATTCTCTGGGGCAAGAAGAGTCTATATTGGCCGCCTGTAAGTGTAACCATTGGCCACCAAACGTCTTGGGTGGCGTATTCGATACTACCTAACCAATTTGATACTGCATTTCAGCCACGCAAAGATCTGCTTAAAGATTACCATAGTCCTAAAAAAAGATTTTTGAACACCTGAAAAGTTGTGTTCAAAGACCAGAGTAATGTAAACATAAGCTTGTTCTCAGATCTGTACGTTAATGTTAAAATCTTGTTCTTCAGACTGAAGGAATCCTCACCTGTGCTGGTAAGGCCCCTGGCAGCTACCCTGACCCGAGTGACTGTGCCAAGTTTTACCAGTGCGTAGTGGACCACTTGGCCATTGCACCAGTATTTAGTACGATCTGTACTTTGAATGTTAACATTTTTTTCTTCAGACTGAGGGAATCTTCACGTGTGCTGGTAAGGCCCCTGGCAGCTACCCTGACCCGAGTGACTGCGCCAAGTTTTACCAGTGCGTAGTGGACCACTTGGCCATTGCACCAGTATTTAGTACGATCTGTACTTTGAATGTTAAAATCTTGTTCTTCAGACTGAAGGAATCTTCACGTGTGCTGGTAAGGCCCCTGGCAGCTACCCTGACCCGAGTAACTGCGCCAAGTTCTACCAGTGCGTAGTGCACCACTTGGCCATTGCACCTGTATTTAGTACGATCTGTACGTAAATTTTAACATTCTGTTCTTCAGACGGAGGGCATCTTCACGTGTGCTGGTAAGGCCCCCGGCAGCTACCCAGACCCGAGCGACTGTGCCAAGTTTTACCAGTGCGTAGTGGACCATCCGGAACCCTTCCACTCCGACTGTCCGGCGGGGGGTCTGGTGTTCGACCCCGAGAAGAAAGTCTGCGAGTGGCCGTGGACTGTGGCTCAGCCTTGCGGGGTGGGTGCATTTTCTGCTCTTTATTATGTTTATGCCACACCGACTTAATTTTATGGATGACATCCGCACGCGCACTGATTTTCGCCCGTTCTAAAAAAAAAAGAGGCTCTGGCTTGGCTCTAGGCCTGGGTAGCTCATGGTAGTTAGTTTAGCGACAATACGGAGGTGGTAACTCTGGAGGAAGGCACCCAGTCTACCGAAGCTCCACGACTCAAGAACGAAGTAGATATACGTACAGTACCGACTCGTAAATTCCGGAAAAAGTCAGAATGTGCCGGCTTGTCGTATACGTCGCTATGTACTGCCACAAATTCACAATAGCAGCTTTGTATTTCTGTGGTTTATTAGCATTTTTTTGGCCGGAATTTTTTTTATTCGCCCGCGCGCACTAGTTTGGGGGTCTTCAGAGGATGTCATCCATAAAATTAAGTCGGTGTGGCCTTACCTTCGCAGAAGGAAAACATATTGTTTTTGCTCTGTTTCTTCCTCTTACTTCATAGCTTCTTCTCCAAAGACGTACGTTCCATGTCCCTGTCCTTAGTGCTGAAGAACCTTCCCTGTCCTTAGTGCTGAAGAGCCTTCTCCTGTCCGTGTAAGGTCAATGACCTGAACCAGACGTATGTCACCATGGTAACTGGTGCTGTAGCAGACATCCTTGAGGTGTTGGATTACATTATGTAGCAGAACAGAGCTGGAGTGGCTGATCACCATTTATTACATGTGAATGTGTTAGAGTAATAATAGCAGAGCAATAATTTGTTACACAAAGGATAATTCTCGCATAGTCATAGAACTTTCGACCAGCCAGTCTGAAAAAAGGTAGTCTTTTAGAAGGAATGTTTAACAATTATGGTACACTAATGTGTTTGTCTAACTGATCATTTCTTGTTTGTTTTTGCAGTACAAGACGGACTGAGACGATCGGTCATGCAAGGCAGAAAAAACACCAAACATCGTTCTAACTTGATAGAGCTGAGTAATACTAGTAGTAATAGTGTAAACCCAGATGTGGTCTTCAACATACACATGGGTCGACTTTTGTAACTTTTTGCACAAAATAAACGGAGCATGTTTCCCCGCCATACTGCTTTGACTGTACTGCGTTATATTTTTAGCCTAAAGTTTATCTAGTTTAGTAATAGAGCAGATTTCCTAATCCAGTTACAATAAATGTAATTATTTCGTATAATGCAATTTTTCATCAATTCCATGAAAAAGCTGTTTGCATAAGTCACGATACTCTGAGTTTCTCAGTCCTTTTTAGATTCTTACTAATCTTTATAGCCCACATCATATGACAAACAGGTCACAAATCAAGGCGAGGTCAATGACCGAATGCACATCTCATACAGGGTTGGGGCCAAAGTGACTTGGGGGGAATCGTTTAGAAACCCTGTACAAAATATCCTAAAAGAAGGAATTTCTGCGATCCTATTTAACACTAACTGCTCATAATATCATCTTTTGATCGGAAATGTTATTCAAACACACGTAACCCGATATTTTCCTACATAACGTCGTATTAAAAAGGATAAATACCTTGGCCATAGTGGTACGGTCCGACGTGATGACGTATCGGTCTCGGGAATCAGCTGTGTTTGTTCGTGAGGTCATTCCCTGCCGATGTCTCCTTCGCAGTACAGGCAGACATCGGTGTCTGAACTTCAAGTTCTTCTTTTACTGCTAAGTTGACGAGTTTTACCTGTCGTGGTGAGTTACCGGGCTTATATGATCTTAATTTAGCAGAAACTATTTGTTATTTTGCAAAATATTTGTAAAACACCGGTAACATATGGTTAAACACTACAACATGAAAGCAAGAAGCCTCCTAGCTCCTTGCATACATGTTAACGTTATCTAACGTTAGTACAAAATACATAGGAACGTCAAGTACGTTATATATAAACCAGTTAATATATAACGTACTTGACATTCTATGTATTTTGTACTAGATGTATATTGTACTAGAAAACGTTAACATGTATGCAAGGAGGCTTCTTGCTTTCATGTTGTAGGGTTATATGTTGCATATATTTGAATGTATATGTTGAACTTTTCTACTTGCATCTACACTGTAGGTACTGATCGTGTAAACGTTTGAGACATACAACTGTCATTATAACAAATATCAGATCTTTAATGCCCACTTGGTGCTTGTCATTTAATTCCCGTAGACTCCACAGCGGACAGCATGTTACAACTGTATGCAGCTGTGGACCGCGGCACCTGTCTGATCATTTAAACATTAAATTGTCATTGTCAAAACAATCCCACCTGTTGCAATTGTTATTTCACAGCCGGCAGCATGTTTTTCTATGCCAACTTCGACCGTGACACCCTCCTGGTGACCCTCTGCACCTGGCTGGTTTTGTTCCTCACCTACAAACTGTACCTCAAGCCGCTCTACCTGTCTGCACTCACACTGGTGAGTTCTCGTGTTGCCTGATTTTCTTTACTGATACTCAGTATACATGTACATTATAGCCTCTACCAGGCTTTGGGAGGTGGCTGGAAAGAGTAGAAACATGCCGAGGGAGTTGGTCCACTAGAGAGTACATTTTGCCGCACTCGAATTGTACTCTCTAGTGGACCAACTAACCCCTGGCATGTTATCTCTCTATTTGGCCAATTTATACTCTATCCAGCCGCCTCCCGAAGCCTGGTAGAGGCTTATAATGCATTAATGCTAAATGCTTGAAGTGTTTTAAATAAACATTTGTCCAATCATCTTCAGTACCTGACAGGAAAAATATGCATACTGTAAATCAGTTGTTCCTGGTAGCAAAAGTTCACTCACATGCAGCAGGTGCCCCAAGACTAAAGTCTGCAAATTATTTGTAATGATAACTTAGTGGAACAGAAGTGACCATGGAACCTGCAAATATAAATTATTTAAAGTACCGTGAAAAAAATCTACTGTATATACTGTATATATAAATGTACAATCTTTAAATGTTCCTTTGTCTGTCCCAGATGCCCAGTCCCAAGTACAATCCCATTGTTGGTCAGATGTGGGAGATCATCCGTGAAGAGGCCGTCATCCCAAGTCTCAGGTCAGTGCAAGTAACCAAGACGAACAAGAGTGTGTGATTGTACTATGGTATTGAAGCCTTTCATGCTGGGGAATAAGGGTTTTGGTTTTGACCCTCTAGCAACATTTCATGGAACTGCATGCTTCTTTTTAATTGTTTTTTCAAGGGTAATTCTGGGTTGCTGTCATGAATTTCTGATTATGATTAATACCAACTGCTTGCCACTTCATTCCATCCATCCATCCATCCATCCATCCATCCATCCGTCCGTCCGTCCATCCATCCATCCATCCATCCATCCATCCATCCATCCATCCATCCATCCATCCATCCATCCATCCATCCATCCATCCAACCAACCAACCAACCAACCAGCCACCAACCACTCACTCACTCACTCACTCACTCTCTCACTCACTCACTCACTCACTCACTCACTCACTCACTCACTCACTCACTCACTCACTCACTCACTCACTCACTCACTCACTCACTCACTCACACTCACTCACTCACTCAATCATTTATTCCTTTTGCAGAAGAGCGCGGCAGCTTGGGCCCATCTCCAGGTATTTCGTGACGTTTGGAGAGGAGCGAGTTCTGGTGGCTGAACCCGACGCCCTGAAACACATCCTGGTCACCAACCACGCCAACTATGTACGGCCGGCGTTCATTAAAAGGTGATCACTTTTTGTTCTTTGATGATACATGTACCTGTTGTTTGTCACTAGTAGTATCTATTTCAAGAACTAGTAAGGTATCACAAAAGTCATCTGTGTTGGTAGTTATTTGTTTAAAGGTAAAACTTTGGTTCCAACACAAAAAGTTAATGTTCTCACCTACTGAGCTTTCAACCAGCCTTCCTCAGTAGACTGACCCAGTGAAGCTTGTCATGTAACGTCTTTGAAGTGTGACGTCAACACTTGATCAAAGATATCTGGTAAACAATGTCAGCCCCTGCCACAGTTGGGTGAAGGGTGATGGGCTCTGATGTAAATAGCCTCTTTCACCCCTCTCAGGAAATAGATGGAGCAGACATGATTTTTATTTACCAGATAAGTACACCATTGATGGACACAGTGATAACATCACATGTAAATGCTCTACATCACAGTTTTGCTGTTCCTTCTGCAGGGCATTTTCTGCTCTTGCAGAGAAGGGCCTCCTGGCAGTGAGTGGTGCTGAGCATGCCATGCAGAGGAAAATTCTCAACCCTGCCTTTAAACGGGAAAATCTAAAAGGTAATATAAGACAGTGTTTCTGTCATCAAACGTTAGTCACTAGTCTGTGTAACATAAACTCTGAGTTCCCAGGATGAACTACCCAGAGACTATGGAACCTCTCTCCGCATAGTCTGACTGTTTTCAGGACCTATATCCTCAGCTCCAGGACCAACATGTTGCCAAGGAAATTATACCACAGCCCCCCTCAGCCTGATTGGATCCACTGGCTAACTCTGGGCCTAGCATGTTATGGGTATAGCACTCAGGTTACTGCCCACTGAGTTAAGAGGTTGTTCACCTCTTTGAAGCTGGGAGAGAAGTACACATGTACATTTGTAGAAATAGGAGCTCAGGATTCCCTCTCACTGTAAAAATCAGTCCAATAGGAACTCAGGTTTCTTTGTCCTTGTAGATACCAGTTATCACAAAATTTGACTTAAATACTTACTAGTAAATATCATCATTGCAGGAATGGTGAAAACATTTCAGGAGTGGACGGAGGTGCTGGTGCAATACTGGAAAGACCAGCTAGAGGGAGCCGCTACCACAGACGGGTTTGTGGAGCTCCCAGTTCAAGATGACTTGGGCAGACTGGTAATTATATTAAGTTACTACTAGTAATTTTTTTTTGCATGGACTTAATTTCACAGCAGCAATACAATAGCCTCTACCAGGCTTTTGGAGGTGGCTGGAAAGAGTAGAAATTGGCCAAGTAGAGAGAGATAAAATGCTAAGGGAATTGGTCCGCATGTGGCAAAATGTGCTCTCTAGTGGACCAACTGACCCTCGGCATGTTATCTCTCTATTTGACCAATTTCTACTCCTTCCAGCCACCTCCCGAAGCATGGTAGAGGCTAAGAGCAAAACAATGGAAATGCATATTCTTTGTGTCACATTTTCATGAAATTCAAAAATAAAACCACTGTGAAAGTTTCAACATTTACAGTAATTTTACATTTTCTATAGAACTAGATAATTTTCTTTATGGCTAGGTGCATTATGTGAAGACTTTAATTGCCTAATTTTGAATTGCAGACCCTGGACATCATCGGCAAATGTGCCTTTAGTTATGTGTTCAACTCCATCAGAGAACCAGACAAGCTGGTGAGCCAGAGTGTCACCAAACTGTTACGGGGAGAGGGAGCAGGGTAAGGCTACATCTTAATACTTTTGTAGAGGTAAAAATTTTGTTCTAACACAAAAGGTAAATGTTTTCACCTAGAGCTTTTGACCAGTGACTCTGGTCTTCCTTGGTAGACTGACCCAGTAGTGAGGCTTGCCACATGCATATGGCTTTGCTAAAGTGTGACGTCAACACTGGGTTTAAGAGAAGCCACGGGACAAGTCTCACTGGGTCAGTCTACTGAGGAAGACCAGAGTGACTGGTCGAAAGCTCCAGGTGAGAACATTTAGTACCTTTTTGTGTTGGAACCAATGTTTTATCTTTAAACATGTAACTACCAACACAGATGAACTTTAATGATAATGTACCTTCTCCCTGCTGCCTTTTATTGCTCCATAACCAGTATTACCAGGTCGCCAACTGGCTACAATGCATTAGTTTCTCAATCTGTGATAATCATTGCATTATACTCTATATTTTCATGAACACCTGGATTTGTGATTAGTGTGCACAACTCTGCATTTACTGATACTGTATAAGTAGATATCTTTAGATTTACCTTTTTAAAAATGTGGGGGTCATAACAGGGCACTGAACAGAATTATGAAAGTTGAATAATTATGTTTCTCTTTTCCAGTTGGATGATGCTGCTCCCCGGAGGTATGAGGGCAGCCATCGGGGCGTCACGAGATTTCCTCAAGCGACGGGCTCTGTGTGATAAGATAGTGGACGATGTCATCGCAGAAAGGAAGCGTCTACAGGAAAACCCAGAACAAGGTGAAACCATCCTGGACAATTATAACTTCATTTGCTCATCAAATGTATTTATATAGTGCATGTAAGTACAATGTATAGCAACTTGTATGGTAATTGAATAAGAGACTCTTTTTACACAACCAAATATTTTATTCTGCTGACATTTCATTGACCATCTATATAGTGACACCTGTGCTGTACATTGTGAACAAGAGTTCCACGATCTCATACCTTCGCCAAATGGTGTTAACTCTTGCGGGTGACAAATTATACAATTTTAATCATTTATTTTGTAAATAAGAGCCTCATTTGCATGGATTATATCAGTTGATCATATTCTCCATCCAATGACAGCCTTATCATAACAAAAAGGCTATTATAGCACTTCCTCAGAAATTATGCAAATGAGGTCATGATTTGAATAAATTATGTTTATTGATCTTCACTTCACTTCACTTAACTTCCAAATGTGGCAAGTATGAAATTGGGTGCAGCAGTGACAACTATGGAATTATAAGAATTTGCCATTGATTATGCAAATTAGGTTCTCATTTACATAATCTATATCCTCAGATGTTTTTCTCGTTCTCAAGTAGATGTCACAAGTGTTTAATAGTTCTATTATCGAACAAAGCAGATTTATAGAATTTCCTCATTAATTATGCAAATTAGCTCCTGATTTGCATAATTGCCATCTGATTATGTCAAGCATCACTTCAACTACATACATGCCAAAAATCACGATAATACGTCAACCGGATCTTGAGTTATCGTCCTTCAAATTTTTTTCAACAAATGCTCCTGCAGTTCCAGAACAAGGCGCTAGGGGACCCAATCTCATGTCACTTCTTCCCTACCCCCAAAGCTATCTACCAACCAAAATTCGTGACCCTAGCATGTCCAGAACATGAGATATCGAAACCGGAAGTTCAGCTGCAGTACCTAGGAAAGACCGCCAGGGGGCCCAAAATCTAATCATTTCTAGGTCTCATGAAGACCTACCCACCTACCAAGTTTCATTCCAATCCATCCACTGCTTCTCGAGTTATCTTGCTAAATTACACACACACACACACACAGACAAACGCTACTGAAAACATAACCTTCTTGGCGAAGGTAACCAGTCAGAATTGCCCTGAGGAAGGTGACTTACCAACCTGATGAAGCTATTCACGGTTGTACAGCAATTCTAGCCTGGGTGCCATTCTCCTCAGTTTCCATTAGCCAGCGACATTAGGGAGCTGGCAGAAACTACAGAGGATGGCACCCAGGGTACAGCAGTTCTAGGAATTCATACAAAATTTGCTCAACAAAAGACTCAGATGTCTTTATCCCAGTAGTTAGATTTTTGTAAATTCCCCAGTTGATGGTTTTCGCACAGGTGCAGTACGTTCTGCTGACGTTCTTTTTCACCAGTTTATTAAAGATTTTTGTAAATTCCCCAGCTGATGACCAGATTCCGAACGACCTGCTGAGCCTTGTGATGCAGGCGCGGGACAGGGACACGGGGGAGGGGGAGGGGCTTCCCGAGGAGGTCATCAGGCACGAGGTCATGACCTTCATGGTCGCTGGACAGGAGGTACGTCACCAGGGGATGCAAGGGAATACTGTTAGTTCAATTAAATTAATTTTGCTGTGCTTAAATATTGCAGCAGAGCAAAAAAAAAAAAAAACAATGGATGGTGATAGCATCGAGTTTGTGGTTGAATCATTGATAGTCTAGGAGAAAAGGTAGTAACTTTAAAGAGATGTGCAAGGGCTTAAGGTATAACAAGTTCTAGCCAGCTGCCACTATGCTACATGCCTGCACATATAAAACCAAGTATGTTATTATTTGCAGTTACTGTAACATTAATGCTGTAGCGTATATACCTGAGTACATTCTGGCCAGGGGTTCATAATAATGCTGGCCTGTTACACCTAGCTTTGAGCTGATAAGCTATAATAAAGCTCTGTGTCAATCAAATGCACTGCACCAAAGTCTAAGCATTCATTTTTATGACCAGACGACCAGTACCGGCCTGTCATGGCTGTTCCTGGAGCTGTCACGTCACCCCGAGGTGCAGGACCGCCTCAGGTCAGAGGTCAGGGCTGTGTTGCCGGGCAACGACACGCCCATGACCTGGGACCTGCTGGACCAGATCCCCTACCTCATGTGGGTCGTCAAGGAAACTCTCAGGTGGGGAAACGTATTAAATAAATGGATGGATGGATGGTGGGATGGATGGATGGATGGATGAATAAATGGATGAATGAGTGGATGAATGAATGAGTGAGTGAGTGAATGAATGAATGAATGAATGAACATATTCATAAAAAGTAGATATTAAGTATTTATGTTTATCTTCGCAAAAGAAAAACATACTGTAACAGTTTTTTAGCTCTAGATCTGTTTCTGCTTCTTCAAACACGAAAGGTCAATGACCTGGACCAGACGTCTGTCACCATGGTAACTTTTGCTTTCTTAGACACCCTGTGGTGTTGGGTTACATTATGTAGCAAGTGGTAGGACAGAGTCGGACTGTGTCACCAGATATATGGGTCTGTTTGAGTTATAAAGAGTTTGTTAGGCTAGACAGTGTGAAGGTAAACATGAAGTAGTTGCTTTGCAAATGTTCCCTTTCTAGTTTAAGACATTGTAATGCCATGTATGTGACATTGGTTAGAAAAATGTCCATTCCACATCTTACCCTCCAGGCTTCACCCGCCGGCCCCTAACACGTTTAGACAGGCACTGAACGATGACTGGCTGGGACAGTACCCCATCCCTGCAGGCACCGTGGTCAACATCTGCCCAGCTGCATTGCACAGGTCAGTCTCATATCACATTAATTTCGTACATGGCACAGTCTCGGGTCTGGTGTATTGGGGCATGCCTTCACTGAGTCATGGAGTCTCAGTTTCGCAAGCACGCGGTGCGGAGGCAGTTAGCTACTAGTATATTTAATACACCAAAGGACTTGTTACACACAGTCTTTGCACATTTAACTGCAGGAGTTGCTTAAAGCTTCTAGTGATGATGCCCCAACTGTGCTTGGTGGCAAAGAGTTCACTTTACAATAGTTCTTGGAAAACAGTCAATTCTGGGTTGATAATTCTGCTATTTGAAAGCATGACTATTTCTTGTTCTTTTCTGGGCTGGTATCAGATAGTCATTGTATTAGTCATTTTGAACTATCGGGATCTCTACCAGTAGAATCACTGGTTTTATCGGCTGATCGGTTGATTTTATCGGCTGAACACATACATGTATTTATTCCCACAGGTTGTCCCATTACTGGGAGGATCCCGACACCTTCAACCCCGAGCGTTTTGCCAGCGATGCCGGCCGGAACCCGTACACGTTCCTCCCCTTCATCGCCGGCCCACGAACCTGCATCGGGAGCAAGTTTGCCATGGCGGAGATGCGAGCCGTCACGGCCTCGCTGGTTCGACAGTTCCAGTTCGATCCGGTTCCGGGTGTAGAGTACAAGAATAAGCAAAGGGTCACGATGAGACCCGACCCTCTGCTGCGTCTAAGGGTCAGCAAGGCTCCTGCCTGATACAGTAATATAGTCTCTAGCAGACTAACTACGCTGGCTAATTATATAAGAGCCCCGATATTTGCCAGGAGAGTTTGGCCGCCTTGGGGTTTGACTGGCTGTGCAGTTAAAGAAACAACCTTCTGCAGCCGGACTCCCCTGGCCAATTTTGATCCTTTTTGCCAAATTCTACAATCTGTATTCCTGTAGAAAGGACTGGTGGAGGCCTCCACCTATTCTCCAAGCAGAGATTTTGTTTGGGGTTCAGTACTTCCAGTTTGATCAGGTCCCGGGAATCGAGTACAACTACAAGAATAAGCAAAGGGTCACGATGAGACCCGACCCTCTTCTGCGTTTAAGGGTCAGCAAGGCTCCTGCCTGATACAGTGTAATAAATTACATGTAGGTCTAGTGGGTGTAAGGTAAATGTATCTTAGCGTCTATATCACCTACTATAAACGGAGGTCCAAACCAGTTTGATTACTTCTGCAGAACTGTATTTATTGATCCATATGTTTACTCTACCAACAGGTATATGGTCTAATGGTTTACAGGAGTTTAACAGAGGTCTAGATACAGATGAGATACTACAGTGACTGTACAATCTACAAATCTACAGAGAGCTGCACTATACACATGTACATGTTCCGGGAGTAGAGTAAGAGAATAAACAAAGGGTCCTATAAAGGGAAGCTCGCTACATACAAACTATATATGTTGACTATTTAATGGACAAATTCACATTTCTGATGCTAGACAAACCTACTGGTATCTGTTTTTACATTTATTTTGATCATCTCAAAGAAGCTGGTAGGGAGAAGCCGAATTTACATACATAGTAGATTATAGCTAGTATTAGGACAATGTACACTCACTTAAGCTTGTATTATATACCAATGTAATATTGATGTGAATATTGTTGCATTTGCAAACTGAGGCTCTTTTTTGTGCCTTTAGTGTTTATATCCCAATGGGGCAAATATGTATAATAAACTTGGTCATTGATTTATTTATCTCTCATAATGTAAACATGTTACCTGGGAATACAAGGTCAGACTATCTTGTGCAGAAGTATTCTAGAGATATAATGATTTTGTTTAGTGTATGTAGTGCAGATGAGTTGAATAAAATGTGCTCTTTTTAAAATTCTAGTATTGTTAGAGTACATGTAGAGTACATGTAGCATTATATGTGCTCTCTCATCCTGTATTAGTAGCTTGCTAATATCAAAAACCATCTCTATGTTAGAAATCTATGTTATATAGAATACTATACAAGGGAATTGATAAAGACACAACTGAGAGATTTCTAACCGGAATAAAATGTCCAAACCTTTTGCGTTCGGTTTGTATTTTATTCATTCATATCAAGGAGGATCCGGCCTGACACCTGTAAATGCATGTGCTGTTCGCAACCAAGTCGCTAGATGGCGCACGCGATCGCGCTACTTCCGGGTTCGCGTCCTGACAGGGTAAACTAAAGTTCAAAGTTGAAAGTACTTAATATAAGATATCATGGCCACGACAGGTTGTATCAGTCTTATCTTATTCAAAAAAACGTGTTAACATATTTGCATGTCCAAGTTTGTAAAGACGATCTTATGTTATTTGAAAACAGGAGTTGTTGGATAAAATTTGCGTTCAAAAAAGGCGGGCGCTTACACTTAAACGTATACGTGGAAGGTGTGTACAGTAAGTTTACAGTACACACGACGTTCCCCACAGTAGTGAGATGATAACAGTAGATACTGAAGATCCCGGGACCAAAGAGGGCGTCACCATGAGCGCGCCACGACGGAACACCAAGTTCCTGATGTTCATGATTCACGTCAACTACGCCATCTATGGGATGAGCTCACATCTACAAGGTGGTGCCTTCCCGGTAGGATAATATTTGGTTGTGATTTTTAGATAACGAAAATAATGTTAGTCTCTACTTATGTAGCGTGATCTTAACGCACATTACCATATAGACGGGGGGAGGGGTGAGCTGTACATGTGGTACTTACGTGGTACAATGTACAACATTTTAAATAAATGGCACCTGTAAATATTTTTGTTTTTTTTATTAAAGACATTAACAATGTACGTTGTCATTGTATGTTGAGTTGTAGTATTGCATTTAACGCTACTTAGTTACTGTTATTGGACTAATAGCTTGCCCCCCCCCGTTGCTATTATAGATTGATTTACTTTATGTTCATGCACAAATCCATGTTCCCATAAACATTAGAACTGTCAGTGTCTTTCAATCTGTCAATGCACTCTTATATAATAATCTCAGTGCCCTGCACTGTGAACCTCAAAATGCCTTTTCTCACCCCTACAATAAAAATCAACTTAGTCCCCTTAAACATAAAACTATAAGTCTACTTATGTACAGTGTTTTTGTTGTGAACTTGTGTCATTTAGCCTCTGTACACTTGAAGAAGCCACACAGGCGAAACCGGTCGTGTGACAGGCTGAATAAAAGTTCTAATGCGGCTCCAGATGTCTTACTGAGGGACGACTGCGTATGCAAGATGTTGTTTAGCTTGAGGAATGAATCTACTCTACTATAATACTTACAGGGTTTTGTTATTTTCCTCCCTCCCCAGTTTGTGTCCAAGAAGCTGGGTGTGGACCCCACCACCTGGGGCTACCTACAGACCACCATCGCCATCGCACAGCTCGCAGGATGTCCCATCTTCGGACGGTTTGTTTGTTTTATGATACAACAAAAGTGTTAGTAACGTTAGTTGTCAAGTCAAAGTTTTGCTCCAACACAAGAAGAGAACTCACCATAAATTTTCAGTCAATCTCATTTCACCCTACCTGGTAGATACACACAGATATGCCTACAGGTACTACAAGTATTTAGATGCATAAGATCTGTCCTTGGTGCTGAACATGCCATCCACCAGTAGGGTAAAGGTGGCTAAGGGTTCTCTTTTGTCAAGATTTGTTACAACAGGAGCTATTGACTAATTTGCATCATCCTTGTCTTGACTTGTCTAACTTTTGTTTCCTTTTAGACTTCCAAAAAATTGCATATCAATCAATAGTTACCCAAAACGTCTGACCATTTCCAAAATCATATCCAGCTGCTTGAGTAACTGTTTTGGCGTAACATAAAGTTGTAATCTTCACAGCTTTGGTGACCTATATGGCAGCAGGGCCGCTATGACCTTGACCTTCGTGGGGATGATGGTGGAGAACCTTCTGGTCGTCATGTCCTTCTCCGGCGGTATCCCACTGCTGTTCATCTCCAGGGCTCCCATGCTGTTTATTCATCCTATGACAGGTGGGTGATTCAGGATGGTATTACACTGATGTTCATTCACCTATTAATGACAGGTGGGTTTAGGATGTTTCTCTCAATTCCCATATCCAATGACAGGTGGATCAAGGTTAATATCACAATACTGTGTATCTCCCAGGCTCCCATGCTGTACAAAAGAATTGACTTTGAAAGATAGGTAGGTCTAGGATGGTATCCCACTGATGTTCATCTCCCGAGCCCCCATACCTCATCTACAGGCATCAGGTGTCAATACATGGCGGCCACAGTAAATAAGTGACGACAAATGGAAGTCCAAAAGGAAACAAAAGTTAGATAAGTCAAGACAAGGATGCTTCAAATCAGTCAATAGCTCCCGTTGTTTCAGAACCCTTACCCAATATCTAGTGGATGGCACGTTCAGCACCAAGGACAGATCTTATGCATCTAAATACCTGGTACATACGCACATCTGTGTGTATGTACCAGGCATTTTAAGACCTAAAGATGCATAAGATTGAATGAATGAGGAATGAATCATTGAACAGCAAAGCCAGTTGTAAAGTTCATGATTCAATCTTTTTGATTCAACCTTCTTTTCCAGCTTTCCAGATGGCAGCATCAGACCTCTCGGATGAGAAGAGTCGAGCGGACGCGCTGGCTAAACTCAACATCGTCTCTACAGCAGGACGGATCCTGGGTCCTACCATAGCTGGCTGGCTGGTCGAACAATACGGGTGACTGCAATCAGGAATACTTGTTTTAGGCCACACCATCTTAATCAATTGGTTCTCAACATAACCTGCCTCATTTTTCTGATTTGCAAAAAAGTACATAAATGATTGCATTTAGCAGGTTCAGAATCAACTCCAAAATTCCCAAATTTTGGCAGTAACAGATGGAAAACCTGTTACTGAGTTAGGAAGACAAGGACTTAATTAACTATCAGTGCAGTGGTTTGATTAAAAGTTCAAAATTTATTGCTTTTACTGTAAAGCAGCCTTGTACATGTATGTTGACTTCATTGTTCCTTTGGGGCAATCATAGGGTGCCTAAGCCTTTTTTCTGTCACTTCATATTTCTTTCTGAAAAAAAATCACAACCAACAAATTAAATTGTTGCAGCCTTAAGTCATATCGTAACAAATGAATGTGAAGTAACTCTGAACAAATCCAACCTTTCCACTGCTATGTGGTTAGTACTGTACAGATGTTGAGGTGAAGAAACCATTTCTCCTCTGTTGTTACCCTGTACAGAGAGTCGTTCACCTGCCTGGTAGCTGCCAGCATGTCGGGTCTCTGCGTGGCTCTGGTCTGGGGATTCATTCCTGCCAGCACCAAACTAGTCGACGAGGAAACAGCAGAAACATCCAGCCAAAAAAGTAAGAAACAATGGAGATATTACAATGAAGAACTCAGCACTTATTTGAAATGTTCAGGTTTTTCTGGAGCAGATAGATAAATAGGTTTGGGCCCCCTAGCAGCTTTTGTGGGAATGGCATGGGCTGGGAGACTTTGAGAGAGGATTACCAAGGTATTACTGTAACAGTAACTTAAGCGATCTTTAACAGCTTCTAAAGATTTTTGGCATGATGATATAGTGAACTTTCTTCCTGCTCAACTCCATAATAAAGAATTTCCTTGTGTTTTGTCCATAACACTGGTCCCGTGTTCAGAAAATAAAGTCAGCAGAATTCTAATGATCCGTGAATAGTTTGATCAGGTTGGTGAAGAAAGTCACTGAATAAATATCCTCTTTTTACACACAGCCAGAATTGCCCTGAGGAAGGTGACAGGCAGTCACTGAAACATTGGCTGAATAAAACATTAAAAAGAGTCTCTTTATTGGAATTCTCATGATGATTGTGAAACAATTGTCTTCCCCCAGAGACCAGTCTGTTTGACTACAGAGAGATTCTCCGGCTGCTGAGGATCCCAGTTGTGGCAGAGATCCTGGGGATTAAGATGTTCTGTAGTGTGGCTTTCTTCCTGCTAAATTCCATGATTAACAATTTACTTGTGTTTTGTCCCGTATTCAGGAAATAAATACTCACACTCACTCACTCACTGTCCAGTTTATCGTCTGTTGTTCCCCGTCTTCTGAGGGTTAGACGTGCTTGCACTGTGGTACTGAGGCATGATGGCAGCCCGGCCCACTTGCCTCAGTCCTGTTGGTTGATTCAGGAAATAAAGTCAGTAGAATTCTCATGATATTTTTTCCTGATTTGAAACAGAGACCAGCCTGTTTGACTACAGAGAGATTCTCCGGCTGTTGAGGATCCCAGTTGTGGCAGAGATCCTGGGGATTAAGATGTTCTGCAGTGTGGCTTTCTTCCTGCTCAACTCCATGATGCCCATCATTCAGATGGAGGTGTTTAAGATGAGTCCACAGGAGTACGGCTACTTCGGCACCTACCTGGGCATCGTGTACCTGGTAGGTTCAGGATTTTTTATGTTTACCGAAGGAAAACAGATATTGTGTTTGCTCAGTTTCTTCCTCTTCTTCAAACAAAGAAGTCAATGACCTGAACCACATGTCTGTCACCATTGTAGGCTTAGGTTGTTTTTTGTTTTTGTTGTTTTTATGTTAACCTTCGCAGAAGGAAAACATATTGTTTTTGCTCTGTTTCTTCTTTCTGTTCTTCTTCTCCAAACAAATTAGTCAATGACCTGGACTAAATGTCTGTCACCATGGTGACTAGCATTGTAGCAACACCCTGTGGTGTTGGGTTACATTATGTAACAGAAAAGAGTTGAAGAGGCTGCTCATCGTCCATCTGAATGTATCTTTGAGTAATAATAAACAGTGCAGTACTTAGTTTATTGGGTTAGACCAGGTGATGGTTAACATTATGTATTTGCTTTGCAAATGTTATCTCTCTAGTTTCTAATGAATTTGCAAAACCAAGAGACAACTTGGAATAGACCTAGTCCACAAGTACACTAGTCCACAGCAGGATACTGGAACAGAATCTTTTCTTTCTTTATCTCTGTCAGAAATGCTCAAGATGCATGCCATTATAGCAATGTTCTACAATTTGCTAAAACAGCTCTTTTTGTCTCCTTCAGATCTGTTTCAGCTGTGTGAGCCCGTTAACAAAGCGGTTCAGTGACATCAACGTGATGCGCATTTCAGAAATCTTTGTCACCATCGGTGATTTTGGGCTGGTAAGTACATGTTCATGTATTGTAAAACGAGCATAGTGTTCCTACTGTGTAATGCAATGCCAGGACTCACATTTTCAGCCAAGCACACTGTGTCACCCCTACTGTACTCATCTCAGTTTGTTCGGCTCTATTACATGTAGAGGTATGATTCCTGGGGCTTATAAAGACCCGGACCTTTCTCATACATGGGGCTGATGGCTTTAAGTTTAAGTACACCTCCAAAGCAGACTGGTTCTCGATCCGTGACATTTTATCCTATTGCTAAAGGAAGTTGTGCCACAGGGACATGTATACTATAGAATACAACAGTTCCTATATTTTTGACGTTCTCACTCACTCACACACTCACTGTCCAGCTTATCGTCTGTTGTTCCCCGTCTTCTGATGGTTAAACGTGCTTACACGCTGTTGCTGAGGCTTGATGGCAGCCCACCATTTGCCTCTATCCTGTGGGTTGATGTTGTTGTTCTGATGCCGTAAATATTTTTTGTCATGCCTCCAGGCCCTGTCGAACAACTACTGGCAGGCGGGGCTGGCGTTTCTCCCACGATGCTTTGGGGACGGCATCCTGGCCACGATGATCAACTCTGGGCTCAGCAAGGGGGTGTCTGCGCAGGATACAGGTAAGGACGGTTCAAGATGAATTTTTTTTGTAATAAGTACATGTTTCTTAACTTGATTGAGGCAAAGAAAATGTCCTGAATGAGATACATGTTGTACATTACATGTAGGATTCAGGTGACTGTAGTGACATAAAGTGTTCTTTGGTATACCACATTCTTTTTACCAAGAAAACATTTCAAAATTTAATGCTCTTGATTTATTTCACCATTGTATGCTTTAAAGGATGCCACAGACCTTTTCACAGATCACAAGGCATGCTGGTAGGTGCTGGGCATTATGGGTAGCTCCAGAAGCAGAATCAGTAGGCAGGTTACTGAAGCTATTTCAACTGCTGAGTCTCTCACAAGCAGAGGATGAAAGAGACCCAGGAGCTAAAATGATTACAAATGACAACATACTAGACAACTGGACACAGCATGCATGCACTGTATTCATTGTACATGCTGTCATGGTAATGATGTTGTTTCCATCCAGCTACCCACAGTACCAAGTCTACCAGACTGTATGCAATGGGATCCATGCCAAAAGTTTTACTTTGTTGAAATCGTTCACACTTTTCTTGTCTTTCCCTCCAGGAGGTGTGATGGGTCTGAGCCTTTCCGCGGGCCACGTCCCCCACATGATCACACCCCCCATCGCTGCATACCTGTTCGAAACCTTCGGGTACAGGGCTATAGGGGTCAGCTGCTTCGCGATAAACAGCGCTATGACTGTGTACCTGCTTCGACGGAAGGATGCACCGTCAACTTAGTGTGCTGCATGGCAGTTGTAGTATAGCCTGGTTACCAGACCTATTTTAGCTTCCGAGTCTTTACCCTCTATGTAAATATCTGTATCGGTATAGCCGGTATAACTGCCCTTCAGTGTAACACACCAGCTAATGGAAATAGGAGAGGATAAAGACTTGGGAGCTAAAATACGGTAGGCGCATCTTATTACCTTGATGTCTAACCTTCACCAATGTAACTTTGAATGTACTTTGCTGAAATTGGGCACACCTTTTCCCCACATGATCACACCCCCCATCGCAGCATACCTGTTTGAAACCTTCGGCTACAGGGCTATAGGGGTCAGCTGCTTCGCGATAAACAGCGCTATGACTGTGTACCTGTTTCGGCGTAAAGATGCGCCGTCAACTTAGTGTGCTGCCTGACAATGGAAGTCTGGCCAGACCTACATGTATTTTAGCTCCTGAGTCTTTAGCCTCTATGCAAATAGGAGAGGATAAAGACTTGGGAGCTAAAATAGGTCTGGTACCAGGCTAATCATAGTCTGGTTTCAAAAGGACCCAGCTAAGCATACGTTAACCTCTACCAGGCTTCGGAAGAGGCTAGAAAGAGTAGATATTGAAAAGATGAGTGGACTATCTCCCCTTGCATGTTATCTGTCTATGTGGCCAATTTCTACTCTTTCTAGCTGCTTCTGAAGCCTTGTTGAGGCATAGCATAAAATGCATATGTAGGTTAGTTCAGGTAAAATTGGAGCTTTGCATGTATTTCTGTCTACCTGCACAGGTTCAAAGAGTGGGAATTTGTTTGTTTCCAAACTTGGCTTACAGAATCTGATGTACAAATTAAAAGACTTCAGATTGAAGATGGTGCCAGGAACACTTTAAAAACCTTGTATTTGACTTGAAAAAAAATTGAATGGTGCAGGTAAGATTAATGTGGCATAGGTAATTTTGAATGCTACCTGCAGTTACATGTATATGAAAAGAAGTACTAGTATTCAAACCCTGATTGTGTGGTAAAAAAATGCAATGTATCTTGGTATATTACAGTAATAACTGTATATGACATTTTACATTTATGTTTTCCAATGAAAGAAGTGTTAAAAACACTTTTGTGGATGTACAGGTCTTATATAGTAATACATGTAACACTGTTGCAAGATCTCAGCATAAAATGTACAGTTTACATTTGTTTAATCCTGTGCAAGTTTGTAGCATTGTTAGATTGGAAGTCCGATAGTTAAAATTGTTATCATGCATTTAGATGATAGAAATTGCCTGTTGCTACATGAATTTTGTATATAGTTACATGTATTCAAGTTTGAAAATATTGAATGCATTTGGAGAAATGTCTTGAAGTTCATATTTGCTAGATAAATTAGTAGTTTGAGTTAGGTAATACAAATGTATATACATGTATCTGTACCAATATCTAGCCACATGATACCAGAGCAGCTTTCCTCAAAATTATGTGTAACTGTAAATAATATATTGCTCTTAAAAAGAGAATAGGTGTTGTATGTTACACTGTCATTGTTTCTTTGTGGAAGAACATTGATATAGCATGGCAGACTGTTCTACATTCAAGCAATCTTTGGGGTGAACTGGAGCTAGAATAGGATGGGCTCCAGGTTAGAATTGTGTTGAAATATATTGCGGAAAGGCAATACAAACCTCTGTGTGCAACACATTGTACAGTATCAAAAACACACAATAAAATTGGCAGTGGATGGAGTGTACATACATGATTGAGCTTACTATTTTTACTTGTATTTCATTCATTACTACATTTAAAAGATGTTCATATAGGCTTGTTTTCAGCTCTAAGACTTGCACCATTATGACAATGATAATCAACATTCATACTATACTGGTGATGGTAACATTTCTACATTCTACAGTTTGCTACAATGTGTAGGCAAGTCCCTTGATTTCATTGAAAACTGAAAATATTTTCAGTCCAAGCCTAACAGTATATTATATTTAACAGCATGCTCCTAAGCTAAAAAAAAAGTAACACTCTAAAACTACCGGTATACAAAATAGTCCTTACATGCAAGATATATTTCCTAAAACTGCTAAAAAAAATTCCATACGAGTTACTATGATGTCAGAGGCACAAAAATGATAGTGGCCACTTCCTGCGAAGTTCCCGCCACTTCTTCTGTCCTCATTTTTTCTTTCTCTTCAACCTCTTCGGGTTTTTCCTCTTTCCTATCTTCTTCCACTGACTTTTGACGCTCGACCACCAGATTCACGACCGTGTCTATCTCAGCCGCTCTTTTATGGCTCTTCAAGTGGTGGTTGTAGGCTTCCCTCACGTGAAACTCTGTACCGCAGTCCTTGCACTTGTAGGTCTTGTCCATACCGTGGTGAGCCCGTTTGTGGTAATTAAGCGCCTCGTTGGAGTTGAACTTCTTGTCGCAGACGAGGCAGCTGAAGGGTTTTTCGGCCATGTGCCTCACCTGGTGACGCTGGAGGTCTCTCTTGTTTTTTCCTCTGTCAGAAGAAGTGTTAATATGTTATGTTAGCAATTATCGTAGCAATAAATATAATACAGTGTAGTTCTTTATTCACTACCACTTGTTTACAAGAGCTGATGTTTTGATGACCGTCTGTCTCTCCCTCTCTGTGCCTTACCTGGTCCTGAAAGAGATAGGCATTTACTAGTCTCTATCAGACTAACACTGTGGGTTCAATAGCAGTAAAAGTTAGCCATATAGAAAGAATAATTGGCTAGGGGAGTAAAGCCACTATAGAGTTTTTTATCAGTGCTGTTTGGGGGGCAAATTAATCTTCCCATGGACTGACTCTCCTGGCCAATTATATTTCAGTTTTCTACCAACTGCTATGATTTAACATGTAGTATGTGTAATGCAAACTCTACTGTCCGCAGCTTAAGCAGCCCCTCCTGGTTGGGTGTTGGGCGGTTGGCCAACTGTAAAGCAATTCAATCAGGCTACTATGATCTGTACCCCCGTAGGAAGGCCTGGGAGAGGCTACCGGCAACACTTTACCTGTACCTGTATTCACACTGGTCACAGGGGAAGGGCCCTTTTCTACTGAATTCTATGATCCGTACCTATGTAAGAAGGCCTGGTAGAGGCTAACATTCTACCTGTATTCACACTGGTCACAGGGGAAGGGCCTGGCAGAGGCTAACACTTTACCTTTAGTAGAAATATTCTTTAATCGATGACTGTTTTTGTAAGGTAATTTTCGATGTCGACTGTACATCTTGATCACGGAGTGTCCTAGTCTCGCAAGAACAGCAGACTAGGTTGAGATTTGTGTGCTTGTACAGTCGACATAAAAAAATTGGAGGTATGTGTTTTTACCTTACAAACAAAAACAGTCACTCATTGAAGAATATTCTAGCTAACTGTAATCTTACGTGACTGACGCACCTCCTTACCTGTATTCACACTGGTCGCAGGGGAAGGCCTGGTAGAGGCTAACACTTTACCTGTATTTACACTGGTCACAAGGGCCTTTTCTACCAAATTCTACAATCCTTACCCCCGTAGGGAAACCTGGTGGAGGCTACCATTTTACGTGTCATGTACCTGTATTCACACTGATCGCAGGGGAAGGGCCTGTTGTCTGCGTGCACGGCGCTGACATGTTTCAGCATGTTGCTCTTCTAACCACAGATACAGAAGCTGGTGTGTTACGCCGAAGGGCAGTTATACCGGCTATACAGATACAGAAGCTGGTGTGTTACGCCGAAGGGCGGTTATACCGGCTATACAGATACAGAAGCTGGTGTGTCATGCCGAAGGGCAGTTATACCGGCTATACAGATACAGAAGCTGGTGTGTTATGCCGAAGGGCGGTTATACTGGTTATGCAGATACAGATACAGAACACTTTACCTGTATTCACACTGGTCGCAGGGGAAGGGCCTGTTGTCAGCGTGCACGGCGCTGACGTGTTTCAGCATGTTGCTCTTCTCCAGAAAGCTCTTGTGACAGACGGAGCAGAAGTGCAGCTTGGCGGTCTCCCTCCAGTTACTGTGCATCCGCAGGACGTGCTTCTTCACATCCCTGAAGCAGAAAGTAGCCCATATTTATACAATCTCTTGCTGGCTGGGGTTATTAATGTCACTTTGATATAGAATGTAGAATATAGTAAAGAAAGAAATGATCTGTATAGGTTTGTACAAAACCTATTTCCTTACTTCATACACTTGAGCATTGTAGACTAGTACATATTCCTAATGCGACTTGACAAACCTTCCATCGAAAAACATATCTGTTCCTTTATCTCTACTATAACTGAAAAACGAGAAGTTGAATTTAGGTACATGTAATAATAGTTAGTTTTATTTTGTATACATCTTTTCAACATGTTTTGTTTTGACCTGTACTCAGCCCAGTGTGACAAAAATGTGCAATAAAATAAAAATAAAGACCGTCATTCATTAACCCCCACCCCAAGATGGCAGCTGTTGGGCAGGCTGACCGCTAGGAGCATGACTTAGGCTAGTTCAGAAATGACATGTTTTTCAACACGTCACACTCACATAGTCTGCTCTGGTGTCTGATTTTTTAATGTGGAATCATGACAAATATTGTATCAATGTAAAGGATATCAAATAAGCTTTCCATATGTGATAATAAAATGTAGCTATCGACACACGAAGAACAAAGATATGCATGAGAGGTCAAAGTTAACTTTCTCAACTTTTTGTGCACAGTGCAACTACAGTGTACTAGTGTGACTTTTTAGTCGTAGTTATAGTAGTGAACATGTATATACATTTAAACCTGGATCCCAAAGAGCTCAAAATCAGTGTCAAATGGTTTAGTTGGGTTTTGAGAGTTATGCAGTAATTTATGTACAAGTACAACTATTGTCTTGCTAAATGTACTAAGTACCCTACCTTTGGCAGGTGAAGCACTTCCCACAGTGTTCACACAGACATGGCTTCTCACCGGTGTGGGTTCGTGTGTGGATCTCAAGCTCAGTTCTTTCAAAGAAAGAAAAAAAAACAACAACTAAGATCCATAAAATTTCCTACTAAGATAGTACTTAAAAGTTCTGGACCAGTAATTAATGATAATTGTACAGTAGAACTTGCTGCCACCAATTGCAAGTACAGTAGGGGGGGCATTCTCACTAAATAGCTTGTTTAGAGTTAGATGTACAAGGGTTAGGTGTAACAAGTCGATCAGAGTAATATAGCCAGCTTTCGCCACGCCGTGTGCCTGCGAAGCTGGTGTGTTACGCTGAAAGGTGGTTATACCGGTTATACTGGCTATACAGATACAGAAAATGTTTTTTTTTTCAAATCAGGCAAAAATCAATGCGTGCGCTGATGTCATCCATAAAAATTACATGTACTTGCTGTGGCCTTACAGTACAGACACTGAATCCTTACCTGCTGCAGTAAGTATTACTGCAGGCTTCACACTTGAACTTCTTGATCTGCTGACTCTGTTTCCCAGCAGGGTCGTGTATGACCTGGTGACGGCGTAACTTGTCCTTCTTGTAGAACTGTTTGCCGCACACCTCACACTGGTGCTGGGGTGGTACCTGGTGAACAGCACAGATTCAAATAAAATTACTCCCACCTCTCAAATAAAAGTACCCCTGGACAAATCTTCAAAATCCTATAAAAGTACCCCCAGAAATAAAATTGACATGTAACTTGTAAGCAACGTCTATGCTACTTAATGTGTTCTCACAGTGTATGTGTGCGTCTATATGACCCTGTCACTTGCAGTTACTAGTATCACATTTTATTGTATTCATTAATAAAACAATTCACCAAATGTCTTCATGGTAGCCAAAAATTTAGCCTGGGTACCATCCAAATTTGTTACTCCACTGTACTCCTAAAAAAAATGCAATACTGCAGCAGAGTTACAAATATGGTTGTTACCCAGCCTAGCAAAAATTCACAGTCTGAGAAGAATGGACATGTTCACGAGAACTTATTCTTCACAGTGGCGGGGGAGGGGTGGTGGTGAAAGATAAACGATTTGATAACAGTAATGATAAGTTCATGATACAAAGTTGACCATGAAAACAGTTCAAACATAAATCTATCACGATGTAATTTAAAAGATGACAGGACTCTAAATTGTGAACTTTTTACTCACCTCTGAGTGATGCCTGACAGTGTGGTTTTTCAGGGAATCAGGTCGCTCGAACACCTTCGAGCAATCTGGACACGGGTAAATCATGCCGCATCTTTTCCTGTGGTGATAAAACGCATTTTATCTCAAATTGTAAGCTCTATAGCAATGAACGAAATGAACTCTTTGACATGTCCTAATTCTACACTACCTTTCACATATATACAAATGAAACCTACTCCTCAGAGTCAGACATCCGAAAACCTATAAATTACAGAAAAAGTGGGATCTTTTGTCTTCCTCTGTCTTCAAAAAAGAAGTTAAACCAAGTAGTTCTTAGCAGTTAACAGTACTTTTAGTAGTTCTCTGTGTATCAATTACCTGTTCTTGTACCTGATGTTTCTTCTGTACTTGCTATATAGCTATTAGCCGTCGGGCATGAATTTGCAATAAAAACAATTATATTCACCAGTCACTGACGAAAGCTAGTGGATACTAGCTGAAACATCTGACCGTTTCCAAAATCATATCCAGTTGCTTGAGTAACTGTTTTTTGGCGTATCTTATTACCTGGATGTCTAACCTTCATCGACGTAAAACATTATATTACCTGTGGTTGGTGAACTTCTTTCTGATCTGGAATTCCTCCTTGCAGTTCTCGCACGTAAACGGCCCGACAAAAGTTGGTCCGCGTCCACGCTTTTTCTTCTTAACATCGTGCAGTTTCAACATGTGTTCGTCCAAGATCTCTTGGTTCTCGTAACATTTTTTGCAGATCCGACAGCGTAAGAATTTCTGTTGGTGCGTCTTCTTCATGTGAGTTATGAGCGTCTTTCTTGTCTTGCAGTGTTTTGAACACTGGCTGCAAGGAAACTGTGTTTTTTCCGCAGTTGTGTCTTCTTTGCATGTGTCGTCTGACATCATTTCTTCATTATCGTTAGCCAAACTTTCTTGAGCGGAGTCGATGCTATCATTTCCAGCCTCGCATACCATATCACTATCAGTATTGCTTTTGTCTTCTACATTTTCTGAAACCCCATCGCTTTTGCCATCTTCAACATCAACAATTTCTGTTACGTTTTCAGCATTGGTGTAATGAATTTCTTCACCCCCCTTATCATGGTCATCTCTAGACATTGCCTCTTGTGAGGTCTGTGTGGTGCTTTCTTCTTCAATCTCTTCAGTTTTCACAGTTACTGGTACCAATTCACTTAGAATTGTAACGTCATCGCTAGTACTATCTTGTACCATTGTTTCTTCGACAACCTCACATGTGTCTACCTCCTCCATTTTGACAGTAGCTGTGTCAGTTTGCTGGGCAGCTGGGTTTGGTGAAGAACTGTCCATAGTTTCTTGGACAGCCTGTATGTTAGCTGAAAACTGCTGTATCATAGCCTCTTCCATAGGTGTGACATCCATGGCTGAATGATTCTGGGTGATTTTCTGTAAAAAAGGGAAACAACACAATACTATAGGTTCCTCACTTGAAATGCCAATTAAAGAATGTGTTAGATCATTACCCTATGTATAGTACAGCATTGAGTGTGACAGCCATGCCTAAATAAGATCTTGGGTAAAATTATGCCTAGAGAAGGGAGAAGTATGTTGCTAAATGTCCAAAACACAAGACTACAGGCAACTCTCCTAGGGCATTGCCAAAAATGTATCAAGACTCAGATATATATGCCACTGATCATAGATATACAGCACATTCAGGTGTGACATCTATGGCTCAATAAGATTTTGGGTATTTTCTGTTTGAAGAAGACAAAATATGTTGCAATCACAAGACAAAATACAAGAATACAGGCTCCCCTCCCAAGGCATTGCCAAAATGTATGAGGACTGAGCAATACAGTACTTTAGGCTCCTTCCCAGAGGCGTCGCCAAAAAAATTCCTAAAAATACTGATTGCCCCAGATTCATACAACGCATCTTAGGACCACACAGGCCTACCCACAACGTTAAAGGTTTGAATAGTTGTCTTTTTGGGCGTCTAAATCCTGGCTCGGTGAAGCTTCTCTGTTCGTCCGCCTAAAAATGGCATTCGCCCCTGAGGCGTCGCCATGAAAAATTCCTCACTATAAAAAACAACAAAGATGGTCGCTTCGAAAGCCAGTTTAGAAGACTACAAACGATTTTAGCAGCTTAAAATGTACAGATTGTTGTAAATATGTTTCTAATACATTAAATGGTGACTTACCTGGGCACAAAATCGCCGAAAATGGTGTAGAAACGGCGTTCTTTTGTCTGCAAACACACAGCTCGCGTTGCCAAATATTTTCCGGTCCGGGAGGGTCAAAGGTCAACATTTGCCTCCTGATGACCCTAGTAGGATCTCGTCTAGACCTTTTAGCAGATAACTATGAAGAGAGGAGACAAGGAAAGGCTCTGATTTAATGTTTCGACTCTTACATTGATGCAGTGATATGTGATGCTGGCTGTGTATATGTGATGTTCTCACTGAATCAAAACCATTTAGTCAAAAATATCATGTCATCCATAAAATTTACTTGCTGTGGCCTGAGTCAGTCGCTGATGCTATAATGCAAACACCCTTGAATAATTTAACGTCTTCTTCTTCTTTCTTTTCTTCTTTCTTTTGAGGAAGCCGCCTTCAGCAGTTTGAAGATTCTGCTGCCTGTAGTGGTGGGTGCATGTCGGGGAGTTCAGGTTTCACAGCTTGCCCCTAAACTCCTCCAGAGAAGAAGAGAGGGCAATGTCTGCGTCCAGGGTGTTCCAATCAGAAATTGTCCGCGGGAAGAAGGAGTTCTGCCTGTAGGAAGTCCTACTTTGGGGCACTCTGTAGGCAGCGGAGTGTGACTGTCTAGTGGCCCTTGTCTGGGCATTGAGGTGAATGTATATCGGTTTTATTGCATAATTCACAATTCAAGCACAGAGACCGATATCAAAGAACAGCGAACTTTTATTTTGTTTTGATAATTATTTTACAAGTTGATGTACCGTGATAAAAGTGCACTGTGATCAAACCATAGTAAAAAACAGACAACCAATATATTGTATTCCAGTAAAAAAACACCAATGGTTCATAAAAAGTTGATTAACGTCATAATAATATATAAAATACATTCCATAATCCATATTTTAGTAATTTTTAACCAACCTTTGTCTGAACTTTTAAAATATTTTTTTTGTCTGAACTATTAAAATATAAGTGGCAGTGGTCTTGTGTCTCAATATAATATACAAGTTCATGACTTTCATGAAATTTGATTAATCAACAATCGTCTAATGAAGTGACAAATACTACAGACTAGTTGCTATAATAGTAACAATGAATAATATCTCTATTCATGTAAGCATACGGCAATATTAACAGTAAAGCCTTTCAAAGTAAGGCTAATAGTTGAGTAGTGCAACAGGAATAATGATACATCTGTAACGTGATGCTAATCACTTTGCAAGTTTGTTAACAAACTTTTGAAATCCTAAGAAGGACCTTGGAAAGTTGATGGACAGGATGTAAATTTGTGAGTTGTGATATGCATACGACTCTAGTGGTGCAACTGTACTAATAACTGTGGTAATAATGATACATTTGTAATACATGTATCATGATAATCATTATAGTTAAAAAAATTTGAAATCCTAAGAAGAATCTCCGAAAGTTGCCGGCCAGGGTGTGAACTTGTGAGTTGTGATATGTGCGGACAGCTCCTTCTGATACAGGAACCCTCTAGAGCAAAAGCCACATTTGAAGGGATTGTGACCCGGATGCTTCAACTGCAGATGATAAACTCGGTCTTCCTCATTGTTAAACTGCTCGTCACAGAAGTAGCAGTTCATGAATTTGATCGGCGGAGGGATGATTTGATGGCCAATCTGACTTTGAATCTTTCGAATGGTTTCTGGCTGGAGTCTAACTACGGTTCTTGATGTACCGTCTTGGCGGCGCGGTTTGGGCTTAAACAGGGGCCGTATCTTTGAGGCAGCACTACCAGGGATACTCTTCTTTGAAGTGGATTCCTTTTGCTTGCTTTCTGGCCTCTTTGGACTCTTGGGTGTCTTGGGTGACTTCTTGGGTGACTTCTTGGGAGACTTCGGAGCAGCTTTGTTGTCGTCAGAAGTACGAGCCGTTGACTTTTGCTGTTTCTTCTTTTTGCTCGGAGACATCGTTTTGGCAGAGGATTCATGTTGGTCATTAGACTTCCTCTTCTTTTTCTCCTGCTTCTTCTTATTTCCAACATCAGGCACAACATCATCTTTGCTATTAACATTACCCGTGCTTGCCTTATTGTGGCTGTCTTCTATGTGTATGTCACGGTCACGGTCCTTGCTGTTTTGTAATGTGTCAGTATCAGTATCTGTTGTACTCGTAGCTTGGTTGATTCCAGCCTTGGTAGTTTCGGCTACGTTGTCACCATCTTGTTTGGGTAAGGACGACTGGTTCTTTTCGCCTTCGTTGGCGGCTTTTGCTTCGTCGGGAATTGTGCACACCACCGGAGCTTCGTTTTCTTCTTCTTCTTCGTTGCTGTTCTTTGAAGGTAGCTGCGGTTGATTCTCTTCGCTAGTGGCGCTGATCGAGGTTTGATTCTCGCTAACATCTTCGGTGACATCTACTGTTACTGTATTCGGACCCTCAGAGGATTCACTGCTGGTTCCGTAGCATGTTGTGTCGACGAGTCCTGATTGGTCAGTTTGAACTGAAAGTCCTGCCGATTGGTCACTTTGATTCAAAAAGCCGTGCCCGTAATATAATTTTCGACAGGATCCGACCACCGCGACGATCTTCAACTCATGGCCACGGTCTGAGGATGTTGAAGGGTTTACAGAAGAGCTGCTGTCAAATGGGGTCACGGAGGGGGTTTCGCTATCACTAGCAAGGCTCTCATGTGGGGACACCGACGGGGCGGCGAACTCACCCGAAGAGCTGACCAGATTGACATCCGCTGACTGGTCCTGCCAGGTTTGATTTTCAGGGTAAACAAACCCAGCGTTGTTCTGAATTCCAGGAGCATGGGAAGAGATGGCCGCATCCCCACTTTCGGTCAAACCCAGACCGCCGCTGTGGTGGGCTAACTGGCCGTGAGAATCAGCAGCCGTGGATAGGTAGGCTGGTGTAGTTGGCTCCTCCATGTCCGACATTGCGTCCCCTGATAGGGGTGGCGTTGCGCTGTTGGTTTCTGTACTACCTGTGCTGACCATGTTCGAAGGCAGCTGAGAAGAGGTCATTGACCTTTCCGTGCTGTTGTAGCCTGGTGTAGAGACGAACTGAATGTTGTTTGTTACGTCGGTCCATGGGTCGGGTGGCACCTCTTCTATCTTCACACGGACGGTGGCCGGTGTTGTTACATCTGTTTGGTTCGCACTGCTTGTAGTTGCCTTCACAATGTTTCGGCCATCGCTGATCATGATCTGGCTAGCACAATTCTGCTCTTCCGACACACGTGTGTACTCCCCGTGTACCCCAGTACCCTGCCCGCCGGTACAACTTGTGACCACGCAATGGTGCAGATTTTGCTGGAACGTTTGGCAAAGTTTAGCCACAGCCTCGACCTGAAAGTACCCAGCAGCGAACGACACGTCAAGCAGGTTATCTTGCGAAAGTGTCAGCTCTGATGTATACATCCAATCCAGCAAGGGCCCCACTCCTTTTCGTGTAAGAAGTGGAGGTAGCTGGAGTACAATCTCTGTCGTGCTAGCACTTTGAATTTGAGCAGAGACATATGGAGAAAGGGCGGCTAAGACACAGTAGTGTGCGTTTAGATCGGATCCTTGCAGCTTCAGCTTGATGTCGCAGAATCGCCCTGTGTTTCTCTGTTGGTTGAGTTGCTGCTGAAGGATGCCCGGTAGATTGGGGGACTTCAACTTGTGCCCGTCCATTGTTCACTGAAATCTGTCACCTGAAAAGGTAAACAAAATACATGTACATCTGATATGAAATATGGACTGTTAAACAAAATGGTGACAAAAGCTTTGGTGATGTCACAACCAAGATTATTTTCTTTTTGAATTCGATTCTTGAATACGATTAATTTTTTCTCTATGCTTACTTGCGCCCATTACGTTAGACATATATTTATTTCTTGTAGGATTATTTTTCTTTACAGTCACAAAATCAATGGGTTCAAAATCGTTACAAATCATTGTTGCATAATCTACTGATCGTGTGGATCTATGATATTAAATACTAGTGATGCAGGTCGATTTGAGTTTTGAATACTAGGTAGATAACAAATAAACATTAAAACATTGCATTTTCTCCAGGTCTTTTCCCTAAAAAATTGGTTTATTGATTAACATTCCAACGGCCGAAACAGCCGTTCCCATGTCCCCTGTATAGGTATCTGTACTATGCATTTATTTCTATGCCTACAGCAAGAAGGTTTAACCTCCTTGCCTACAGCAAGTGCAAATATGATTTAGTTACGCCAAGGAGGTTTAAAAAGTATGCTCATGTCTCGCTTAATACGTAGACTGATTGTCTACATACGTACGGTGAGACATGGGCGCAACTAAATCATATTTGCGGTTCTTGTTGAGTACAAGAAGCTTATTATTATGGTATAATAGTAATACTCCTACAAAAGAGGCACATATGCCCAATAGACAAGAAAATTGCCACAGAAATAGATTAATCTAGCCTCCATGGCAGGCTTATATAACTGGGGGTTTGGTGGTCTTCGGCTGTTTTCTGATTAGCCCAGTTCTCAAAAAACGGGGGTAATTCAACCAGGCTGGCTATGTTGTCTACATGCAATCAGAAAAATATAGCACATAAAAGCTCCCAAAGACCATGAAGACCCCCAGTTTTTGGCATGCTATGGAGGCTATGGTTAATCATTGTTGCAGTGATTTCGTCAGACTGAAATTATGGCTTCACCAGATTTCAAATCAGTGTGTGGGACCACAAAGAACAGACACCGTCACACTACAACAAACAAAGCCATTCGACAATTGAGTGCAACTATTTCACTGAACAATGCACGCCCTTAGCCTCCAAATAGCATACCAAAAACTGGGGGGTTTGGGGGGTCTTCATGGTCTTTGGGAGCTTTTATGTGCTATTTTCTGATTGCATATAGACAACATAGCCGGCCTGGTTGAATAATTACCCCCGTTTCTTAGAACTGGGCTAACGCAAACAGAAACAACCGAAGGCCACCAAAGCCCCACCTTAGTTCTATACTAGTAAGTCTGCTACGGAGGCTAGCACAACCTGAAATAATGCGATCAGTTCCTGTTATTCTTGTGGATTTTCTGTTGCATGTAAATAAAGTATTAAAAGCCCGAACAGCTTTTCAAATAAATTATACAACAGCTGCACATCCGTGTATGGCAAACAAACAACCTCAGAACTAACCGACCAACTCGGCCGTGATAACGCTATTTTCCGTGCATATTTTCACAGAAAAAGCCACTAATATGATCAAGAACAATTACACGCATGATCTCATCACCGAGAAACAAGTAAATGACAACAAACCTGCGTTTGTAGCGCCGAAATTTGCGACCAGATTTCCGTAAATTTACTGAACTAGTGTTTCCGGGTACGCCATATTATTTGTTGAACTTTGACCCCCTGTGTGGAACATGCCATTCCTTGCAGAGGGGTGAATTTGGTTATAGAACGAGTTTGACCAATGTCACAGTAGCATTGAAAGTGAGAGAGGAGTGAGTGAGTGAGTGAGTGAGAGAGTGAGTGAGTGAGTGAGTGAGTGAGTGAGTGAGTGAGTGAGTGAGTAGCATTGACCTGATTCTAGCCTCTACATTAGAAGGCAATATACTCTTACTTTCCAGTTTTGTGGTTAGACAATCCAAAATAATGGATTTCAAAATCTTAGTGACCGACGAAGGCTGTAAAGATGAACACATAAAAACAGCGTTAATGCATTATAAAATTTATATACCTTTCTTTCATTATCTCAGTAAAAGTTATCTTAAGGCAAAAAAAAATCAACGATCATTTCCTTGCATGTCAGTAGCGACATTTGGCGGAAAACCAATGTATAGCAGCATGCAGCAAATCTTACACGTGACGTCACTAGGACAAAACATACCAGTAGTCCCAACGTGCAAAACATTACGTAGGTACGCAGGTATGACTCTTTCTCGCTCGGTTCCATATAAATCCATGGTTTTGCTTCGCCAAACTATAACAATTTGAAGACTAAAATTTGACATGAAGGCAGGTAAATTGTAAACAAATACTTTGTTCTCTAAAGTAAACTATATTAAAGTTCGCATGCAGAAAATACAACGTAGCAAAATTAGCTCTAAGTATAATCAATATTGTTGGAGTAGTTGTATTCTGATTATACTCATTTGAAGTGGTCCCTCCATTCATTCGTTTTTATATTGATAAGCAGGATTTGAATCTCATTGTATACCGAGAACTTTGTATCTTACTCAAGAAGGTTCTAAAAAGGGGAGTGTATTATGTAGGTAGATTGTGAACTACAGACAAAGCAATACTCTAATTCAGTTTATATTCGCAGTAGCCAAATATCACGGTCTGAGAAAAATGGAGGTGTTCACGGAACTATATATGTTTACGACGGTGGGAAATGGGGGAAAAGAAGAGTAATTTGTTAGTGAGAATCATAATGATAAGTTCACGGTGCAGATTCGAAGTTACCATATGCGCATAAAACCGCGAGCATAGCAGTACCGAGAAAAAAAATCAGAAATTACAGTACCCACAAGATCCGTCAAGCAAGCACCGCGATATCATTCGGTCACATCGCGTCTGATTTTCTTTGTGTTTCCCTACCCAAAATATCACTCGTACAACTGGCAACAAAGTCGAGCTAATATTGATCCAACAATAGATAACTATAAACATATGTTCTGCTTGTTGCAATATTTCACTCCGGGAGAAAAACAAGTTTGATTGACAGGTAATATTGACCACTCTGTATTAGCTCAGTGACCGTTTGTATTAGCCTAGTATAGTACCATTGTATGTTCCTTATGTATGTATATCTAAGTCAAGTAGTGTATCTTTTGTCTTCACTTTTCTACATACGTTTGTTATGTGTCTGTTAAGTCTTGACCTGTACCTAGCCCGTCGTGGCATGAATGTACAATAAAGGTATTTCGGAATACAAACACTCTACATTAAAGACTACATGAAATCTTTTTCCGAATGTCATACCGATGTGCAACTAATGAGCTGAACATTATGTTATCATGTATGGGTTGGGATGGACATGTGTGTGAGGTGGGGAGGAGAAAGAGATGGAGAGGAGAGAGTTTGGTTGCTTTGCGGGCGGTCTATCAGACACACCACTGATGGGCAACAGAATCGCAGACATAAACAGAACCCACAAGATCCGTCAAGCAAGCATCGCGACATCAATCGGCCGCAGTACGTTTAATTTCCTTTGTGTACCCCGACCCAAAATATCACACTGCAAACTGGCAACAAAGTGGAGCTAATATTGTTCCAACAATAGATAACTGTAAACATACTCCCGAGAAAAACAAGTTTGATAGACGGGTAATATCAACAGCAAGACCTACTGTGTACATCGAAGGATACATGGAATATTTTTCCAAATATCCGATGTGCAAAAAATTAGCTGAACGTTATTCTTTCATGTATGGTTGGGATGGGCATGTGTATAAGGCGGAGGAGGGGGGAAAGATGGAAAGGAGAGGAGAGGAGAGAGTGTTAATTGCTTTGTGGACGGTTTATTAGACACACCATTCACCAACAGAATCGTACACATAAACAGAGCCCACAAGATCCGTAAATTCAATTCAATTCTTTATTTCATACCAACGTTGCAGACATACAAAAATATGTGTTGCCTGAATGGCATTGGTATTTACAGCAATAACAGCAAGATAATAAGTACATAACATATATTACACATATATACATACTATTAAAATATATACATTAAATCAACAGGGCATCCCAGATATGACACGTTTACACAGTCTGGTTGTATAGTCTGATAGACTGATGTAGGAACGAGTTCTGGAGTCTTTTTGTTCTGGCTGGGGGGATGGATATAGTGTTCTTGTTCCTAAGAGAGCGTCCAGTGGCGTTAGCTCTAGAGACAGGGACGAGGTCATGTAGGGGGTGGTCCTAAAGCAAGCATCGCGATATCGACCGGTGTTTCCCAACCCAAAATATAACTCGCACAACTGGCAACAAACTGTAAACATGTGCTCTGTACGGTATAATATTTCGCTCCCGAGAAAAACAAGTTTGATTGACAGGTAAGGCCACACCAAGTAAATTTTATGGATGACGTCCTTTGGAGACCCTAAATCTAATGCGAGAGGGCGAAAAAAAAACAAGAAGGGCCCTAAAAACAAGATGCCTAGATAAGAAATATACTAAGAGACGACAAATGTTAGGACACAAATTGAATGAGGTGACACAGTGTAACAAGCAAGAAGTATTTTATTCATCATCAAAACAGCAATAAATCAGGTGGAGATAGATGGAGCGGTCAGCAAGTTTCTTCAAATGTGGCAGCATGTACCAAACTGAATTCCTAATGGAAGTCATGATTTCCTTGCTTGATGCTTTGGTCCGTACAAACCTATTTGCGGCACTGTCGTGACTCTTTGGTCATAGTTACAGGAAGCGGAATTTCTTGGGTTTTTTTCTAGGAACAGGCCAAAATCAATGCGCGCGCGGACGTCATCCATAAAATCTACTTGGTGTGGCCTTATATTGATCACAAGACTACATCAAAGACTAGCCTCCTGTGCAGGCCCCGCGGCGGTGGGGAAGAGTTTTTAACGCGTGGGCGGAACGGAACCTTCTCTCGGCGGCTATGTAGGATGGCCGGCTATATTAGAATAACGCGTTAATAAACTCTTCCCCACCGCCGCGGAGCCTGCACAGGAGGCTAATCAAAAACCACATGAAAGCTTTTTTTTTTTTTACCAAATTTCATATTGATGCCGTGGATAATTAATAGCGTTTTGCGCGCAACCCGCTTGTATTCATCCGTATCTTCTAAAGTCCGCAGAAACAATTATACCTGACGTTTTCTACATTCACCAACAGAAGCCCAGACATTAATAGAACTCAAGATCCGTCAAGCATATACCGCGATATGAACCGGACATCAAATGAAACTCGCTTTGTAACTTGCCGACCCAAAATATCACACGGAAAAGTGTTGACAGTCATAACAAAGATCGGGTGGCTAATTTTGGTCCAACCAAGGACGTACATTTATAACGTTTTGCGCGTACGTACCACTTGTTGACATATTCGTGTGGACCTTCTAGCTGACAGAAAAAATTAATATACATTTGTACCTGATTTTTTTACACTGGTATCTCATTCTATGCTGAGAACTTTGGATTTTACTCAAGGCTGGTAGAGGCTTGACAAGCCATAGACACAGACAAGCTAGCACCACGATTATCAAACTACCACTGTCTTAAATAGAAGAGAGAGGAAGTTGATCTGTATGTGTATATGTTAGTAAACGTTAGCCATTCAGTTGTCCAGTTCAGTTCATTCCCAGTTATGTGACATAGTGCTGTAAATCACCTTAAATTCGCGGCAGCTAATTTTCGCGGTCTGAGAAAAATGGACATGTTCACTGAACTTTATGTTCGCGGTGACTCAGAGATCGAGAAAGAAAGTCGTAGAAGAAAGGAAGTCGGCGAATTATTTGTTCGCGGTAGTGATGAATTCGCGGTACAGAAGTGACCGCGAAAACCGCAAATACTTATACAATGATTTACCAGTATACTGTCTCCACAAGTTTCAATAGCACATTTTATGAGATTGCATCACCTCTTCAACTACCTTCTTAAGTAGCCATTGTAGACATTACATTATTGTAGTTGTACATAGAACTACTAACTGTTTTATAACCATATCATTACCTGCACTTATTTATAAGAGCATGAACGTACAATGAATGTCTTTCCAATCTATTCTTTAAAGCGATCTGCAGGTCGATTTGATCCTCCCGTGAATAAACAGTGGTTCAAAGTTGAACAACCGAAGACTAAATCAATACGGCAACTCGCGAGCGACACGTCTCCGTAAAGGTGCAGCCACCGCGGACCCACCCACATCGCCCACGCAGATGACGTTATCAGCAATAAAAATAGTCTCATTTGCATAAAAGCATTAGACGTCGCTTGTGCCTTTTTTTTTTAAATAAGGCCGCACTAACTAAATTTTATGGATGGCATCCTTTGGCTGGAACCCCCAAACCACAGGAATACAAAGCTGGCATTGCGAATTTGCGCTAGTACATGACAAGCCGGCACATGCTGGTCTTTTGAGGAATTTATAAGTCGGCACTGTTCTGAGTTCTGGAGTTCCGTGGAGCTTCGGTAGCCTGGGTGCCATCCTCCGTAGTTTCCGCCAGCCCCTATTGTCGCTAGCTACCATGATGATGGACAAGAGAGGGTAACACCCAGGCCAGAGCTTCGGGTTTTTTTTTAGACCAGGCGAAAATCAATGCGCGCGTTGATGTCATCCATAAAATCAAATCAACGTGGTCTAACTGAACCCCGTTGGCCAACGTAACGCATACATTATCACATACCGTACCTCTCTATAAAATACTACCAAACCACCGAATCCACATACTACAACTTTGGAGGTCTGAGTGAGTCATCGACAAGTCCACGGTAGGTGTTTTCGCACATTTCATGCTATATCTTTATTCAAATTGATGTCTGTAGTACATACTGCTAAAACATATACACGGTACTAGTTTATCAATTGCTAGAATATGTACTACAGTGTACATGTGTATTATAATCGTTTATTGAAGTTGTAAGTACGATCGTTCCCAAGAAAGCTTCAAGTATTGCCAGTGCACCGTGGTCAGTGGTGGCGGCACGATAGTTTACAATCAGCTTGGCTCAATCCTTATTACCTCCGGGGAAGGAGATATCCTTCCGCGAGGAGGTTTTACTATGGTTCGAAACATTTCTGTCAGCAGCTGTTTCTCGCGATCGGCTGGACGGATTTGTCTGTGGTTCGGTATACGTATTGCTATTGGACTGCAGATGATGCAGAACGTTTTTGTTTAATTGCATATGTGTTTATGGGCGTCGAAATAAAAGGTTTTTAAGTGCTCCGGACACCCCCGCCATGCTGAAAATGGTAATTACCATGTTGTTAAGGAATGGGGCGGTTGCAGTTTTGGGTCTTAGCATTCAAAAGGGGTCAAACAGAGGGCTGTCTGGTTCCGATAAAAATTTTGGGTGACGGCGCAGCAATGACGGCGCGGGATGACGGCGGGGGTAATGGCGCGAGTGACGGTGCAGGCTGTCAGACTGTGAGACACGTTAATCAACAGTCCATACCGAACCAACCGTCAGTAGCCATCAAACACATACAAACATATTACGCACATAACTTTCATACTACACACAAACAAATAACCTAAACCAATAGAACACAAAAAAAACCCGGAGGTTTGAAATCTACGATTTCCCTTGTTACAATATTCTTCTACACTGTATAAATCCATAGTTGACAAAGCAGTGCACAGTACATGGTATTTAGCATTTGCTATGTACAATACAGTAGATTGTATCTGTATTGCATACGGTACATACAGTATTTTGCCGGCCTAAGCCTCAGGCGTAATGTACACACTAGCTTCGCCGGCACGCGCCACCGCGACAGCTATAGTTATATTACACTGAGCGACGTGTCATACCCAACTTTTTTGTAATATCTAACACTCAACCGTTTTTCGTCACAATTTTCGTCATTTTTGGTCCACGAATTTCTATATAAATTGGGCCAGTGTTGTTTCAACTCAGAATGTAGATATTAAATGACTAGATTATTGACTTAAAAGATGCATTGGGTACATTTAAAGCTCACTAGTGAGGCTACCCTTACTGTACACGGTGGAAATAAATTCTACTCCGCGATAACTGTAGGAAAAAACGAATTTTTGAACATCTCAGTCCCGAGTCATTACTCTGTAATTTTTAGTTCAGCCGCAAACTTTACAAATGCCTGTCTGTTTTTGTCAATTTATCTTTCCGACGACTATACAACACGGTGTATTCCGCTAGTCTCCACCAGACCCCTTTGCAGGCTATTTCAACAATAGAAATCGGTCTAAAAAGAATGTTACTGGCCAAGGCAGGGCTCGTAATTAAAGGTGGTCCAATGGCCTCTGACCACTAAAATTTAAGCTGGGACAACTAAAAAGACACGTTGAGAAATTTTTTTGGACAATAGAACAACAATCAACATCAGAATGTCAGCCCTTCTTTTGTTTATCAGGCACACGTCCCTAGCCTGGGTACCATCCTACTTGTATGCCGGGGCTCCCACACTCGCTTCCCTAACAAGTACTACTTGTTAGGGAAGCGAGTGTGGGAGCCCCGGCATACACGTAGGATGGTACCCAGGCCAGGCTAACACGTCCCGGCTTTTGGCTCCGGAAAAGTCCCCCCGAATTTCCTGTCTACTCCGAAATTATAGTGCGCCTGGGAGTGAACATAAGCAAAATAAAGTTGAAGTCATACAATACTTCCCAAATATTAGTTCATCCTCACTTCGGACAATTGAAATCTATTTTGGAACAGTGCTTGGACAATAGGAAGAAAAGTTAATTTCGAAGCCTGCATGGGGAATCAGCCGGCCACAGAGGGTCCAATTGCCTGCACGGCAGAATTCCGCATCGCCCTCGGTCACAACTCCAGGCAGATGCGACGCCCGATTCAAGAGTTGCCATGGCTACATTGCAAAGAAACAAAGCTAACGGGACTTAATTGTGTGGTTGTTACTCCCAGATTATGTCTTACGTGAATACTAGTAATGGACAAGGAACTTTATCGCATATTCACGCCCTAAATGGGCCAAATGTGCTACGTTAGATAACTGAGGTATAAGGGTAGGAGGAACAAGTGCTGCATTACTGTGCTACGTCTATATCTACAAGATCTCTTCTCTCTTTTTGAAACAAGCATGAACAAATTAGCATAGTTTTTCGAAGTTACATCGTAGTTCCTGGATAGAAAAACGCGAACTGGCAGAGAATAGGTGTTCTCTCTGGTGCGCATTTTAGGCCTATGTTCTGCGCACGCTCTAGGGGTAAATACCTAAGTCGTACTGTATCATCACACTTAATTGTGCCACGTGTAAGATCCGGTATAAGTGCCAACATTTATGTAGAGGAGAAAACCCGAAGCCGCCCCAGAAATTTGTTGGATGTGAAGAGGAGAACAACGCCAGTCCAAGGTAGGCTAGCTTTGATAGCAACCACAAGACATGTTCGGTAAATCCTGTCTGGTCAAGATTTTACAATCATCTGGCCTTCCTTGTATCTTATAATTGGTGCTCGGATGAATTTATTGCTTGCTTTGTTTTATTCATTTGCAGTATTATCTTGTATTTTTATTTTTGTGTGTGTGTAGCGGTTAACATTTCTAGGGGGTAAAACTCCTTTATTTGCTCAATGGTATGAATATTTTTGCACCAGTTCCATGCACAAACATGCAGTTGTCTGAATATACACTTTTTACGGTGAATTTACTTTTTTATGTTAAGAAGGAGGAATTTTGATAACATATGGTATGACTATGTACCCAACAAATACTCCAGACTTCTATGATATGGGAATGTTCGGAAAATCCTGTCTGATCAAGATTTTACAATCATCTGGCCTTCCTTATATCTTATAAGTGGTGCTCGGATGAATTTATTACTTGTTTGTGCGTTTTTGTTTTTATTCATTTGCAGTATTATCTTGTTTTATTTTTTTTTTAATTTTGTGTGTGTACAGCGGCTAACATTACTTGGGGTAGAACTCCTTTTATTTGCCCATTGGTATGAATATTTTGCACCAGTTCCACTCACAAACATGCAGTTGTCTGAATATACACTTTTTCGCGGTGAATTTACTTTTTTATGGTTTGAAGGAGGAATTTTGATAACATATGGTGTGACCATGTACCCAGAAAATACTCCAGACTTCTATTGTATGGGAATATGTGTGCTTTTGTTGGAACGGAGTCTTAAATCTTTTGTCCTCAAATGCATAGAACTATTTTATGTGCTATTTTCCTCAAATATGTTCAGTTAAGTCTGTCACCGACAGATACACTGGCCATTTTGTGACAAGTTAACATTCACAAATGTTGAATACAGGGCGGCGCGAATCTTTTGTGCCGGCATTTCACAAGAACCTGTAGAATATTGTGAAAACATGTACGCTATAGCTTGAAAAGTATTTCTAGACCCCACCTATTTTGTGGAGAGACCTGGATTTGGACGCTATTCCCACACCTCAACGCAGAAATGCGCTTCCAGAGTAAGAATAAAACTTCTGTAGATGCATGACGACGGGGCGTATTTTTTCATCACAACGACTTCTCAATCAACAGTAACTTTCATCGTCCGCTGAGATTTTTTGTGGCCCCACTGGTATTAACGCGCGTCTGTTTCAGTCATAGACTTTATTAATTTGTACATGCACGTTTGTGTTGAGCCAAAACCGTGATTTTCATTGATTTGTAGGGTATGAATGTATGAATTTGAGAATATGAATCATGATTCCATATGAATGTATTTTTCAAACTTGACAAAGTTTCATTACCTTTACAATGCAAGTTGTATCATATCATTATGTTGCATACTACTGAACATATATTGTTTTTCCCAATTAAAAGCCACTGTATTATCTATTTTCTCGATCTTTATGCATGTGTTACATATAACTCTGTGTCGATGTACGTGTATCTGTTATGTTGTATTCAAGTACAACGGATATCCTTGGTACAACGGATACATGCATGTGCTAGTCGTGTATGCTCGTGTCTATCTAGCCTGGGTACCGGCTTGGCGGTAATTTTTCGGCCCCGGCCTTTACCAAGCACAGGCGAGTTATACCACGGACCTATCTCCAGCTGGTTTCCCTGTATCCGCTGACTTCCTGTATTACGCTTAGTCTTCTGTTGCCGCCGACCCAAACGTTGTGAGCGAAGAAACTTACCCCCCCCCTCCCGAAGCGAGGTAATTGAGGACAGGTTAGCGGCCCCAAACGCTCTCGGCGCCGAAGGGATAGCGCTGAGCTCACGGCGGTCTGGTAACCAGGCTAGTGTCTATCCATTACAACTGACTGAGTTCCCCTCAGACATCTCCAAAATACTCTAAAAACAATCTGTGTTTGAGCTAAAAACTTTGTGCTAATTTTCACCGGCAAGCATATACTTGCTTAAGTATTTGGAAGTAGGTTTTCGCAATTGCTATTTGGGACATGCCGCCGGAGGATGCATATGCGAGAGCCGAATAAAAATACCGTCCAATCTTGCATCCGGGACGGTCCCATATTTCATGTATACTATTATGATAAATGCCATGCTGAGAATGTATTCGGGTTCGAAGAGGATTATATCGTTCAAGGACAGTGGATTTTTGGACATAAACAGGAAAATATCATGCATTGGTTACAATATTTCATATTTGTGCATAATATTCATGGCTATTATTGTATGTGATGACTTCAATTTACATCTTATGTCATGTTTTGTTGTTTGTTTACTGAATTTTCCATCAAGAGACTTTATTCAAGCCCACTTGTAGACATGTTTTGCCTGTAGTTGCTTCTTCAGCGGTCAGGCACAAGTACACAATGTTTGTCAGATTTTACAACTTTTGTCGCACTTAAATACGACGTTGTTGGGAAGGAGAGAATCGCACCAGTCCAGGTATGTTACATGGGAATCAGGACGACCCGGACCATTACCAACTCAGCCTATCGCAAATCGGACCGGCAAAGACGGTCCAGTCCAAATGGCGAAAAATGCGGCCCGCTTTTAGAATTGCTATGGGATTCCCACAGTCAACAAGTACCCCGGTATAAAGTCCACTGATGGAATATGTGGGGGTCTGCATCCGATATTTTCAGGTTTATACCACATTTACGAGGAAAGGAAAGTGATTTCGATCCAGTTTTAGATCACTGAAGAGCTAATCTTCCACTGGTCGTGACAGAGAAGACAGACGCTATGTACAGTATTTACAGCTTCATAGTACAGGGGAAATTCCCCTAGCTCTGGTATAGTGAACAGTGGACTACGGCTTATTATAAATGTCCCGTCCTAAGGACTGTGACGCCTTCTTTGACCAGTAGCGTACATGTCGGGTGAGCGACAACATGAGCGTGAGCCGGGATTCGAACTCCCAACCTCTTAGTCCAGAGGTAGGGTCGCTAACCACTGGACTACGCACGCTACCATATGCGAGTATTAGCGACCCTTTACTATACATTCAGGCACACTGTCTATGCACCAACTGTTGATCTCAACCTTTGGGATTAGTGTATTTTGGCCCTCTGAAGTTTTTAAAATTCTTTTTCCAGATGGAGGGTCGATGTTTCCTCTTTCTACTGTTCCTCCTTGTGCCGGCATTGACTCAAGACTGTAATGTTTACCATTTTTTGTCTTTTCAATTTCAATTTTCTTTGTTGCACTAATTCAAATGTACATCAGCAGGGGGAGCATAACTACTTCCCCCTGAATTGGGTACCATTTGTCACATAAAAAAATTGAGAGACAATACATGAACATCTAAATGAGGTATATACAAAGACACATACAAACTAATTAAAATATACACAATGTCCATACTGATTGCATCTAGTCAAGTCAGGTTCAGTGTATATTGAAGACCCAGAAGGTGAGTTGTTGTAAAGTCTGATGGCGCAATACAGGAAAGACTGCTGCAGTCTTTTGGTTCCCTTTTGTCTATTTCATTTTCAATGAGCTACTTATATTAATTACTTCTGTATCTTTTTATTAAAATTGAAATACATATACATGAATAAACACATTATACACAAGGTGTAAAATGAAAAAAAATGCTCGTTGCAGCCCCCTGCCCTGATGGCTGGGTGGACATTGACGATTGTTGCTACTACTTCTCTGAGGACAAAGTGAGCTACAGTGCGGCAAAGTATGAATGTGAGGAGTACCTAGACGGCGACCTGGTCGCCTTTGACGACTGTGACGAAATGGAACAGATTACGTCAATTGGCGAACCTTGCCCGTATGTTTCTTTTAAAAGTGCATCGGCATTTAACACATTGTCATTATGAAACTATAAACAGGCACGCACACACACACACGCACGCACACACACACACATACACACACACACAGGCACGCAGACACACACACACACACACACACATACAGTCACACAGACACAGTCACACACACACTCACACACACACACACACACACACACACACACACACACACACACACACACACACACACACACACAACAGTCACACAGACACAGTCACACACACACACACACACACACACACACACACACACACACACACGCACACACGCACACACTCACACATACACACACACACAAACACACACACGCACACACACGCACCAACTTCAGTCAGTTTAGGTTCAACCTTCCTTTTTTTTAGAAAATTTAGGAAACGGTATTTTTTTTGAAAACATTTAAGACAAATTAAATTGGAAATTTGATTTTGCAACACATTCCTTCTTTTTCGTTATCTGATTAATTTACTTTTGTCGTTTTCTGTTTATTGTTGTTTGTGTCACTGTTTTACAGGTACTGGGTCCACCCGACGACCGATCTCGACTGCTTGGGGGAAGAGCCAGAGTAAGAGGAGCATTAAATGTTCAAACTTCAATCTGTGTGATTTCATTCATTATGTACATGTTTTTTATGATACATGTAATAAGTACTTTTGCATTTCAGATATGAAAACAAGTACATCTGCAAAATCGATAAAGGTTAGTCTTGGTCTTGGTCTGGTCTTGGGGGTTAAGGTAGCCAACATCAACTTGCTGATGATTCTGCTACACTGTAGTATTTGGGCTGTAGAATTTTGGACCATCGCACACCGGGGCATGCCCCTACTCTTTTTCGAAAGGTGTGGTGGGATCTTTAACGTGCTCGAGGTGTGGCTCTCCTCAAACACGGGACCTCCAGTTTACGTCCGAAGCTAGGTACTCATTTACGCCTGAGTGAAGTGAGGAAATTCGTGTAAAGTGCCTTTCCCAAGGGCACATGGGTCGGTGACATGTGTGGGGATCGAACCCTGGACCTCTAGGTCCCGAGCCGAACGCGCTACCGCTGCGCCACACGACCCCACAGTTCAAATGTCCTTGCATGTACTAAACCAGTCTTAGTAAATTGAGACTTTGGCTAGTTAGCTGTCACCCAGCTATCATTAGAAATCTAGTTTAGCTGTGGATAAGATGCTTGCAACTTGTAAATACAGATATAACAGAGGCTGGTCTGTGCTGAAACATTCTGTTCAAATTAGAAACTGAAACGCCTGAGATCTTGTGACAAGGATCTAGTGTTTAGGTTAGCTGCAACTATCTGGGTCATTTTTTGTTGTGTGGCAATGTTTTATTGAGAACCACTGGCGATAAATGCAGCATTTGTCACAACTTCAGACGTCAGTAATATGAAAATCACTCCCTGTGAGTGTCATCTGCGGTTATTGTTCATAGTGCCTTGTGGATTATATAATCTATTTATGTTGTTGGGAGGATGATCGGAGTCAATTTAGCTCCTTACATCCTGACAGTTTCTTGATAGGAGGTTTACGTCTAGTCTCCACCAGACTCCTTTTGCAGGCTGATAAATAGTTGAAATTGGCCCTAAAAGGGAATATCATGGGCAGAGGAGATGGCCGCCATAGAATCTCCAGCTTGCCTGCACTGGAGATTCCATGGCGGCCATCTCCTCTGCCCATGATATTCCCTTTTTAGACCAATTTCTACTACATGTATTTATCAGCCTGCAAAAGGAGTCTGGTGGAGACTAGTTTAGGTCCCCATTTCTACACGATTCTGCCTCTGATGACAGTGGGGGAAAAAAAGAGAAAAGTTCTAATTTCCCACCCACAGAAACAGACTGTGAAGCATACTGCGGCGGCTCGTGTTGGGAGGAGGGTGCGATCGGCTGTGCTTGGCCATTCGGCTCTAGGTCTAACGACCCCCGATGCAGCTGTCCAGACGGCTACTTTTGCTGCGTGCCAACTAACGGGACTACCTGCGTCGGGCACTGTCCAGGAGGAGAGTGTATTGATCCCGACCCAAACATGGCGAATGGAGGTTGTACTGGAGTGTGGAAGGATCCTGAAGAGTGCTCGTGTCCATACGACCAGCGCTGCTGTTGTCCACAAGGTAAGTCATTTGAATGTCCCAGTTATATCTGTAATTCTGTTCAAAATGCTATGCAGTAAATATAGAAAAATGCAAAAATAATCAGATCCATGTTGCTAATAGTTAAAAATATATCATAAATAGAATTTGTATCTCCTTCACACAGAGCAATGCTAATCGTGTACGTCTCCATTCTCCATCTTTTGCAAGCAGCAAAGGTATTGTTGCAGGAGAGATCACAAGTGCAGAAAACACCATGACACTTTCATATCTTAATATTCACAGGTCTTGGTAAACATGATTCTCTTGACAGGTTTGCGTGCTGTACTAAAATTGATAATTTTTGTTTTATTTCCAGGTGTGCAAAAATAACAGTTTGAAGGATAAGTATTAGGCTAGAATCAGATTCTGCTGAATTTCCAAGCGTGCACTTCTTATTCCTGATAGGCGGGATTAGTCCAGATATGTACTGGTACAACGTAGTTTCATACCATAGGTACTATACAATCTGTTTGTGTTTGTTGAGTGTTAACAAAAAGCTACGCTGATAATTTAATGAACCATTTAATGAAAACCGAGGCTAGCGGTTGTTTTTAGACACTACTCAACTCCAAGAATAAACATGACAGTTTCTGAATAAACTTCATAATTCTAATGATGATTGCCATAGGAGAATGACAGACAGACCAATGGATGTATCACTCTAACAATGCAGCCAAAGGAACGCAGCTTTTTTTTCAATCTTCCTGTACAGTAACGGAATGTGAAAACTACTGCTACGGCATGTGCAAGTACTACTATGAGGAGTGTACCGGAGACTACGAGTGGGTCTCTGACGGGGCCAGTTGCTCCTGTGAGGGCGACAAACGCTGCTGCGTGCCGAAAACGCCCAGCTGCCGAACAAGCTGTGAAGGGAAGTGTATAGATGAAGACGATCCGTGTGACGGACAGTGGATGGACCCTGACCTGTGTCCATGCCCAGACTTCGGGCGCTGCTGCTGTAAAAACGGTAAGTTTTGAAATGTATAATAAGTAATTGTGCTGCTCTGAAGGGTACAGGAAAAATATTTCAAGTATTGTTAGAATAAGCAAAATTGATTAAAACTCTTTGAAACTATTGCTTCTATGAACTGTATGCTTGTGAAAATTATAAGATTATTATTATGTTAATGTTGTTAATTGCTGTACTTAATGTGATTTGATTATGTCTATAATTTTCTTTGTAACTTGTTTTGCTGGGCTACCTTGGAAATCAGTTGCCCTTAACTGGAGGAACCACCCAACTGTTTTAAATCAATCAATAAATAAGTAAATAAAATGATCTGTTTTGTCTATCTAATGTGCTTTATTTTCTCCACGAATTCGGACAGATACTTCTACTACTGAGCCTCCTCCTACAGAGTGCCCAATGACGGACCCACCACTTTCCACGGATGAGCATGGTATGTTTTCTTATCACATAGTCAGAAACTTCTTCAAATCTAGGTGTTTGGTGCAATACGAATCATGCTATTGTGTTAACTCCATGCAGGTGACATTACCCACCCCTGGTAAATGTCCTTTCCATAATTAGATGCATAATAACTTAAAACTTTCGACTTGCTACATTAGAAGCAAACTTTAAGGAAACAACATCACCATTGGTGGAGAAAACAGGTCTTTAGAAGCCATTTGAAATAGTATCTTTTGGAGACTGAAGTAGATTTATCTAACTTCTGTTCTCTGTGTTTTTCAACTGATATTCTTCATCTCATGATCAGACTGTTGCTCTTATGTCGTTCAAACTATTTATACACTAAGGACTGCTTATTTTTTCTGCTTATCAGGTTGTGGGCTGCCCGAGGTTGCATCCATACCAGACGATAAAGGTACAAAATTGTGTAGCCATTCCTTATTACATTATACAACAGCAAGAATGCAATGTGCATTCTCCATTCATATGCATAGAACACATATGAATCTGCAAGCAGTGTTCCTCTAACTCACTTTGGCTATATTCATGTATTCTACATTATACATATTTATATGAGAAAACGTTCACACAATTGTCATATTGGAGAGGTAGGCATAATACAATGACAACGCAGTGAATCTATAAACTGAATATTAAATTGTCATGTCTTTTAACATGCTGTATGATCCACTGTATCTTTGTTTAATTCTTAGAAAATAAGTTAGATTCATGTTTTATCCATGGTATCATGATGACAAGATAAACTTCACATGTAATATTGTATAACGTTTTCCTTCTAATATCACATTAAACAGTAACTGTTCTATTTACAACTGCGCAAATAGTGCTAATTAATTTGTAGATGATTGTACAAAATAAAGGCTTTAACATTCTTTCTATCATGTAAAGCCCCAAATATTTATCATCTAATCCTATGGATGCCCATCAGAGAGCTAACATACAAAATGACAGCCTAAGAACAAAAAAACCCATCAAGATTACACTTGATGCCTCACATTTCTTCATTTCTAGATAAAAAGTGCAATCAAGAATTTCCTAGGATGTTTCTATATTTGACAATGGTTAGATATTAATTATTCTAACTCTAAGTATTGTGCCTATTAGGTCTAAAGTTGATTAACAAGCCTATACATTTAAGGTTACTCTCGTATAGTTACAAAATACAGAGTGAGAAGACAAAGTCTTCATTTTTTCTGACAGTTTTCGACTTTGAAGGCATGTACGAAACTCTGACGTACGCTGAATCTGATGAGGACGCGGCTGACACAAAATTCGATCAGGTCAAAGAAGAGTTTGAGAAGTTGAGTTACAAAGACGGAGATACCCTGTCAAGCATGTCAGGGGATCTCACGGAGGCCGTCAGAGCAGAAAGGGATGCCTGGGTTCTGCAATACACCGACCCTGACACTGGCTTCGAAATTTCCATCATGCTTCCAGGCTTTGACCCCAGAACAGGTAGGTACTTATGGCACTGCTTTGTGAGTCGGGTAAAAGACTAGCGCAATAGCCTTGTGGGTAGAGTGCTATAGGGAGGTCCCAGGTACAAACCCTGGCCACAACATACCAAATATATCGTAGTAATATTTGAATTGTGTTTCATATTCTTTTCTCAACACAACTGATTGTTCAGTTACTGTGACTGTAGTGCTTGCAGAACAGTACTTTGTGGCCACTGCCATACACACCAAAAAGTGTGCGGGAGAATTTTAATCTCACTCAACACTGCAAAGATTTTGGAAATACTGATGCCAAACCTGAAAAACATTGCACGTATTCATGAATATCACACTATACATTTTGGAAGATTTATACAACTTCAATATTAGTTCAAGTACTGCAAGTGCACAATGAGAACCACGTTGTTGAGTATAGTTTGGTTTGTTTTTTCTACACAAGATTGCATTATCTTATTAGATTTGTAAATATTGAATGCTGTTTGGTGAATTTTGTACTATATCTTATCACCATATGTTCCAGTTAGGGTTAACATTTGACGCTGTGTGTAATTGACCATCCAATCTTACACCAAATGTTTTGTTTTTTTCCACTTGCAGGGGTGCTGCCAGAAGATCTAGACCTCTCGGGACTCTCTGTTAGCGTTGAGTTTAGAGCCAGACTCGATCTTTTGAGGCAGCGTTACTTAGCATTGCGGCTCAGTGTGAATATCCAAGCCTTCCTTCCAGATTGCGACCTTATAATTGAAGTTGAGCTGAATGTGTATTTCCGTCTTGTTAGGGTGCCCCTAGTTCTCATAACCTGCGTCACAATAGAGTGTGAGGCAATAATCATTGTCCCAGTTATTTGCTACACCCAGACCTGGTACTGGGTAGGTGAGCCATATTGTGATTGGTATCTGGTGACGAGATGCTACGTCAAGTATCTGATCATACACCTCACCTGGTGGGTCAGAGTCTGGTGGATCACAGCTTTCCCACCATGGGCAATACAACCTCTACCAGGTACTAGATTAACTATAATCATTGACTGTCAATGAAATTCGAAAAATTCCCATTCATGACATGTAATGTAACAATTACACTAGGAAGCAATCTACGAAGTATTCAAAGCCATTCATGATAATATGCGATTGTCAACGGTTTTTGTAAGCTCATCATTTGTAAGACATAATTATAATCCATGTGATTGTTTGATATGTAATTAATAGAAAAATTCTGTAAGATTTACAATACTTCATCATCAATCTCATCTACCTGTAGCAACATTGATGAAGATTTAAAGAAGATCCATGATTTATTGATCTATCTTCTAATCTACATGTATGTACATACTCTACATGGAACTGTCACAAAATGTAGTGTCTACTATTAGTTAATCGTTAATTTAGGTCTTTTCCAACCAAGCTTGTCTCAGTTAAGAACTGTACACCATCATAATTCAGGGTCATATTTTATCCCTTGCCATAATGTGTTCTATTTAAGACTGTTGTTATCGGTTTAATGTTTAAAACATGTATTCCTGTTGTCTCGTCTAGAGTGTCCCGACCCTGACTTGGGTGCTATAGCTCCTTATGAAGGTATAAAGCAGTTCTTTCATCAATTCATATCACCTGTATATCCTTTAGACATTTAATATAATATTAGTTATTGATATCAACCTTTTAGGCAAAATGATGGAATACATTTTGATTACTGTTTGCAACCTAATTATAATGTCAAATGATAATATCAACATTTTGAATGGTTCGTTGATGAAGATTGGAGTGTTAACGAGTTCTGTTAGTTCATTAGTGATGCTGAACAAGAGTGGTGGATGTCACTCGAAATGTCCTGAAATTATCTCCGTAATTTGTTCAGTGTAGAGTTTGAATTTCCTATGCATTTTGAATGGTTATGTGATATGTTTTGAATGAAACCTGATAATGTAATGTATATATGATAATGTGCAAATGTCCAATGATTGTAAAATGATAGGAAAAACAAAATTGAATCTGGTAATATCGACGCTCAAAATTCCGGCGGATACCTTAATGCTAAAACCGCCACATAAAAAGACAACGGTGAATTCAAAGAGATCTTCTAACTTAAAGCCACATGCAGTATCTGCCATGCACACTTCTTAGCAGTCTGGAGAAGGCCTTCAGCATTCTCATTCTAATTACAGGGTTCAATCGAAGATTCTTGGATATGGCAATGGACAACTTCAGGTCTAGAATTTCTGACGACATGTCAACAGAACTTCGCGTAGATGAGTTCTCGTTTGTGTATGAGGCGGAGTTACAGGATAGGGATAACACTGCACTCCTGGATATGGATGGTAGTGTGACGGACGCAGTCAACGGCGCGAGGGACATGTGGATCCTAACGTTTAGGGAATCAGAGGGCGACATGGAAACCAGCATTCTACTCGAAAACTTTGATCCAACAGGTATAGCGTCATTGAAACGTTGCTTTTATCCATAAATATATGGTCTATGCATCGGACTTTCAGAGCATACGGCAAATTGCAAATGACACAACCATGGTATAACTGTGATGTCACAGTACCAGCAGTTATGATTGTTTTCTGCCAAGTTCTGACTATTGCTTCAGCCTGATTTGAGGATATGACAGGATAAGAATGGCTTCACTTTGTTCTTTCAGTTTGTCTGGTAACTCTGATTGAGCTGAAATAGCTTCCACATAACAAGTCCATGTACCTAACTGAACCTATGATTTGATAGGCCTAATTTAAGTATAATTGTCAAGTTTTAGAAAATACATTTATCCAATTGTAACACTTATTGGCTATTGGCCGAACTTATATTGAAGAATAAGATAGCTTATTGTTGGAGAATCTGTGTCATGTGAGCTTACTTGTAGAAGGTTTCAGAAATTTTTAAAACAGTAATAACTTGCTGACACTGGTTAGCACTTTGTACTGTTTCACCAAGAAGCTTCTTGGTCTCTCATACATGTACGTGCACATTGAATCTATTTGCAGTTGACGAGTTACCGGACGAATATGAACTCGGTGACCTCTCCGCCTTCGGAGCGTACAGCCAGCGCTACCTTCTGCTGTTCAGCCAGCGGTACAGGGAGATGAGGGCGTCGGTATCGCTCCGGCTCATCTTCCCGACAGACTGCGGGCCCGGATTCTTCTCCCTTCAGCTCAACGCGCGCTTCACCCTACGAAGGCTCCCGTTCTTCCTGCTAGCTTGCTGGGAAATTGAATTTACAGAATTTCTCATCGTCCCAGTCCCTTGTTTTGAAATCTGGATCATCTGTGGCATAAAAGTGGTCATACCTGTGATCAAAGTCATAATCATACGGCGAACATACTGGTTCGGACTTTGGGTCTTCATCCCACGTCCAGGTATTGAAAAAAAACAGCCAAGTGTAGACATGTATGTGCTAAATGAATTTGACTAGAACAAGCCAATTGGATCAGTCAATTGCATGGTTTTATGCAGAACTCAAGTGGGAGAAAAGATGTTTGAGAATCTTAAAACAACATAAAAATGATATGTTGTGTTTTCATTTAACTTGTGCTCCATTCGCATTTAACTTCAAATTTGGTAGTGTGTTGGAAAATGTTCTGGCAACATCAATTTAAAACATATTGTTAATTTGGTCCGAAACCTCGCAAAATACTTGGACAATATCTTTCAGTTTTTACAACTCTTCTTGCCATGGCGTATTACACTTTTGTAATAAGAGCATTTATACGCTTCTTTTTAATTACATGTACCTACTAGACTGTCCATGGCCACCACCCGCAAAGCCAGGTTCGTGCATCGAAATGGGCTTCCCAACTGGTCGCAACAACGGTGACATCGTCAGATACGAGTGTAAGCCAGGCTTCCAAAGATGCAAGGGACGGGAAACACTCGTCTGTTGGAAGGGGCAGTGGCGGCCTCAGGGTAACCAGCTGGAGTGCGGACGTAAGTCACTGCTGCCCTGTAGACAGTTATACGGACTTAGATACTGTAGCCTGGACTTCCAAAAATTGTGTTCAACTTATTTGTACATCAATCAATAGCTTGTTCTTATAAACCTGCATTTCTCCTCTGGCAAAAGCTAGTGGATACTACCTGAAACGTCTGACTGTTCCCAAAATTATATCCAGTTACTTGAGTAACTGCTTTTTGGCGTATCGTATTACCTGGATGTCTAACCTTCATCGACGTATTGTAGCTCCAACTTGTTAGAGTATGAATTATGTATTATTAACTTCCCCAAACAGTTAGCCTCTAAGTTTTAGGCTTATTGACATGAAATTAAGTGTTGGGTGAATTTGACTACCTGAAAAAATCCAGTAACTTCATAACAAGAAGCAATGACTCATGATTACCATACTGTTTGCCTTATGTTGTGTTTATAATTTTATGTAGTTCTTGTTCCTTAAGAAATTGTATTAAAGAAAATATGAATATTGTTTAGAATAGTTTAGGAATTTGTCATTAAATGTAAAAGTGTAACAGTTAGCATTAGCATTACTTATTATCATTTTTACTGTTTATTTTTGTTATCATGTTCTTGCAATTAGCCTTCGGGCATGAATTTGCAATAAACATTCATGTTTTCTTCTTCCAGCGGCCTGCCCCCCACACCCCCCAGCCGGGTACGGTGCGTACCGTGTGCGTTGCGTACGAACAAACGCCAACTGGCTCGGGGCGAAAGAAAATTGTGTCTACAGATGTTACAGAGGTTGGGTGCGTTGGACGGGCTCGTACAACAGGATCTGTCGCAGAGGCGTCTGGACTGGGAGTCAGCTAGTATGCTTCCCTCCATGGAACCGGCCTGGTAGGAACACATGACCTTCTGTTTTGTAATGGTTTTAAAGACTTTGCAATATTGATAGTTAAATCTCCCAACTTCTCTTGTTGGCTACCTCCTACACGTGGATTCCTGCATGGCAGAGAACTGAGATCAAAGGACAACTTCACGCAGTTTAGCTGCAGGACGTCTAGGTTCAAGAATAGTCTTTTACCTTTTATTGTTGTAATTAAAATATGTACAAAGTACTAGTATATACTAGATATTTCATTCTATTAGCAACATCCTATAGTCAATACATGAAATATATGTGCTATTTAAGACAGTGTGTTCTCATTCAAGAATCAGTGATCAATACGTTTCTGTACCTCCCCACTAGTCTTCCCACACGATTGTCAGGACATCAAAAACATGGACCCGTCCCTGGACAGTGGAATCTACATGATATATCCAAGCGGCCCCGAACCCGGGTTCCTGGTGTACTGTGACATGGAGACTGACGGAGGAGGCTGGACGGTAAGGTTTAGCTTGGGCCGACGTGGGCAGGGGTGTGTATGGATCTCCTAGCCCTTGTCCTGCTGGTATTCCTGGCACAATATTTTTCAATAATTTCATGTCTTAATTAGATCATAGACCCCACTTTTTTGCCCTGCAATGGCATTGTTAATTCCGCATTTGTTGCGTTTTGCTGCGGTGTGATACGTTGCACGAGAAATACCCCCAAATCGTACCTATACAGGGTATATATATATAGATGGTACTGTATGTGCAGAACAACAATTGTTGTGCTCCGCAGGACAAGGGCTAGAATGTCTTTGCTCCATTCTTTGTTTGTTTAGGATCTTCATAAGTGTGAATTTCACACTACTCTTCCTTGGTGAAAATAATAACCAGACAAGTATTTGGACCATCGCACACCGGTGCGCGCCCTACTCTCTTTCGAAAGGTGTGGTGGGCTCTTTAACATGCCCCAGAGCCAGAGGTCTTGGCTCTCCCCAAACATGGGGCCTCTATTTAACGTCCTATCAGTGGGACGTTTCTAACCAAAGCTAGGTACTCGTTTTCACTTGAGTGAAGTGAGGAAAGTCGTGTTAAGTGCCTTTCCCAAGGGCCCAAGATCGGTGACAATGTAGGATTCGAACCCGGAACCTCTTGGTTCAAGGCCGAACACGCTACCGCTACGCCACACGACCCACAATTTGTATATTCCCTAACCCTCAGTTTAGTAATAAGGGGGTCCAAATGGGTCTTGGATAGTAGGCATATTAACAACACCCCCTCAAGCAACAAAGAAAGGCCTTGTATCTGTCATATTCTCAGCTATAAACATGCACAGTTGATAATGTTTATTGGCATTACATGTAGTTTTACCCAAATGCCGCCTTGGTTCACATTCTCTAAGAACTTGTCATTTTGTCACCAAAACAAAATGACACAGGTGTTCCAAAGGCGGCAGGATGGCTCAGTGGACTTCTACCGCGACTGGGACGACTACAAACACGGCTTCCCAGCCGACAACATGACGGGCGAATTCTGGCTCGGCAACGACAAGATTCATCGCCTCACAGTGCAGAGGAACTACGCGTTGAGGGTGGACCTGGAGGCCGACGATGGAGACACGGCATACGCGGAGTACAGCTGGTTTGGTGTGAACTTTGACGGGGATAACTACAGGGCCACCATCGCAGGCTACTCCGGAACCGCAGGTGCGTATATGCGTAATTATGTTTACCTTCACAGAAGGAAAACATATTGTGTTTGCTCTGTTTCTTCTTCTTCTTCTTCTTCTTCAAAGAAAGTAAATGGCCAGAACCAGACGTCTTTCACCATGGTAACTGGTGTTTGGTTACATAATGTTGCAAGTTCCATATAAAAATCAGAAGATCTAAGGTTGCATTGCATATCAACAGCTATGAGAAGTACTAATTTAGTTACAAAGTAATCAAAGCTGAGGCCAGTAGTTCACTGATAAAACTTTTTGTCGCTTTTTCCAGGGGACTCTATGCTCTCAACAACAGCAGGTCTCAGTCTAAATGGAATGGAATTTAGCACCTACGACGATGACAACGATAATGAGGCTGATGGAAGTTGTGCCGTTCGGTTCCACGGCGCCTGGTGGTATAATGCATGTGGTGAGTCCAACCTGAATGGAGAGTATGGTGGCACGGATTTTGGGAAGGGTGTCGTTTGGAACTCATTCAGAGGAATGCGTGAATCTCTGAAGTTCACTGAAATGAAAGTACGACCCGTAACCTGAGTCAGAAATGATTGTTGCAAAACTGTGATTGGCAAAAACGATTCAGACTCTATTCCTAATTGTTCCTTATTCTCAAAAAATGTATTTGGATTAAACTCTTTGATTTCTGAGAAAACTAAAGATTCTCATTTGCTCAGATCTTTTCAGTGATCACCATCTGTTGTATAATAAAACCGACAAAGCAATGGAAAATGTTACCCCTTGAACTGTTTCTGAAATAGAAAACAGTACATCCTTCTCTCTTTTCTGTCAAATCACAATAGTATCCTGACATTTTGCAACCCTGACTCATAAGATCACAGCCTACCATTATCAACATTACCGATGTTTGAATTCCATAAGAAAAATCACAATTTTTTCAAGAAAAATCAATGTCCTCTCTTTTCTCGGCCATCTTTCTGAAATATATTGCCCCAGAAAATCCAAATCAGAAGTGTTGGTTCAAACACATAAAATAATACGATAGGTTTTCTGGCGATGCTTTAGGGCGGAGCCTAAATTCTGAGCCAAATGTCCCTTGTTTGTACACACAATGGACAGGCAGCTCATGCCATGCAAGCATGCTGCAATACAAATATAATCTCATCTATAGCCTAATGTATAACACTGGTCAGTTTAAATCCTAAAACTCAGATCCAAATTATTAGTACATTTGTACTATGAAAAACATTCGAACTAATTACTGAAAGCAAAATTGCATAACAACATATAAAGAAGAATGCAGTACTTCGTGATTTCTACCATATGGAATTGCTCTATCACGGAGAAGTTAAACACAAGACAGTGAATTTAAATACTAAATTTTCTAATGGACTTGATATTTCAAGCTCCCTGGTCCAAAATTTAAATTGACTAGTGGTATGTGATATTTACGTAATAAATATGCATAATGCTGCCAGGCAAATGTGCCAATTTTTCCAAATAAATATATGCAATTTAATCATATGATATAAGCTAAGATTCCATATCAGTGCCTTATGCACTAACCATTGTATTAGTAAGTGCATGTCAATCATAAAATGGAAGTAAGGTTTTGACACCATTTTGAAAAGATGTCATGAAAAAGTAAAATGAAGTTTACATTTGAGTAATTTGTCACATAACCACGGATTAAAAACTGTATATTATTGCCTTATCAATTGTAAGAGCTCTGTTGTGTAAGGTGATTCAAAAATGAACATGGCACTTGTTAATTCAATGATTGTTAGTTTAGTTAATAATACTTACCATTATACCAATATTTATCAGTTAGGATGTGTCTACATAATTAAAATGACTAACCTGATTCATAAATAACATCAGAACTCGACCACAATATAAGACTATTGCAAAAAAAAGCAGCCTAACAAGATATAAAGTACCTTGCAGATCAGATAATGACATAAAGGGATAAAACACACATTAGTATTCACAAATAAGAGGCACAGAATGCTTTAAGTTAATATTTTAATGAAGCTGTATGGAACTAACTTAAAGGTAATGAGATAAAGAAACCAGTAGTTAACTAGCTATACCTTGTCCACTGACACATTACATTTGAGATGTTGTACTGTGTAAAACATCTGTATGGTTTTCCTCTGTTACTGGATGGGTAAAGATCAGTGAAAGGCGTTGTCAACAGACAACCCTGTAACATCAAGTGTATGAGAGATACTCTGGAAAGTGTAAAATAAAACATCAAGATAATGAGAAGGAAATGTAATGCTAAAACAACATCTTAAAGTAATGCTGACACACGGACATGACTTTTGAAGTAAAATTCCAATGATTTTAACATTTATTTAATATAATAATATAAGGGTGAATTGAGCAAGTATTTGACGTAAGGTGATGGTTTATTGAGTGATCTAACACTTATAATATGGGTACTTTTATTTTGCTCCTATGGCTTGCGTGCTGGGCATGCGGTTCTATCCTGAATAAAATATTCTTGAAATAGAAAAATGTGGCTCACGTCCTTCATCTAGAGTCATGTGTAAAATTATAATATGATATGTAATATAACAATGTAATATGACACGCGTAGCCCTCGGTGCATTGGTGGTTTTCTGACACTAAATAATCTCAACTTTCCCTCTACCGTAGACGGAATGGCTGTTTCAAATCAGACGGATTTGTCTGTGATAAAAGCAAAGGGATAGGACATAACATTATGATTTAAAAATGAAAAGGGTTATTCCTCAGACGAATATCAGAGTACAGTTTGTAAAACAGCCATATAACGCCATAAACCAGTTCTGCCTTTTGGAATTGGTACTCCGCAGTGAACCGATGAGTTTGAGCTATTGCACACCGGCCTGTACCCCTACACTGTTCTAAAAACGTAGTGGGTTCATTAGATATACTCAATACGCTGCTCTCCTAAAAGAAACCGACTATTTAACGTTCTATCCAGAGGATTGTAACCCGTGTGCTAGAACAAAAATCTGCATCTACAGCCTACGGCTACCCTGGGATTCAAACCCCTAACCTTGTGATTCAAAAGTACAATGTAGGATGCTGAAATCTAAACCAGTCCATAGCCTACAAGAAAGTATAAAACGAAAACATATTGAATGTTCTACCTACAAGCCGCTTCCATAAACAAGCATATATCATTTCAGCTCAATTGCACATGACTTGCCCCAGAGCAGTAACGAATCCCCCCTGACTAACTCCCTCCAACCAAAGCGAACTTCCCGAACGTATGCCAACCACCCCCGACCTTCTCAATACATGCAGGCAACCACAAACAAGGGAGAACCGTATGTTATATATTAGACCTATCTTGATGCTAATTTCGACTCCAGTTAGATCTCAATTACATTCTGTCTGTCTCTCCTCTGCACGAGAGAATGTATTACTGGGTCAACCCTATATACATAGTGTAAACAGACTACGATACAACTACTTCAAACAATATCTATTACACCCAGTGCAAATTTGGGCGTATTTGCCTTTTCTGTAGTTCACAACCTACCTACATATGACAGTCTCCTTTCTGGATCCTTCTTGAGTAAAATCCATGAAAGATTCAAATCCTAATTGTTTCTGCCGGCTAGAAGACTCCACAGGCGATATGCACGCCAAATGTTATCATATCAAACTATCCACCACAACCACATCGATATGAAATTAAAAAAAAAAAGCTTTCATGTAGTCTTTGATGTCGTTTTGCGATCAATATTTCCCATCTATCAAACTTGTTTTTCTCGGAGTAAAATATTAAAACAGACAGAACGTATGTTTATAGTTATCTATTGTTGGATCAATATTAGCCCAACTTTGTTGCCAGTTTGCCGTGTGATATTTTGGGTTGGGAGACACAAAGAAGATCAAACATTATGTGGCCGGTGGATATCGCGATGCTTGCTTGACGGATCCTGTGGGTTCTGTTTATGTCTACGATTCTGTTGGTCCATCAGTGGTGTGTCTGATAGACCGTCCACAAAGCAACCAAACTCCCTCCTCTCCATCTCTTTACCACCCCCCCCTCCGCCTTACACACATGCCCATCCCGACCATACATAATAACATGACGTTCGGCTCACTTTTTGCACATCGGTATGGTATTTGGAAAATGATTCATGCAGTCTTTTATTTTTAATATCAAACTTGTTTTTCTTGGGAGTGGAATATTAAACCAGACAGAACGTATGTTTACAGTTACATATTGTTGGAACAATATTAGCCCAACTTGGTTTTGCTCTTAATATCACCTGTCTATCAAACTTGTTTTTCTCGGGAATGAAATATAATAACAGGCAGAACGTATGTTTATAGTTATCTATTGTTGGAACAATATTAGCTCAACTTTGTTGCCAGTGTGCCGAGTGATATTTTGGGTCGGGGAACACAAAGAAAATTAAACGCGATGTGGTCGGTTGATATCGCGATGCTTGCTTGACGGATCCTGTGGGTTCTGTTTATGTCTACGATTCTGTTGGTCCATCAGTGGTGTGTCTGATAGACCGTCCACAAAGCAAACAAACTCTCTCCTCTCCCTCTATTTCTCCACCTTACACACATGCCCATTCCAACCCATACATGAAAACATAATAAGCTAATATTTTGCACGTCGGTATGACATCTGGAAAAATAGTTAGCCAATATCACTGTCTGATAAAAACGGAGGTGTTCACGGAACTACATGTATATGTTCACTGGGACGGTGAGAGCGGGGTTGGTGGTTGGGTGAAGAATTATTTGTTAGTGGCAATCGTAATGATAAGTCACGGTACAGAAGTGACCATATGCGCATGAAAACCACGAGCATAGCAGTACCGAGAAAAATTCAGGAATTACAGTACCCACAAAATCCGTCAAGCTAGCACCGCGATATCATTCGGTCACATCGCGTTTGATTTTCTTTGTGTCCCCCGACCCAAAATATCACACGGCAAACTGGCAACAAAGTCGGGCTAATATTGTTCCAACAATGGGTAAATGTAAACATACGTTCTGCCTGTTGCAATATTTCACTCCGTTGGAAAACAGATTGGATAGACAGGTAATATTGATTTGGAATACAAATAAAAAACTACATGAAATTTTTTGCCAGATGTCATACCGATGTGCAAAAAAATGAGCTGACCGTAACGTTATGTTATCATGTGTTGGCCTCATGGGCATGTGTGTAAGGCGGAGGAGGGTAAAGAGATGGAGAGGAGAGAGTTTGTTGCTTTGTGGTCAGTCTATCAGACACACCACTGATGGACCAACAGAATCGTAGACATAAACAGAACCCACAAGATCCGTCAAGCAAGCACTGCAACAACAATCGGCCGCTTAACGTTTGATCTTCTTTGTGTTCCCCAACCCAAAATATCACACGCGGCAAACTGGCAACAAAGTTGGGCTAATATTGTTCCAACAATAGATAACTATAAACATATGCTCTGTCTGTTATTATATCCCACTCCCGGAGAAAAACAAGTTTGATAGATGGGAAATATTGATCGCAAGACGACATCAAAGACTACATAAAAGCTTTGTTTCCAAATTTCATATCAAATTGTGGTTGTGGTGGATAGTTGGATATAATAACGTTTGGCGTGCATGTCGCTTGTGGACGTTTTCGTCTGGATCTCATAGCCGGCAGAAACAATTAGGATTTGAATCTCATTCTATACCGAGCACTAACATGGATTTTACTCGAGAAGGTTTCAGAACTGAGGAGACTGTCTTACATGTAGGTAGTTGTGAACTGAAGAAAAGGCAAATACGCCCAAATTAGCTCTAAGTGTAATAGATATTGTTTGGAGTAGCTGTATCTGTATCGTAGTCTGTTTATATTACGGGTCGGTCCAGTAATGCATTCAGACATGCAGAGGAGGGATTATATCGATAGACAGAATATAATTGAGATTTAACTCGAGCCGAAATTAGCATCAAGATAGCTCCTACATATACCGTATACGGTTCTCCCTTGTCTGTGGTCGCATGCCTGTTGTGAGAAGGTCGGGGGTGGTTGGCATACGTTTGGGAAGTAGTCGCCTTGGTTGGGAGCGAGTGAGTCAGGGGAGATTCGTTACTGATCTGGGGCGAGTCGTGTGTAATTCCGAAAGACAGGACTGGTGCATGGCGTTATATCGGGCTGTTTTACACACTGTTTTACAACTCTGAGAAATAACCCTTTCATTTTTAAATCATAATATTTTATGTCCTATCCCTATGCTTTTATCACAGACAAATCCGTCTGATTTGAAATAGCCATTCCGTCTACGGTAGAGGGAAATTTGAAATTATTTAGTGTCAGAAAACCACTGAGGCACCGAAGGCTACGCGTGTTATATCACATATTATATTGTTATATTACATATTATGTTGTAATTTTACACATGATACTAGATGAAGGACGTGAGCCACAGTTTTCTATTTCAAGAATATTTTATTCAGGATAGAACCGCATGCCCAGCACGCAAGCCATACACGCGAAATAAAAGTACCCATATAATAAGTGTTAGATCACTCAATAAATCATCACCTTACGTCAAATACATGCTCAATTCACCATTGTATTATTATATTAAATAAATGTTAAAATCATTGGAATTTTACTTCAAAAATCATGTCCATGTGTCAACATTACTCCAAGATGTTTTTAGCATTACAACTCCTTCTTATTATCTTGATGTTATTTTAAACTTTTCACAGTATCTCTCATACACTTGATGTTACAGGGTTGTCTGTTGACAACGTCTTACACTTGTCTTTACTCATCCAGTAACAGAGGAAAACCATACAGATGTTTTACACAGTACAGCATCTCAAATTTAATGTGTCAGTGGACAAGGTATAGCTAGTTAACTACTGGTTTCTTTATACCATTACCTTTAAGTTATTTCTATACACCTTAATTAAAATGTTAACTTAACATTCTGTGTCTCTGAGATGTGAATACTAATGGTGTGTTTTTATCCCTGTATGTCATTATCTGATCTTTTGCGTTTGTATTTTATATCTTGTCAGCGCAGTCAGGCTATTATTTTTTTGCAACGGTGTGATATTGTGGTCCAGTTCTGATGTTACTGATGTATTAGGTTAGTCATTTTTAAATTATGTAGACACATCGTAACTGATTAATATTGATATAATGATATGGCAATATTTCTTAACAACTAAATTAACAATCATTGAATTAACAAGCGCCATGTCCATTTTTGAATCACCTTACACAACAGAGCTCTTACAATTGATAAGGCAATAATATACAGTTTTTAATCCGTGGTTATGTGACATATTAGTGAAATGTAAACTTCATTTTACTTTTACATAACATATTTTCAAAATTGTGACAAAACCTTTCTTACATTTTATGATTGACAGGCAGTTATTAGAACAATGATAAGTGCATAGGGCACTGATATGGAATCTTAGCTTATATCTTCTGATTAAATTGCATATTATCTATTTGGAAAAATTGGCATATTTGCCTGGCAGCATTGTGCAGATGTATTGCGTGAATATCACTTACCACTAGTCAATTTAAATTTTGGACCAGGGAGCTTGAAATACTAGTATCAGGTCCATTAGAAAATTTAGTAATTAAATCCACTGTCTTGTGTTCAACTTCTCCATGATAGAGCAATTTCATATGATAGAAATCATAAAGTACTGCATTCTTCTTTATATGTTGTTATGCAATTTTGCTTTCAGTAATTAGTTAGAATGTTGGTCATAGTACAAATGTACTAATGATTTGAATCTGAGTTTTAGGATTTAAACTGACCAGTGTTATACATTAGGCTATAGATGAGATTATATTTTTAGTGCAGCATGCTTGCATGGCATGAGCTGCCTGTCCATTGCAAACAAGGGACATTTGGCTCAGAATTTAGGCTCCACCCTAAGGCATCGCCAGAAAAACCTACCGTATTATTTTATATGTTTGAACCAACACTTTTGATTTGGATTTTCTGAGATAATATATTTCAGAGGTATGGCCAATAAAAGAGAGGATACTGATTTTGCTTGAAAATTGTGATCTTTCTTAAGGAATTTAAACATCGGTAATATTGACAATGGTAGGCTGTGATCTTATGAGTCAGGGTTGGGACTAATGTCAGGATACTATAGAGATATGACAGAAAAGAGAGAAGGATGTACTGTTTTCTATTTCAGAAACAGTTCAAGGGGTAACATTTTCCATTGCTTTGTCAGGTTCTTTATACAATAGATGGTGATAACTGAATAGATCTGACCAAATGAGAATCCTTAGTTTTCTCAGAAATCAAAGGGGGCAGTTTAGTGCAAATACATTTTTGGGAGAATAAGAATAAGGGACAATTACGAATAGAATCTGAATCGTTTTTGCCAATCACAGTTTTGCAACAATCATTTCTGACTTAGGTCTGGGGTCGTACTTTCATTTCAGTGAACTTCAGAGATTCACGCATTCCTCTGAACGTTTTCCAGACGACACCCTTCCCATACTCCGTGCTACCATACTCTCCATTTAGGTTAGACTCACCACATGCATTATACCACCAGGCGCCGTGGAACCGGACGGCACAACTTCCATCAGCCAAATTATCGTTGTCATTGTCGTAGGTGCTAAATTTCATTAAATTTAGATCGAGACCTGCTGTTGTTGAGATCATAGAGTCCCCTGGAAAAAGCGACAAAAATTTTTCAGTCAGAGAACTGCTGGCCACCGGTTTGATTACTTTGTAACTAAATAAGTACTTCTCATAGCTGTTGATATGTATGTAACCTTAGATCTTCTGATTTTTAGAAGCCCCTCTTGAACTCAGTTCTGCATGGTAGTGTCTTGCAACATTATGTAACCCAACACCAGTTGCCATGGTGACAGACTTCTGGTTCTGGTCATTTACTTTGTTTGGAGAAGAAGAAGACGACGACGAAGAAACAGCGCAAAAACAATATGCTTTCCTTCTGCGAATGTTAACATAATTACACCTCTGTCCCAAATGAAGATTTATAGCAACCTTACACAAACTTTATACGCACCTGCGTCTCCGGAGTAGCCTGAAATAACGGGCCAGTAGTTATTCGCCTCATCAGAAGTGCCAAACCAGTTGTACTCCGCGTATGCCTTGGTTCCATCGTTGGCCTCCATGTCCACCCTCAACGAGTGCCGCGGCGGCCCTACAGAGATGCGGTGAATCTTGTCGTTGCCGAGCCAGAATTCCCCGGTCATGTTGTTGGATGGGAAGCCGTTTTTGTAGTCGTCCCAGCCGCGGTAGAAGTCAACCGAGCCATCCTGCCGCCTTTGGATTACCTGGAGAGTTTTGTAATAACTTAAGACTAAACATCAGATACCAAACTGAGCAAGAAATCAACACAGTCTTCTGGCATTTGTATTGCTGAGAAAATGACAGGAACATTTTTTCCTTCAACAGTTTATTGGAATTGTAGTGGGTTGTAGTTTGTTTCTACAAATGCCTGTTGTGCAAGTTCCTTAGGGACCCCCTTCAAGAGTGCAAGGGCCATTGAGAATAATATCTAAGGGGCCACACCCAACACACCTATGAAACCCTTTCGTCACTTTTTAACCGCACACTACCACTGGTGTGTTCACCATAAATCAGGATATAGGTACATGCAATAGAGCAAAGTTAACATCTACAAGGTAACATCCCTTTTTCCAAAGTTGGGTAGAGTCGTGAACCTTACCGTCCAGCCTCCTCCGTCAGTCTCCATGTCACAGTACACCAGGAACCCGGGTTCGGGGCCGCTTGGATATATCATGTAGATTCCACTGGACAGGGCCGGGTCCATGTTATGGATGTCATAACAGTCGGTTGGTAAGTTTGGATCACCTGTGCAGAAGCGCAATGAGTATTAGATACACTCTGTCTTAAGATGGATAGCATAGGATGTTACAAGTATAATTGAATTATCTTGAGATGATTGACAGTTTGTTGACTGAGTCTCCAAGACATTCGTACACGACATCAAACCAGGAAAACTTTTTAATTCATTTTGATAATAAACAAGGCTCAGATCAGTCACCATCGCCGAAACTGATGTTTTGGATCCCATATATTATAAATTAAAGGCCCACAGCAGAGGCTTTACAATTCTTATACACATGTTGATCTAGTCCAGAAATTAAAAAAATGTTGTCCAATCATTTCATTCAATTCCCCCAGCTATAACGCTAAGCATTGTAAATAAGAAATTCCAACATACCAGGAGGAGGAAAAATATCACGATGATGATAGTCTAATTCAAAGTCAAACTGAAGGGGGTTTCCAGTTTCGTTTTTAGTTCCGTTTCCGCCGCCGCCGCCGATCCACCATGGCGGAAGGCAGATTAGTGGGGATCCAAACCATACACCGAAGAAACAATCCCGCCAGAAACTGCCCCACCACGGCACCCATCCAGGGAAGCAGTCGTAGAAACACGCTCTCTTCAGAAACCCCGCATTCCAAACTGGAAAACAACCGACAAGGACGGCACCGAACCCGGGAGGAGGGTCTGGGGGGCACGTTGCTGAAAGAAGAAAACAAACACTTTATGAGATGATGGTTTGAAGTTTTGTGTGATAAATCGAAAGTGGCTTTGTTAAGCTACATTACCCCCAAAGAACTGAAATCACTTAAAATTCTTTATTACACAATTGGCTAGTGCTGTGTACCCGTAAAGATTACTAGGTAATAAATAATTATGTATATAGAGAGAGGGGGAGAGGGAGAGAGACAGACAGACAGAGAGAGGGAGAGAGAGAGAGAGAATTTGTCCTGAATCACACCTTAATTAATTGTTTGATGTGAATAAGCAAGAATGAAAGCTTTGCCTTACGAGTACACTGCAGTTGTAGCCGCTGAAACCACCACGTGCCCCAGAGACACACCAGCGGGTTGAAGGATGGAAAGCATGGTTCCCATCCTCTATCACACACATATGCGCAGGTGTCGCCGTGGAGCAGGCCAGTTGGGTTAAATAGTGCCCTTCGGGTGCCCGGGAGAGGTGCGGGTGGCCATGGACAGGGAGCTAGATAATTGGAAAAAAGTAGGTTTGATTAATGCTTTCCATGGATTCCTGGAAGGGAAGTGGCTTTATGTTGAATAAGAGCAGCACAGGTGTAAATTGTTCCGAATCGCCTCAATTTCTTTTATCCTCTATTCAGTGCAAAGGCAACAATGGTTGTTGAACTGAATGATGCCTAGATCTGTTGTCAGGGACTGCTGAGCGTACCAAATAGACATTTTGACTGGTGCTACCAGTGTTAAAACCTTTTGCAAACATAAGCTATAGAATTTTGATCTTTATTCATTATGAATAAACTTGCTACTTGAAGATTTAAATATGTTTTTAGATTCTTTATCTACCATTTAACACGTAGCGTGACACAAAACCTAATCCAAACTTAATTCATTGTATAACCCATTCACTACATTTCGTTCTCTAAGGTCATGTAAAATCTAATCGGTCAAGTTGATACCTGGTATCGCTATCCAAAGCCCGAGCCAGAATGACCGCCATAACAATAGCAATCTGAATACAGGTATAGGTATAGGGCATCCGCAAATGTCGAAGATCTCAAACGTTAGGACTGGGACGATGAGAAATTCCGTAACACGAATTTCCCAACAAGCTATCAGGAAGAACGGGATTCTTAGAAGCCTGAAGCGCAGGTCGAGCCGCAGGGAGTAGACCCCGGTGCCGCAGTCTGTCGGGAAGATGGCCTGGAGCGTTACCGACGCCCTCATCTCGATGTACCGGGCCATGAACACTGCAAGGAAGCGCTGGCTGTACGAGGAGGCGAGGAGGTCACCGAGGTCATATTCGGCGGGCAACTCGTCACCTGCTGCAAAGTATACATATCAGAACTATGTGAGTACAATGTGTGCTACAAATTGCATTGATTGAACAATGTACACACATGCATATATCAACAAGTTTACTGTCTATCTGATAGCATTCTTTATACGTTTGGTCTAGAACGAATGAAATGCATTCACTCTTAGTTGTAAGGCTTATGAGCTGAAATCTATACCTATACACCTATACAATCCAAATGACACAGGAGGTAATAAGTAGCAGATTTACAGGCAATTTAGGCATAGCCTTACAGAATACAATGTGTTCGGATGCACGAACTGCATTGCCACTAGCTTTAATACGTCACACACAATGACACACAGACAACCACACACATGAACAATGTACAAATTAACAAATAAATGTAACGCTAGCGTTACTCAGTAAACTGCATCCGCAAACACAAGGAACTCGTGGCTACAATGGGTGTTTCACTCTTATTAGGTACTTTCCTCAAAATCAGGCTGTGTGTTGTGGAGGGGGGTGGTCGGGTAGGGCATAATTAATACCAACTAAGCACACAGAGCTGCATGGTACCAACATCCCAGTTCTCGCCCTAGAAGATAAGGGATGAGTATGATACTTCAATGTCGCAATACCTTCGGGGTCGAAACTCTCATCTAGCAGGATGGTGGTTTCCATGTCGTCGTCTGACTCCCTGTAGGCCAGGGCCCACCTGTCCTTGAAGCCAGTGACTCTGTCCGTCACTGAGCCCTCCATAGTCGAGAGTGCGGTACCATCCTGTTCCCCCAAATCCATGTCATAGACGGCGCGAAACGCCTCTATGTCGAGTTCTGCTGCCACGTCGTCAGGCAATGAAGACTGAAAATCGTTCATTGCAGCTGTCATTAATCCTGGTTTGAATTCTGAAAACAGATGTGTGACATTGACATATCAGAGTCGTAAAAATTGTGAGTAGAGAACTGCTATTGTGAACATAACTAGACCTAGCCTACTGTCTAGGCCCTGGGAATGTACTGAGTTCCCTTTCTGACCAAACGCAGAAGTGAATTCTCTTTTAGGAATAATTGAGTTGATTAATAACAAAAGTATTCGAAACTTGAAAACGTTCTACAACTAATAATAAGTGTACAGTAAGAGGTAAGACAACACAACTTTAAATAGTCCCAGAAAGGAGAAAGGACCTTTTGTCACAGAACGCATTGGGGCATACACTTAAGACCTAGCAATGGTACCATATTATATTGCATGGTAATTTAAACTATGGTAATGATGATGATACTCATGATATTGATCAATCATCAATGTTCCAAGAGTTGAAATCAATCATTAGAATCATTTATGTCAAGCATAAGATAAACAAAATGTTTCAGTGTTGACGAGTTCAAGCACAAATGATGTGGAATGTTACTAATTATGTTTCGCCAATCTTATTACATTTGTCCCAAGATACCTTTATAAGACCCCATTTCTAAAGTGCTGAATTAGAACTATATCTTCCTCAGTAAACATGAAATGTATAATAAATCAGTGGCGTTTTATCAAAAATATATCCTATTAACTTATCTAGAATGTTGATATCAATGAGTGATCTTATAGCTGAAATGTAAAGAGGGCAAATAATATCATATAAACTTTCATAAAACTCAGTTGCTGCTACCTTCAAAAGGAGGAATATCACCTATCCCATCTGCAGGACATACTGGAAAAGAGACAAACGTAATACAGTCATGACAGTGTCATGCAAGTCTTGCCTCAAATATTACGATGACAACCTCATTACAAAGAGAAACGAATGTTGAAAAATTGTATAAACTCTGCCTAAAACTTTTGCCCCTCATTTTTGACCTCCGCTTTTATATGCCTATGGCAATGTTGAACAAGTAAGATCTTGCATGGATTGTGCCATGGTAACAATTTAATGTTAGCATGCTTATCCTGAAGGCAAACATGCATATACTGTAAATAAACCATACACTGCTTTTCTGTGCACAGTCACAATTGTTTATCATTAGTCAATACCCCATATGGTATAATTGCATTGCCAGCCAATGATTACATTAGTACCTGGTAGTGGCTGTATTGCAATGGGCGGGAACGCGATGAGCCACCAGAAATGAAGCCAGTACCACTTGTAGATGATTATCCTCTTGATGACGAGTCTTAACCGGAACTCCCAGTAACAATACGGCTCACCTCTCCAGGTGCACGTGATATCAAAGCATATTACGGGGATGACAATGACTTCCAAGCACTCTATTCTGACGCAGGCCACTAGAAGTAGGGGCATCCTAACAAGACTGAAATGTTCAGTCAGTTGAATATGGGCTATGAAGTCACACCCGTCTGGGATGAAGGCTCTAATATTCACGGTAAGTTTCATTGCCGCATAACGCTGTTTCAAAAGGGCTAGTTTGTCTTTAAACTCATTGCTAAAAGCGGGATCCGTGAAGTCTGGCTCCTCGGGTAGCACCCCTGCAAGAGAAAACACAGTAGAACAGTGTAAGAAATGGTGGTCACATTTTCAAAGGTTGATTGTACGACGCTGTAATGAATGATAAAATTAAATAACTAGGTGACTAACAAACTCATCAGACGCTGCCACAGTCAGTAATGATTCCCTAAATAGAGGTATTTTTCAGTGACATATATTTTTCTATTCGTGGTGTGTAAATGAATCCGCATTCTATCATGAAAGTTCATCTATGTTGGTAGTTACATGTTACAAGTTTTGTTCCAACACAAGAGAGAATTGTTTTCACCTAGGATATACATATTCTACACCTTAGATGAAAATGATTTCCACCTACAAAGCAGTCGTTGGAACACAGGTTAACATGTACCTGTTTTGGGGTCAAAGTCGTTAAGCATGATGGCAATTTCGTAGCCAGTTTCGGAGTCGATGTATTCCAAAACCCAGACATCCTTTATGGCTTTGACTGTGTCCGTGAGGTCCCCCGACATGTCCGCCAGGCTTTTTCCCTCTTGGTTGCCTAACTGTTTAAACTGTTCTAGGGTCTCGTCGAATCTTACGTCGCTCGCGAACTGATCGGATCTATACTCCATCATGGCCTCGTACATGGCTTCGAAGCTGAAAACTGTTGGGTGAAAATGTAGAAATTGCGTTTTCTATATTGTTCACTGGATCTTTGGATCTTTTTTTACGATCAGTGCATGCATCATAATCAAATCTGTAGTTTCTAGTTATGAACCTTGGTAGTTGGAAGTGGTCACAATGCAATTTTCAAGGAATCCTAAATGTTTTGTACCTATAAGTAACTTCGCTATTTCTATTCTCCGTCTATCCGTTTTTAGCTCTCAGGCATCTGCATTCGAGGCCGTACTAATGTAATATAGTACACGCAGAAGCCAAATTTCCTTCATTCTCAAATCATCAATATCATAATTATACAAATAACAGTATAACAAAACAGTTATGATATCATAACGATACCACTTTAAAGTGGTTAATGGTTACATGAAAGCCAACGTTAAGGTTTGAGACCCACGGTACGATAATACTAAAAGCAGTTTGGCATTTAATATTGGAATATTTATCTTCAGTATGGTGTGGTAACAGTGATTACAGATATTTAGTAACAGATATTTATTTACAGATCTGTGGTAACAGATATTTGTCTTCAGTATGGTGTGGTAACAGTGATTGCATTTGCTAGAAATTGAAAATAACATGCATATACATCAATGGGTAAACCTTTTAAAGATACAAATGGTGTTCACATAGAGGCTAGTTATCCTACGTGACTACGTGTTATAGAAGAACTAAATTGTAAGTTACGAATCATTTCCATTTTCTGGCTGAAATAAAACCTTTCATGTATTTGCTTACTCCGATGATAACAACCATACTCATGGTAATAACTGCAATATATTCATGCTGGAAACAAAAGACTTGAAAAATAACAATCTAAAGTCAAACCAAGATACAGTTACAGACCAATACCTTTAAAGACATTTTACAGTTTATCTTACAGATTTGACGTAAGTGCAATTTGCAGTGGATTTACAAAGTATGAGCATGCTATGCCTGCAAATGTGGGAATATTCCCACCTGTCAACATGTATAAATATGGCTATACTAAGAGTTGGAGGAAAACTTTGATTATAGATTCATGATATAAATGTTATGCATTTACAAACTTAGTATATTATACATTGCAGATGTTGTAACCTTAAAGATGGCTCGACTTCAATTGTGTACCTTTGTTCTCCGGTATGGTTGCCAGCACGGGTAGTCCACAACCTAATATGCAGAAAAAAAGAGTCAAAGTAGTCAATGATTAAACATACAAACTGTTTTAACCGTAGAGCAACAGATAACGAAATTTAGTAGATTCTTTATTGACACAACAAAAAGGTACAGGGACTTTTGTACGGTCTTCTACAACTAAAGATCTAACAAAGCTAAATACATGTGTGGATAACGTCATCTTACGTACAGAGTATATATGTATGCTGTAACAATAAAGGTTTAACTATTCGCTTACACGTGGTCTCTAAGATCGAAACATTTTTAATGTATTTTAGTATTTGAACACTGTATGGGTTATGAACGCAAAAAACTAAAGTTAGATGAATCTACTTCAGAATAAACCAACTGAAACTACTCAAATTGATAGCAACTAGGGGATTTCTGTATTAATGATCCTGTTGATTCCTTGGTTTGTTTCTTTAAAAACACGAAGGCATTCAAAGAAGGTAACAAGTGATGGCAGACTTAAAATACTTTATAGACTAGTTCCACACAGACAGACAGACAGACAGACACACACACACAGAGACAAACAGAATCCTTGGTTAACGAACCATCATCATCTGTCATAGGTGGTTTGGGCAGGATTGGACATGGTGTTATTTCAGTGGGCGGTTCAGTAGTAGTAGGCGGCGGTGTTATATCTGTAACATGATGGAGAAAATAAATCACATTAACTAGGCATGTAAAATACAAATTACATACATTTCCTTTTTTCTGTAAAAGAAGTGTAAAATTAGATATGGTTGCATTAATGAAATAATTACATGGCTGCATTTTAATGTGGTCTAATCAATGTTATCTTAATGGTAGTTTTCTTCATAGGCCTCATAACAGCACTTTCAATTGAATACCTGGGTATCTACAACAGCAGATCATGTCGTATGGGCATGGACAATCTTCTATGGACTTCCAATATCCGTTACAACCGAGATTGTTCTGGTCTGTGGCAGGATCCAGACACTCTCCCCCACAGTCCACTCTGCAACTTTTGCGTTCCGGACAGCAATACTGCCCTTCAGGACATTGGCATTCCAAGGCCATTTCGGGCGTGATACAGCCGTCCCTAAATTCATCCGTACACGTGCCTCCACAGTACTGTTCACATTGAGTCGCTGTGGGAGAAAAACAAGAAGACTGTATCTCATTGGAAATAAGAGACAGATTTGTACAGAAATACTTAAAGGGGCAACATGTTTTAATCTCATAAAATGTAAGCATAAAACTACTTCATATCGATACCTCACGTTTTTCAGAGTCTGTGCCTTTTGGAACATTATGTGCTTACATTTAACAGAAGATAATGAATAAATAGACGTAACAGGATCAAATAAATATCAAACCAAGATAATGACTGGTTGACTGAACTTAATTGCATGCCCGGCGATCGTACGGAGTACACTGCATGGCGACATCATTAGAAAAAAAACAATGCTGCAATGGTAATCTTTATATCCTATATTTAGAACTACAAAACATTCTTGATAACAGTATATATGAGCCACATGTTTGTCATAAGTTTTGGACTTAGAAGCCACATGAGGAACACGGTCCGAACCCCCCTCCCCACCCCCGTGAATGAGAACGCTGACAGTCATCTTCGACTACGACGGACTAAGAAGATCGTCATAAATACTGTACTCAATAGCAGATAGTCAATCAACTAGCATAGTGATTTCCATAGTTAGTATCATGTGTTCCATGATAAAGCTAGATATTTGGCAAATGTTTTGAAATTATATAGTATTGATATAAATTCAAAGTTATAACTCCCTGTAAGTTGAATTGGCAAATGGCGAACAAGATGTTGATTAAACTTACGTTCCTGGACTTTGCAGATGTACTTGTTCACGTCTCTGAAATGCAAAGGCATTACATGTATCATAAAAGCATGTACATACAAAGCAATCACACAAATTGAAAGTTCAATACTTATTTTTTTTCTTACATTGGATATGGATCCAAACAGTCGAGATACGTCGTCGGATGGACCCAGTATCTGTATGACAGAATAAGACATCGGTAAATCAAATTACGAATAAGAAAGAATATGTGTAGGGGGAATGGAATTTCCAATTGAATTTGCTAAATATATTTTCTATCAATTGCATTGTTAAGGCTCCCTAAATGTTCTTAGCAGGTAGATAGTAGATACCAATTCTTTATTGTCTTTATTCTTTATTGTGTGTTCTTGTGTGTGTGTGTGTGTGTGTGTGTGTGTATGTTTGTTTGTTTGTGTGTTTGTTTGTGTGTGTGTGTGTGTGTGTGTATCTGTTTATAAGTTCATAAGGACAATATGTTACTTTTACAGTTAAGGAACGTACGGGCAATTTTCGCCATTTTCTAGAACGTCTTCCAAGGTTTCGCAGTCGTCGAAGGTGACCAGTTCGCCATCCAGGTAGTCACATTCATACTTCGCCTGATCGAAGCCGACCTTCTCGGTAGAGAAGTAGTAGCAACAACCGTCAATGGCCACAAAATCCGCCGGACAGAGCGCTGAAATAAGCATTATTTGTATCCTTGTAATCCTTGTGTTGCAATGAAGTTCAAAATTTTCCTATGATTATTACCAACATATGAACTTTCATAATAAGCATTAGCTTTATTGGTTATAAAATTTAAGACGATGCTCCTGCATGGAATTGCGAAAATTTTGAAAGTAAAAAATGTCCCTTTTCTCTAGAAACGCCATTTTTTATTGTTATTATTTATTATCATATGTATATTATTATTATTGATGTTATTATTGTTTGTAATTAAGTATTTTTTATACATTTTTTGTCTATTGTCAATTGATTTGTGTTCTTCGTGACTGGAGACAACATCCGTCTTTGTTTTGTTCCGTACTTATTCATTGAATGAACGAAACTAAAATCCTGTTTTCCTAAATAAATGAATAAATAAATACATAGATAAATACAACAAAAAGTGGTTTCTTTTATTGCAAATTGTGTGTGTATATTATATTTGTGATATGTTTATGTAATTGGATTTGAATAAAATGTGTTCAAACAATTAAAAAGTAGCTCATTGAAAATGAAATAGACAAATGGTAAACATTACAGTCTTGAGTCAATGCCGGCACAAGGAGGAACAGTAGAAAGAGGAAACATCGACCCTCCATCTGGAAAACAATTAAGACAACTTAAAAGGGCCAAAATACACTAATCCCAAAGGTTAAGATCGTCAGTTGGTGCATAGACAGTGTGCCTGAATGTATAGTAAAGGGACGCCAATCCTCGTGTATAGTAGCGTGCATAGTTTAGTGGTCAGCAACCCTGCCTCTGGACTAAGAGGTTGGGAGTTCGAATCTCGGCTGTTGTCGCTCATCCGACATGCACACTACTGGTCATGGAAGGCGCCACAGTCCCTAGGACAGGACGTTAAGCTGTGGTCCACTGTTCATTGTACTTGTCGAAAAGAGCTAGGGGAATTCCCCAGGTACAATGAACCTGTAAATATTGTACATAGAGTAAGCTAAAACTGAATCGAGATCACTTTCCTTCCCTCCTGAATTTGGTATAAACCTGAACATATCGGATGCAGACCCACATATATCCCATCACTGGACTTCATACTGGGGTGCTTCTATGATGGGCAGGTCGCATTTTCCGCCATTCGGACTGGACCGTTTTTCCGGCAACCCTATGAATCTTGAATCTGCTGAACTGTTTACTAGTAGTATTTGAACACTCCTGTTTCGTACCTTGGAAGCTCCCCAAATGATATCACAGGAGCTTTAAGAGAAAATATGGAACTTTTCGAAAAATTGTTGAAATGAGTCAACATACATGTCTATACAGATTTCTAGCACATAATTCAACATATTTGTTTAGATATGATATGATAATCGTTCTGACATGTCAATGCCTAGATGGGCTAACTCATATGAACTGTCATATGTGGTGGAAAGTATAGTGTATGGAACACTAAAATGCTGCATTCTAGTATTAAAATTGCATAACATCTTTGATGTTATCACCTAATAGTTTCTTTCATGGAAACATAACTGCATAAACTTTGTTCGGTATATGCTCACTCGTGTACGGTATCAGATATGCGAATCACATATTCGAAACATTGATTAATTCCCACAGTGTAGGATCGGGTTTCTATCGGCGTCAGACAGAGTGAGAAGTTTCAATTCCTTCCATTGCGCGGTCGCCACAACAGATTCCTCAGAGCCGACCGGTAGTGTGCTGCCATGTAACTTACCTGGACTGGTGCCATTCTCCCCTTCCCACCAACATCGTAAAGAGGGATTCTTTATTGACTCAACAAAATGTACAGGAACTTTTGTATGGTTTTCTCCAACTAAAGATCTAACAAAGCTAAATACACGTATGGATAAAGTCATCCTGCGTACAGTATATACGTCAGCGGCAACAAGAAACTTTAAGGTTTAACTATTCTCTAACATGTAGTCTCTAAGATTTGAACATTTTTTAATGTATTTCCCTATTTGAGCACTGTATAGGTTATCTCCCCTGAGAATACAATTGAACCTATCTGTAGGATCTAATGTATTGAAATCAGTTGAACAAGTGGAAAGAGAAAAGTGAACAGCAATAGGCGCTTATCATTGTATAGTGTACAATCCACTAAAGTGCGAAAGAAGTTGTAAAATTTGACACACATTGTACTTGTGTCTGACCAGTGCACATGCAACTCCAGGGGGGAAATGTCTACAGGTGGGCTTGAATCAAGTTTATTCGTGTGAGTATTCGGTTTCAAACAAAGAAAAAGACATACAATGTAAAAAAAAATCGAGTCAAAACAACACGATGGGTTCAGAAAGAAGAGTGAAACAAGTCAGTAAACAATTCATTTGTATTTCGCAGCAGCCTACAACCCAAGTCGCTTTAGCTGTGTAGGACATTTAGAGTCATGGGTGTGTAGATGTGGCGCATTGTATTGATGCCGAATATCTTGAAGCAGATTCCGAATTACTAGTAACGGCTCTCAGTATTTCAAGTTGGCATCACGCCGGATGAAATTCACCTTTTGTATTATCTGTAGTAGCAAGGAGGTTAACCTTCTGATATTAGAAACACATGTGCCGCTATAACACTTATCGTCGTAGCAAAGTTTGGAACAACAATCATCTGATTTAAAGAATCACGGCACAACAAAAACACGTATACATCATAAACAATAAACAATAGGAAAATTCATCTAAGAAATAAAATGAATAAGGTAGAAGAAAGGTCAGAAAATCGTCAGAAAGGTCAGAAAATCTTGACCAGACAGGATTCTTCGAACATGTCTATGTGGTTGCTAACAATGCTAGCCTTCATCGGACTGGCGTTGTTCTCCGCTCTTCACATCCAACAAATTTCTGGGGCGGTTTTTCTCAGATACATGAATGTGGGTGTTGGCTAACATACTGGATCTTACACGTGGCACATTTAGATATGATAGTAGTAGTGTTTACCCCTGAGAGCATGCGCAGAACGTAGGTCTATAATACGCACCAGAGAGTAGACCGATTCTCTATCAGTTCACATTTTTCTATTATTCACAATAATGTTTATTTATTCACATATATTTATTGAGTATTAGGCAAAAAGCACAGTTGCTTATGTGGCGCCTTCTACTAAAAAACATAAAACGAGAGTAAAACACGATGACAAAATAGATACATAATAATAATTACAAAATGGGTAAAAGAAAAATGAGTATAAACAAGACAACTTGGTGATCTATCAAGTGCGAGAATCTACCTGTACAGTAAATAAAGTTTTGAGCTTCATCAAAGGCATAACAGTTTTGTAAATGTGAAAGTGATGTGGAACCTCGTAGCAGTAAAGAATTGTCAATTGTCATGCAGAATACTGTGATGCAAAACCATTCATAATTTTCCAAAATTGGATCAGTTTATATTTTTGCACGCCTTCTGTCAGTCAGAGAATCCCATTCAACCTCGGCTAAAACACACTCGTGTTTAGTGCCTCTCATGGCTCCAGTACAGACCCGTGCCGCTGACATTTGTAAAGTTTCGAGTAGAACAAAACAATATCAGCATTTATGGACGAATCATAGTAATATACAATGTTTCCAATGTTCCACGGGGGACAACGCTTATCGTCTTAGCAAAGTTTAGAACAACAATCATCTGATTTAAAGAATCAAGGCACAACAAAAACACATACAAATCATAAACAATACGCAATAGGACAATTCAGGAAAAAGAAATAAAATGAACAAATATATGAAATATTGTAAGACAGAAAAAATACTGGTCACCCATGATATATTTCCTGTTGATGACCACAAAGTCCACCTACCTTGAACGATACGATCCTCTTCGAACCCGAATACATTCTAGTCCGGCTTATATCATAATTGTATACTTAAGATACGGGAAAATGACTAGTACTGTTATACGTGGCACATCGCAAGACTGGACGATATTTTTTTATTCAGATCTCGTATCGTCCGCCGGCATGCCCCAAATGTAGCAGTAACTAAAACTTCCAAACACACAAGCGGCTACAAGTATATATTTGCCGGTGAATTTAGCACACAGCAAGTTTAGATCAAATATTGAATACTTTCTGGAGTATTTGAAGATGCACACACACATACGAAAGGTTAGACAAGCATAACGTTGTACTAAATACAACATAACAGGTACACATGCATGGATAAAACGTCATATGACAGAGTCAAAAGGAATTGAAAAATAACAGCGTCTATAGATTGAGAAATATCTTCACTTTGCGGCGTCGTGTGGCGTAGTGGATAGAGCGTTCGGCGCTCAACAAGGAGCCCCGGGTTCGAACCTGGGTCGGAGCACGGGGGCATGTCCGAACATGCGCACCGACGTTGTGCCCTTGGGAAAGGCACTTTACACGTATCCCCCCTCAATTAGAGGGTCAAGTCTCCAACGGCAGTTGTCTTCAGCTGGCGGACGAGAGCAGCGCCAGGCGGGCTGGCGTGATCAAGGCGGAACTTGAGCGTAACCAAGTCACCGGCAGCTCGCTGCAAGCACCCGAACCGGAACCAGCACGTCTCCCTCGATGGATCCGCTGGGGAAGACGGATGCCCAAGTGTGTGGGTCTCAGATTCGCAACCTGTTATCCACCTTTAAACAAATTCACGCGAAGGCTACCGTGTCAACTGTGACCCTCACTCAGGTGCAGGGGCTGACACGGTCATCATACTCGGAAAGTCTGTATATCTGTACATGAATCTGTATCTGTGCATGACTATGTATCTGTACATGACTCTGTATCTGATTACAAATAAAGATCACGAGTGATTGCCAAGAATAGAAATTTCCTGTTGATGACCACAAAGTCCACCTACCTTGAACGATACGATCCTCTTCGAACCCGAATACATTCTAGTCCGGCTTATATCATAATTGTATACTTAAGATACGGGAAAATGACTAGTACTGTTATACGTGGCACATCGCAAGACTGGACGATATTTTTTTATTCAGATCTCGTATCGTCCGCCGGCATGCCCCAAATGTAGCAGTAACTAAAACTTCCAAACACACAAGCGGCTACAAGTATATATTTGCCGGTGAATTTAGCACACAGCAAGTTTAGATCAAATATTGAATACTTTCTGGAGTATTTGAAGATGCACACACACATACGAAAGGTTAGACAAGCATAACGTTGTACTAAATACAACATAACAGGTACACATGCATGGATAAAACGTCATATGACAGAGTCAAAAGGAATTGAAAAATAACAGCGTCTATAGATTGAGAAATATCTTCACTTTGCACTGTAATGAAAGGTATTGGAACAATTGTCAACTTTGAAGCAAATTTATATGGAGCGTATTCCCAAATTCATACAATGAAGTCTATGAGTGACCCAAACATGACGATTAAGATCAACGGCCACCCAAAATCTCAACGTGCGATGAAACAACTGTTGATATTGAGCAGTCGTTGTGAGAAAATATGCCCTATCGCCATGTATGTACAGAAACTTTTATTTTTACTCTGGAAGCGGCCTAAAAATAAGTTGAAAAAACTTGAGTGTGCCGTCGCCATGTCTTGTAATAAATATTGGAATAGAAAAAGAATATGGGATCAAAAAGAATATTTTTCGAGGGTACATGTTTCGACAATATTCTACTTAAACCGACGTTACTATGAAATGTCGACACGCTCCGTCTTGTAGTCAACATTTGTGAATGTTACCTGCCACAAAATGGCAAGTGTATCTGTCGGTGACAGACTTAACTGAACACATTTGGGGAAAATAGCACATAAGATCGTTCTATGCAGTGGTGGATACAAGATATAAGACTCCGTAACAACAAAAGCACACAATATGTTACCAAAGTTCTTCCTTCTAACATAAACAAAAGTAAATTCACCGTGCATATTCACACAACTGCATGTTTGTATGTGGAATTCATACCAAAAATTCAAAAATATGCACACCACTGAGAAAATAAAAGACCCCTAGCAATGTTCGCCGCCGAACACACAAAAATACAAGATGAAACTGCAAATACATCTTTGAAAATCGCATCAAACATGTGGGAAATTCATCTCATTTACTTGTAAGGTAGAAGAAAGGCCAAATGATTGTAGAATCTTGACCAGACAGGATTTTCCGAACATGTCGTAGTTAGCCTACCTTGGACTGGCGTTGTTCTCCTCTTCACACCCAACAAAGTTCTGGGGCGGCTTCGGGTTTTCTCAGATACATAAATGTGGGTGTTGGCTCCCAAATTGATTCTTACACGTGGCATATTTAGATATGATTTACCCCTGAGAGCATGCGCAGAACATAGGTCTATAATACGCACCAGAGAGTAGACCGATTCTCTATCAGTTCACATTTTCTATTATTCACAATAATGTTTATTAATGGTCACATATATTAATTGAGTATTAGCACAGTTGCTTATGTGACGCCTTGTACTCAAAAACATAAAACGAGAGTAAAACACAATGACAAAATACATTTGAAATTAAGACAGAGCCTTGTGTGAAGAACAGTGGAGTGTCTTTGGCCATGAGAGAAATGGGAGTGTTTTGTCGGTCTGTTGAGTAGTAAATCCAACTCTTTTTTAAAGATTCTGATCGTGAGAGAGGCTTGGATATTACGGGGTAGATCATTCCACAAATAAAGAGTTGAGGGTAGGAATAATTTTTTCATACTTTCAGTTTTACAAGCAATGGGGGTGAAATTCTGGTTGGCTCGAAGGTTGTATGGGACAGAATCACGAATACGTGATGGAATAAGATAATGTAAATACAGTTACGGTTAATGCACAATAATGTTTACTGTATGACACATTATCAGGGAATAATATCTCGCGAATCAGCCAGACAAATTTCAAATAGTCCTGATAAATTTGTTTCCTTGTAATCTAGCCTTGCTGGTCGTATTTTATACAGCTCTCATGAGCTATATGACCGGTCGTGGAAAGATAAATTGACCGAAACAAACATCTCCTATCTGCTTTGCCACGAGCTGTTTTAGCCCCGGTTTCTGGCTGTCCCCTGGTTCCCTGCAAAACGCCCTACACATTTACCTAGTAGGACGGGGGTTTGGCTGTTTTCAAATCTCCCCGGTATTTTCAATGCGACCAATTCTGCCGTTCTGCGCTCTAAACACAATCTGACCGCCATGTTGTTTATATCTTAATATTATTTTAGAGGTTAGGGTAGCGTCTCATTTGGCAAATTGCCGAAAACTGTCATTTCGGTATCGTTTTCGGTGAGGCGATTGGATACTCCCATACGCTAATACAGCCAGTTTTCAGTGGTGGTACTTGAATGGCCAAATTTTCACACAAAAATACACATTGTCTAAAACAGTTTTCATGAATATCGAGTTATTCTACACTACTTTAAAAACGTTACTTAATTTTTTTAGTGTCTTCATTTTTTACCAAACAGTAACATGTACACAAGAATCATAATGTTCAACAGTAAATTCCCTGATATCAAGAAGAAAATGCATTAACCGCGCGAAACAGAGAAATAGTCGAGCTCTAGAGTAAAGAATTCTACGTTGTCTTGACATGAAAACATAAAATACACAGATGTCTCAAGTAACAATGTCCTAAATCACATTTACTTCTCAACATACAGGGACATTTGTGAATTTGTAGATGTGTAAAAATAGATTTTTCCTTGGCGTCATCGTGGAGTGGAATTTGTTTTCACCGTGAACAGTAGGGATAGCCTCCCTAAACAACACTAGTCATGCAGTTAGATCTGCGAAAGTTAGGTGTAACAGGTGACTCGGTGTCGCAGTGCTGCGTGTCCGCGAAGCTGGTGACTGTGTACATTATGCCGAAGAGCGGCTAAATACCAGCTATGCTATGCAATACAGATACAAATGTCAAATACGATGTGCTGCGCGCTGCTTTGTCAACGTAATGAACCTACACAGTAGTGTAGAAGAATATTGTAATGATTGAGCCGTGCTGATTGTATACTATTGCACGGTGACTATTGTGCCACCACCACTGGGCACGGTGCACTCAGTCAGGTAATACTTGAATCTTTCTTGGGAACAACTTACAACTTCAATAAACGGACACAATACATGGGTACATTGCAGTGCATATTCTAGCATTTGATAAACTAGTACCATGTATTAGCAGTATGTACTGCAGAAATGTGCAAAACACCTACCGTGGACTTGTCGATGACTCACTCAGATCTCCAAATTTGTAGTATGAGCGTTCGGTGGTTTGGTACTATTTTATAGACAGGTACCATGTGATAATGTATGCGTTACGTTGGCCAACGGCGTTCAGTTAGGCCGCATTGATATGATTTTATGGATGGCATCCGCGCGCGCATTGATTTTCGCCTGGTTCTAGCCTGGGTGCCATTCTCAGTAGTCCTTTTTAGCTAGCGACAATAGGGAGCCGGCGGTAACTACGGAGGGCGGCACCCAGGCTGCCGAAACTCCACGGAACTCAAGAACTCAGTACAGAGGGGCTCATAAATGCCGCAAATGTCCAGCATGTGTCGGCTTTTCATGTGCTAACGCAAATTTGCATTACCAGTTTTGTATTCTTGCATCATGTTTTGTTGGATTTGTTTTTTTATTCGCTTTAGTTTTGGGATCTCCAGAGGATGTCATCCACAAAATTTAGATAGTGCGGCCTTATTTACAAAAAAAAAAAAAAGCACAAACGATATCTCATGCTTTTATGCAAATGAGACTATTTTTATCGCTGGTAACGTCACCTGTGTGGGCGATGTGGGTGGGTCCGCGGTGACTGCACCTTTACGGAGACGTGTCACTCGCGAGTTGCCGTATCGATTTAGTCTTCGGTTATGCTTTCTTTGTTAAACTTTGAACTGTTTATTCACGGGAAGCTCAAATCGGCCTGCAGACCGTTTTGATTAATATTTTCGCACTTATTTCACGTTCATGCTCTTACAAGCTAAGTACAGGTGGTGGTGATAGGCACAATTTAACTACAGTAATATAATGCCTACATGGCTGCTTAAGAAGGTAGTTGAAAAGGATACATTTTGATGAACAGTGCTCTGTCGTACGCGGCAGAAACTTGTACAATCAGTAAACTATGTCGCCTCACTGAGGATGGACTGTATGGCTAACGTTTACTAGCTTGTACATATACATGTACATATACATATACATATACAGATTCAACTTCCTCTCTCTTGTATCTAAGACAGTGGTGATTTGATAACATGCTAGCATGTCTGTGTCTATGGTTTGTCCAGCCTCTACCAGGCTTTTCACGGCTGGAAAGAGTAGAAATTGGCCCAATAGAGACTATAACATTCCAGGGGAGTTGGTCAGCTAGAGAGTACAGTTCATGTGCGCCAAACTGTACTCTCTAGGTGACCAACTCTCCTGAAATGTTATCTCTCTATTTGGCCAATTTCTACTTTTTTCCATCCGCCTCCCGAAGCCTGGTAGAGGCTATGGTCTGTCTATGGCACCAACTTGACGGATCTTGCAACCGGCGGTACACATGCAGAACTTCATCAAATCTATCCACTACATCAATATGACATTTGGGAAAAGCTTTCATGTAGTCTTTCATTAGACTCTTTATCTTGTGATCAATATTACCTGTCTATCAAACTTGTTTTTCTCCTGAGCAAGACGGAACATATGTTTTACTTGCCTATTGTTGGGGACCAAAATTAGCCCGTTTTCGTTATGACTGTCAACACTTTGCCGTGTGATATTTTGGGTCGGCAGGTTACAAAGCGAGTTTAATGTGGCGTGGTCGGTTGTTATTGCGATTCTTGCTTGACGGATCTTGTGGATTCTGTTTATGTCTACGATTCTGTGGTGTGTCTCATAGGCTGTCTACAAAGCAACCAAACTCTCTCCTCTCCATCTCTTAACCCTTCTCCGCCTTATACAAGTACCCGTCTGGACCCACAAATGAAAATATAACGTTCAGCTCATTTTTTGCACATCGGTAGGGCAATCGAAAGAAAATTCATGTTAAATTTGATGTAAACTGACTGTAGGTTTTGCTGTTGATATTACCCATCTATCAAACTTGTTTTTCTCGGAGTGAAATATCAAAACAGACAGGACGTATGTTTATAGTTATCTATTGTTGGAACAATATTAGCCCAACTTTGTTGCCAGTTTGCCGTGTGATATTTTGGGTCGGAGAGTTACAAAGCGAGTTTAATGTGGCGTGGTCGGTTGTTATTGCGATTCTTGCTTGACGGATATTGTGGGCTCTGTTTATGTCTACGATTCGGTGGTAGACTGTCCACAAAGATAGACTGTCCACAAAGCAAGCAAACTCTCTCCTCTCCATTTCTTTCTCCTTCCAAATTTACACACATGCCCATCCCAACCCATACATGATAACATAACGTTCAGCTCACTTTTTGCACATCGGTATAACATTTGGAAAATGATTCATGCAGTCTTTTATTTTTAATATGTACAGTAACACTGTGGGCTTTGCTGTTGATATTACCTGTATATCAAACTTGTTTTTTTTGGGGAGTGGAATATTACACCAGACAGTCTTCAGTCAAACCAGACAGAACGTATGTTTATAGTTCACTTTTCTTGGAACAATATTAGCCCAACTTGGTTTTGCTCTTGATATTACCTGTCTATCACACTTGTTTTTCTCCCGGAGTGAAATATAATAACAGGCAGAACGTATGTTTATAGTTATCTATTGTTGGAACAATATTAGCCCAACTTTGTTGCCAGTGTGCCGAGTGATATTTTGGGTCGGGGGACAGAAAGAAAATTAAACGCGATGCGGCCGATGGATATCGCGATGCTTGCTTGACGGATCCTGTGGGTTCTGTTTATGTCTACTATTCTGCTGCTCATCAGTGGTGTGTCTGATAGACCGTCCGCAAAGCAACAAACTCTCTCCTCTCCATCTCTTTACACCCACCCCCCTCCGCCTTACACACATGCCCATCCCGACCATACATAATAACATAACGTTCGGCTCACTTTTTGCACATCGGTATAACATTTGGAAAATGATTCATGCAGTCTTTTATTTTCAATATGTACAGTAACACTGTGGGCTTTGCTGTTGATATTACCCGTATATCAAACTTGTTTTTCTTGGGAATGGAATATTAAACCAGACAGAACGTAAGTTTACAGTTACATATTGTTGGAACAATATCAGCCCAACTTGGTTTTGCTCTTAATATCACCTGTCTATCAAACTTGTTTTTCTCGGGAATGAAATATAATAACAGGCAGAACGTATGTTTATAGTTATCTATTGTTGGAACAATATTAGCCCAACTTTGTTGCCAGTGTGCCGAGTGATATTTTGGGTCGGGGAGCACAAAGAAAATTAAACGCGATGTGGCCGGTGGATGTTGCAGTGCTTGCTTGACGGATCTTGTGGGTTCTGTTTATGTCTACTATTCTGCTGCCCATCAGTGGTGTGTCTGATAGACCGTCCACAAAGCAACCAAACTCTCTCCTCTCCATCTTTTTCTCCTCCGCCTTACACACATGCCCATCCCAACCCATACATGATAACATAACGTTCAGCTCGTTTTTTGCACATCGGTATAACATTTGGAAAATGATTCATGCAGTCTTTTATTTTCAATATCAAACTTGTTTTTCTTGGGAGTGGAATATTAAAACAGACAGAACGTATGTTTACAGTTCACTCTTGTTGGAACAATATTAGCCCAACTTGCTTTTGCTCTCAATATTACCTGTCTATCAAACTTGTTTTTCTCGGGAGCGAAATATAATAACAGGCAGAACGTATGTTTACAGTTATCTACTGTTGGAACAATATTAGCCCAACTTTGTTGCCAGTGTGCCGTGTGATATTTTGGGTCGGGGAACACAAGGGAAATTAAACGCGATGCGATCGCCGTGCTTGCATTGCTTGACGGATCTTGTAGGTTCTGTTTATGTCTATGATTCTGTGGTGTGTCTCATAGACCGTCCACAAAGCAACCAAACTCTCTCCTCTCCATCTTTTTGTCTTCCTCTGCCTTACACACATACCCGTCTAGACCCACAAATGAAAATAAAACGTTCAGCTCATTTTTTGCACATCGGTTTAACATTTGGAAAAAGATTCATGTAGTCTTTGATGTAGTCTTGTGATCAATATTACCCGTCTATCAAACTTGTTTTTCTCGGGAGTGAAATATAATAACAGGCAGAGCATATGTTTATAGTTATCTATTGTTAGAACAATATCAGCCCAACTTTGTTGCCAGTGTGCCGAGTGATATTTTGGGTCGGGAAACACAAAGAAAATTAAACGTGATGTGGCCGGTGGATGTTGCAGTGCTTGCTTGACGGATCTTGTGGGTTCTGTTTATGTCTACGATTCTGTTGGCCCATCAGTGGTGTGTCTGATAGACCGTCCACAAAGCAACCAAACTCTCTCCTCTCCATCTTTTTCTCCTCCGCCTTACACACATGCCCATCCCAACCCATACATGATAACATAACGTTCAGCTCACTTTTTGCACATCGGTATAACATTTGGAAAATGATTCATGCAGTCTTTTATTTTTAATATCAAACTTGTTTTTCTTGGGAGTGGAATATTAAACCAGACAGAACGTATGTTTAGTTACTTATTGTTGGAACAATATTAGCCCAACTTGGTTTTGCTCTTAATATTACCTGTCTATCAAACTTGTTTTTCTCGGGAGTGAAATATAATAACAGGCAGAACGTATGTTTATAGTTATCTATTGTTGGAACAATATTAGCTCCACTTTGTTGCCAATGTGCCCAGTGATATTTTGGGTTGAGGAACACAAATGACATCAAACGATTGATATCGCGATGCTTGCTTGACGGATCTTGTGGGTTCTGTTTATGTCTACGATTCTGAATGGTCATCAGTGGTGTGCCTGATCATGGAGGTAAAAAATCATTGTGATTTTTTACCTCCATGGTCTGATAGACCGTCCACAAAGCAACCAAACTCTCTCCTCTCCCTCTATTTCTCCGCCGTAGGTACACACATGCCCATCCCAGTACATAATATAACAACATAATCAGCTCATTTTTGCACATCGGTATGACATCTGGAAAATATTTAATGTAGTCTTTGATGTAGAGTGTTTATATTGCGATCGATATTCACCTGTCTATCAGAGTTGTTTTTCTCGGGAGTAAAATATCATAACAAGAGAACCCAACCCTTCCCTCCAGTACCCCACGCCCTTCACCTAATGCACATGCTCATCCTGAA